CGTCGTTAAATTAAACCAAAAGAGCACACCTTTCAAACACACAAAGACTACCCTTCAAACTAAATGCAAGTTTCATTTGCAGCAGGTTTAAGTAATTTTGAAATACTCGCGTGCAAAAACTAAGAAATGTCGGAAAAAGACATCTGCCTTAGATTTGGTACTAGTACACACGCGCGAAAACTCTCCGTTCGCGAAATGTCAGTAGGGAGTTTTAGCAACGGCGACGGCAACGAGAACGTCAAAAAAGCAATAGGTTTATTGAGCAAAACAACTAGTTTGCACGCGCATCACCCTTTTGTACATTTCTTTGCCATTACTGCGCGACTACGACGTGAAAATGCCTAGTTTCACATTTTATGGAGGACGTATAACAAGCGACGACAAACTTTTCTTTCTCTTTCTAAACTTGAGTGCGGTCCCAAAGAAATCAACTCCACGGAAATTAGCCTAGATTAGCTATTTTCAGCGAATTGAACTGAAACGCGACGAAAAGTTGGAAAAAACGCCAATTCATTTTAAAAGTGACGTTTTCGCTGCCGTCACCTTTGTCAATGCCAAGAAGTCCCTAGTTTCAACCGTTGTGTCGGCTTTGTGTTGAACATGTCGAAGAAGTGGCAAGGGAATCTGCACTCTTTGTTCACGTTGAAAGACCTGAGCAGATCTCTGTTGACATCACAGAAGAAGTTCAGGCTTCATCCGAGCGTTAAATCTCCCTGATGCTGATTTTGATGATAATGAAGATTATGATGAAGGCTTTGAAGATGAAGACTGTGACCGATTGCTATGTTTAATGAATTGACGTTTAAGTTACCAGGTCTACATTTAGCTTTAGGTATCGAGTATATAAAATAACGCGCGGTCAAAGGGAAGTGTTCGATCATTGTTCGCAGGTCATGATCACATCCTCTCAGTTCTGCTTCCAAGAAGTTATATATAAAAGGGAAGTTAAGCATTAGCATCACTTTTGCATTCTTCTTCTTGAGTCTCGTTTTGACATCTCCGCGTCGTTTTTAAAGACAGTATTAGCCCTGTCTTTTAAACACTTTTACGTAGGTCAGTTTCTTCGTATGTTAAGTGATGTTTCGTTCCTAAATTCGAGACCACTAATGTTATCAGTTGTGCAGTTTAGTTTTGCCATATTTTATCGCGCGATTTTTCGTACGTTACGCTTGTTTTAGCCTTATCATACTTTTATTTTTCAACAAACCATAGTAACCTTATGTTTATGATGCTTTTTCGTACATTCATTCTCCGCTTGTCGTCTTTCCGCTTCTCCGTGGGTTAATTCATTTGTAATATTAGTTTTACTTTTGTTTTCGGTAAGTTCTTGTTTCATTCTTACGTATAACTAAATGAGGATTTACAATTGATTTTACAGCGCATGTTAATTCATTTGCACCATATAAGAATCGATTGTCCTTTCCACATCTTTAACATTTGTAAAGTATCGTTGTGATTTAACACTTCACTGGCCAGCATGCGCCTTGTCTGCGCGTGAAGATAAGACTGCGCGGATAATGTGACCGGTGCCCACCTGTCATTTTTTTAAGACCCGGTGCTTACATGTATATTCCCATTTGGCGGCCACTAAAAAAACCCTCTAACGAGCCTTTACGCAAAGTAAAAACTTATTATTTTAGTGTCTCAGAATGTTGTAGTTTTCTTTAATAAAAACGTGATCATCATAAACCTGCTAATGATAGCTGTACTCTTGATGAAGATTGCTTTTTTGGGGCGGGAATACCTTTTGGAAAACGGTAGAAGTTGCACTTCAAAAACATCTTGGGGGTGGGGGGTTCTCCATGACTGCTTCCCCGGCTACTAACAACAAATACCCGGCAACTTGAAATCTTAGTGACAACCCTGCAGACTCATAATTTGCCATGCGTTTTTTTCCCCGGGGGGGGGGGTACTCCCTTATATAGGCTATATAACTATGTGCAGTGCCAAAGGGTTGGTTTTTTAGCCATTTTGGTCTGAAATAGGCTATCAATTTCAACCATTTTGGTCTGAAATAGGTATGGTGTGTACTCTGGTCTTGAATTAGGTATGCTTTTTAGAGGAAGCTACTTTTTTGTCATTTGGCGATAAGACCATTTCCCTTTTAATGTTTACGCCAACCGTGTACGTGCCTTAAGAGCTTGTCAAGCACTTCAGTCACACAATGGGCTCCAGGTCTGAAATAGGGTAGGGAAAATCACAGATTTTGGTCTGAAATAGAGTAAGGGTTTCAGGAAGTGTGCCACACACCCCCACCCAATTTTTCTGGAAGTACCCCCCCCCCCGGGGGTTTTCGTCGTCACAGATGGGGGTCATTGTGCCAGGCGTTCCTTGTGGAGACTGTGGAAACTGGGACTAAGAATCGTTGCGTGATTGAAGCCATGCATGTTTAGGAAAGATTAAATTTAGAGCTTTTCCGAAACATGTCAGTCCATGAATTCTATCGCTTCAAAGCATTGATTACTTTGGGACAAGTGAACACTGCTGACTAGTTGAAAAAAATATAAGAATCTTTTAGAAAACCTCCGATGATTGGGTGTTGTACACTTTCATTGTATGCAAATGGTTCTTGTGATGAGAATGCAGTTTATTTTCGGCGATGATTGAAATGACGTGCCATGTAAATCACTTTTTTGATCTCTGGCAATGATGTCATTTCTCTGGAATCGAGGCCCTTGAATTTTTTTTGTAGCCTGCGACCATAGACATACATCTGGTCAACGTTAACAAGCGTACTAAATCAAGTCACAAACAAGTAAAAAGTTTCGATGTTGATACAGTAGGAGGTAAAAAAACTTTAGGGCGTAAATCCTGTTTTGTGTAGATTGATTGCCTCCTCATTTCTCTATCTAATCTCCAAGCAAGCAAGACTGAATGCCGCTTTAAGCATGTTCTTGTTTCATTAATAAAATGCTTCCCAACTTCCATGCCATGAGACCAAAACAGTTGGCCGTGGCAGTCATTCTTAAAAAAGTCAAAACATCCCTACCATACTACTCCTATCCTCATACATTAATCTGAAATGATTTTTAAGGAGTTTTTTCTAACTGTGCTCTACAGCTACTACCCACTTCATCCCCCAGCAGAAGATGTTAATGTAGACTACGAGCAATTTGAAAAGTATGCACTGCTTCCTTACAACCCTGATATTCTTATCCTGCCTTCAGATCTCCGATACTTTGCCAAGGTACGTTGGTGTAGTATATAGTGTTATTTTAATGATGCAGTTTAACTCACAGTGTGTTCATGGCTGTGATGCGCAATGAGCGATTTTTACTAGCTCCAATTTGACTCAGCCAATTCCTTATCCTCTTTTAGTTTATTTTGCTGACCAGTGAAGGCTTATGTTCCAACTTCTGTTTCAATCCCCAATTAATTTGCTTATGTATCAATATTTCTCCAAATGACTGGTATTGTTTGACACAGAGCTGAAGTCATGCTACTGAATACTGCTCTTCTTGCTCTCTCCTATCACTCTGCATATTGCCATCAATAATTTAAAAGTTAAGTACAGCTGTGATTTATAAGAACAGCAAATGGGTTTGAGAAAGTAATGACTGATACTCAAACATCAGAAGGCAAGTGACTCAAAGTGGCCTAGTCGCAACAACGTCAAACAAGGCTCCATTTGTTGATGGAGCTGGAAGCTATTTTACCACCTTGCACATGGTTTATTCTATCTTAAACATTTTGAGATTGGAGCAATTTTACCATTTTTGGAGTTCCATCTCAGTTTCAGACTTTCACAAGCTAAAGCAGCAACATATTCATATAAAATGTGGCCATGCATTACTATTATTAAAGAAGTTTCTAGCCATTTCAGGACACCTTTCAAATTTTCCCAGCAGAGCATGCCTGTGGACTCCACTAGTATGCCTGCAGATTTGGATTATCCCCCCTCCCTCCATCTCCACCCTTGCTCTGTCGGTCCCTTATAATAAACCGATGAGCTCCAAAAAGGCAATTTAACCACTTTGTCTGTGTATACCTTTCAGTTACAAGCACTAATCTTGCCAAGTCTTGTTCACATTAGTCAGTATAGTTTGTTTATACTTTTTTTGACTGATCACAATCTATTTTAATCCAACATAAGGCAAATGTGTTAATTGTACACACTTTTGCAATTTGTTATGAAAAATAGTATCTGCAGAGAATCTGATTTCATATTTCAACAGACTGGTTACCATTCGTCATGTCTGGATCTACCACTTCCCTACTACTGTACATTTGTTCATCAAAGTTCTTTGTTATTTTGTGACCGCAGGAAACTCTTGGTTGCTTGTGTATTAACCCAGGCCGACTGACTAAAGGCCTTGTCGGTGGTACTTATGCTAAAGTATGGGTCAAGCCTTCACCAATCCAAGAGGACAAGTTGTCATCACCTATCTTGTCAAGTTCTGTGGCTCAAGTGATAAGAATATAAAATTAATACATATTTCTGCTTGCAGGGACATTGCACCAGTAAGGTCAATATCAAGCTTGGCGACTAAAAATGTCTTTCAAGTATGATGTTAGTACACACTAAGTGGTTCTGATTTTAGGACCAGTAAGATGCTGATTATTAAAAGCTTTTGATAACGCTTTCTGTACTCTGTCACTGATTTTCTGTTGTTACCTATAAGTAATCGGGGTGATACTGAAGTTACTCCTTTTAGTTGACTTATGACTATCACAGTTTACCACAATAACAAAAGCAAAATATAATAAACATGTCCTGGGAAAATTGTGCCCATAAACAGCAATTGTCACTGCCATGTTACTTAGTGGGAAACCAGTTGTCTCCCTTCCAACCCATTTTTTCCTAAGTCTTCAACCTGGTAAAAATTTGGAATAAATTTTGCTTCTTCTGTCCTAAAATGACTTCTTTGACCTATTTTCCATTGGTGTTTGAGGTAGTCTTCCATGCAGCCATTTTTGTTTTGTCACACATTGCTCCTCCCCATTGCGTGACAAGACAAAAAATGACTGCTTGAGATTTTGGGGTGAAACCTCCCATGCCTGAGTATCAAGTACATCAATAATTACTATAAACAAAGTTCTCAGTCACCCCAACTGTATTTAGTAAAGATGTTTTTTTTATATTCAGTGTTTATTTTGACATCAGATTTGTCATGCCAGTCACTGCTCTTAATTCCTTTAGAAATAACTGAGATGAGAAGTTGCCCGTTAAGCTAAAACTTGTGATTAGGGCTAGGATAGCTTTTATGCAGACTTTCTTGTCTTCAGAGCAGCTAACTGTTTTTTGGTTGTTTTAGATACACTTTTTTGGTCTTAGCAGATATTCCTCAGAAAGCGGTTGATATCCATCAATTGATGTTTCTGCATCATTTTGGTCAGTAATTGGGATATTAATTTAGTCTCCACATAGCTGTGCACTCTTGCAAAATTATCTTGAGTTAATTAATCAAAAAACTGCTAAGCTGCCGCACCACTATCTTTTATGATTTGCAATTAAACCACCCTCGTAGTCAGAGACTGATGTCAATGATGGAATAATATTTACAAACATCTTCTAAATTTGGTCAGCCATGAACAGAAATATTTTAAATGAATGTTAATGACACAAAATGGTCTTGACTACATTTCTCCTCTACTCTTTCCTCGTGGCTTTTCCTTTTCCACATTTTGGCAGTCAAATATCTTTTGATAGGCAACCATCTTCCACTGCTAAATTTGTCTCTTCCAACTATCAAATCTTAGTTTAAGCACATAGTTTAGATAGGCTGCCCCTGTAAGCAACTACATGTATCAATCACGAAATTGTGTCATGCAGCATTTTGAGCTTCACCAGAAAGAGAGCAGGATTACAGGTTAGCTATGTAGACCTAAATGTTGACAAATAATTGTACCTTAAAAACAGGCTACAGAAAACCATGGGGGACACACAAATTAGGGCAGCCTAGTGAGTTGAGTCAGTGAAGAAAACCTTCAAAAGCTTATGATTTACCAGCATGAGTAAACAACTGATATTTCATGATGCCACCACTGGTTTTCCCACAAAATGATGTCTGAGGAGCAAGCAGAGAAATTCTACACCAGATCTGGGTAGTGTTTCTGATTGTTCATGCTGCAAGAGAAATTTCCTTCAACCATTTAGAAGCACCACCCAGATATGGGTAGTGACACATCATGCATCCATATGGAATTTCTGTGCTTGTTCCTCAGATGTCATTTTGTGGGGAAACCAGAGTTATAGTTACAAAATGCAAGCTGTTATATCAGCCTAGTAGTTTACACAAATGGTTTCACCACAAATTAGTAAAAAAAAAAAAGAGTCCAGTGGCAGTGACAGTATCAATAATAATCATACTGTCACTGCCACTTGGACTCAATTATTGATTCAACTTGTGTTCTTTCATACTTTCTCACATGAAAGAAAATTTTCTTCACTTTAATTTTGAAAAAGCACATCCAAGTTTAGATAAAGGGAAAATATTCCTGACAGGTGTTAGTGACCTAAACCAACCTCAAATCAGGAATTTTTATATTTTAGTCGTAATGTGAGGTAACCTGAATTTTATCTCACAGTTTGTAAAATGAGGAGATGACTGAAATTCAGGCTACAAGTATCTGTAATGGCAAAAAATGTACTAAAAAAATTTCTTCACATTGGAAGTAAATGTGTTACTTATCATGCATAATGGTAAAAATTTCTCTTATCTAAATGGTTATTCTTGGTTTTCGCACGACATCACCAAAATTCAAACTAAGAAACTATCGCTTCTTTTGAGTTTCTACTTTCATGTGGTATTACAGCACCTTATAACCTATATACAAACAAATTTTCGGTTCAAAAGGGTTCTTCGTTTTGTGATACAGACACTTGAATTTCCAGGCTTTTGCGTGACGTGGCATTTAGCTGACAGCAAGGAAAGCTCTTATGTGGGTTGAAAACATTACCGATTTTGGGAGATTTTGATATCTAAACATTCCTTGTCTCAGAATAAATATTACTTCAATCGTTATAGGTTCCTCAAGCAAGGAATTCACGCATTAGTACGAAAACTCAAAAACAGATGTTTCTGTTGGTTTCTGGTGGCCATATTTGTGCCCCTGAAAGGGACACAATCATGTTGTCTCTCCATACAAAGCTTTATAAATTTGGGTAAAACGTTTTTCCAAGTATCTCACATTAGAAATATTGCACAGACCTGATTCTTGGTGAGGCTTTTTGTACATTTATCTTCTTTCATTTCCCAGATTCTAGACTTTCTGTATCAAAAGGTTTCCATTTTTATTTTTGATGGTGTGACAGTGAAAACCACCAATATTAGCAGCCCTGATTTCAGCATTGACAGGACAAGGTGGTCTGTTTTTATATGGTTTAAAGATTTTCCTTTGGCCTTTGACCATAGATAGTGAGAAATAAATAAATAAATCCAAAGGAACTTGCTTCATGCTTAAGTAATTGGACAGTATGCACAGTTATGCAAGCTATAATAGGATGGTTGCCCATAAGTGGGCCCTTTTTCTTTCATATCTATTGAACTCTCATAGGATCTTCTGTTTTAATGAAAAATAAATTAATAATCACCAATAATTTTGTCTCAGTTATGATAAATTGGTAAGAGATCTTGGTATGATGATTAAACAAATTGGAATTTCACTATGCAATTGTCTGAGTCTGTTTAATCACTCCTATCAGTGAATTCTTGGCTTGCAACCACGTGACAAGGTGGCCATGTTGTTGGTGTGTTGGTGGTTAATACAATAGAATATTTTCTGAAAGAGTTTACATGAAAATAGGGTTTAGTTCCCAGAGGAGAGAAATGCTTTTGTTCTTAACCCTAACACACCACCAACATGGCCGCCGTGAGGTCATGTGCAAACCAGTAAGAGGATGACTCCAAGTTCTGTCGACATAATTTTGTTAAATCAAAAGCTTTCTTGAAACCATGGCCTAATGAAACTATTTTCAAGTCGAATATAAACTTTAAACTTTGAAAAGAGGATTGAGATCAAGTTCAGATCAATATAGACAAACAAGTTAAACCGCCGTCAACTTTATGCAGTTCAGAATTTTCCACCTCAATCTTTGGAGTGGGAAGTTTCTTGAATACTTCATAACTTCTTGGAATTTCTGCTGAGGTCAAATGGAACAGTGTTCCATTAACAAACAGACAATTCGCGGCTTTATCCTCAGGAACAGTAAGCTTTTCATACTTGAACTTCGCTTTTTCTCAACTTCATTCCAAACGTCGTCTGCTTCACTACTTCCTCCAACCATGACAGTGTCAGGTCCAGCCATTGACATCAAGGATTTGAGATGCAGGTGATTCGAAACTGAAATGGCTGTCACAGGATAGTCACCGAACGTTTCCGCTAAGATGTGTACTCCTTGCTCATTCGTTCTCTCAGATAATCCCACTAAGAATTCTTTACCTGTGAAGAGGACGTCCCTCCATCTAGAGTAGCAGGGTGTTCCATTTCTTCCACACTCAAACCAAGCTCCTGTAGCACAGTTTTCATCCTGGCGGACTCGCCACGTCTGGTTGGGTGACCCAACCTACAAACTAAAGCAATGTCACCACACACCACTGCAGCATCTTCAACAAATACACAGTCTGGGTACTGTTCGTCCGCTGTAAGCTCTATGACTTGTAATCCCATATTTTTCAAAGCTCGAACGTAGTTAGCATGTTGGTTTAATGCTTTGCTCAAGTTAACCGGCTCCAGGCAATCACTCTGTCTTTGTGCAGCAGCAGGCAGCGATGAAGGTATCCCACAGACTATGGCCTTGTCATATCGAAATTTTGACAAATCTCTACCACTCATGTTCATCACAAGTCTAGAAACAGACTCAATCGACCGAAACCAAACAAAACCTACGTATGCAAACCAGTGCCTGAGGGTTATACGTTCCCAGGCGTCTCTCTGGGTTTTTACTCGGCAATACTCTAGAGGGGGTCTGAATGGTGAAGAAAGGGGTCCACATGTCGGTGAAAATTTCGTGAAAAAATAGCCTGCGAACAGCAGAGGCATTTCCGGTCGTCGCTTCTCTCCCTCCGGAAATGCGTCCGCTGTTCGCAGGCTAGTGAGAAAAGTGATGGGGAGGATTTTCAGTTTGCAGCAAACACCCTGTACTGGAATTATTTTTGGGCGGACAAACATTTTCAACACTTTTTTCTATACTTAACAACGTACCTATTTATCACATCCAATAAAAGTACTACGTGTATTTTCCTGCAGCTACATGTGTAGTGATTTTTAAAGAATAATGTAAGTTCAAACAACTGGAAAATCGTTTCTCTTTATTCTTGCATTTGTGCTTCATAATTTTAAAACAGATATAGAGGATATTACATGGCCGCGCGGCGATACGAAATTTGTCTTCGAGTGTTGAAAAATATTTCCGAGTGAGCGCAGCGAATGATTGAAATATTTTTTCAACACGACAAGAGAAATTTCTGTATCTCCAAGCGACCATGTAATGTTCTATTTATTATATAAACACCAATGAAATACCAAACCATGTCACTTAAAAATAGTTTTTTGGTGTGAACGGTGCGATTTATTATGTAGCAATAGCAACAGTGATATTTTTCACATGTGAAGATATCAAGTTTTCGAGCGAAAGCTCACTTGGTATTTCATTGGTGTTTATATAACAAAAAAGGATACACTACACTACACAGACAACACAACAACTCTAATTCAACAGGTTTTCCTGGATGTATACCATGTGGGAGAGGTGGATACCATTTGGAGTGGAAGACTTCCCCGTGCAAACTTGTAATCCCTGGCCTCTGTTATTCCTCTCCCACAACCATCATAAAAAAATAAACGTTGGTTTGGTATATTGTTCATTGAATTAAGGTACAGCAATAAACCATATGATAGATGTATAAGAAACAAATCATATAAGAACTACGGAAATGTAGTCAAATGAAGAATGATCCTCGCAGTTGTGAACGCAATTTATGCAATCGCGTTCACAACTGCGAGGATCATTCTTCATTCGAATAAAGCATATAACATACAGTATGTACATTTGCCTCACTATGAAGTCATTTCGGACATCCATACTCGCGTTATTCATTGGATTATGGGATTGACTGAACTCATACCAACTCATTTTACACCTGATGGTTGACATGGATTTGAGGTTGTTGGTCCAAGGATGTTGAGGGTCTGGGTGGAGAGGGGTTGGGCGGGTTACTCGCTTATATCACTTTCTGTCAGGCAGTTGGGCTCTATTATCACCGGTTGTTATACCTTGAAGGTTCACTCTCTTTCTGGAGTGAGAATTAACCAAATTTTAAGTTTACTCGACAAAGGAACGCACCACGGTCCTGCACGGCTGCGACAAAACTACAAAAACCCACGAATTTATTCATTTTATTATTTTTAAACTAAAAGCACAAGGGGCTGACATGAAAACCTTTCTTAAATGGACCGTATATGTAGATGACGACTAGTCCTCAGGAAAAATACAACAAGTGAAATACCAGAGGAAACGCGTGAGGATTAAAGCACCGTGCCCGGCACCCGCGACGAAGATGATTGCATATTATCCCTGACCAAATAAGAGACTATTTGTAGTCTATAAAATATTGTCCCAGCTATTGAAATTAAGTTGCATTGGCACATGAGATATTTACAAGTTTTCTGCTATTCTTTTAAAAAATACAATAATTATTGCAATTTATCCATTATCTTTACAATCATACTACCGCCTCAACTCGGAAGGAACAAAAACAAAACAGAAGACTTTGACTTTTCTAAGAAATTAGAAAGGCTGTCAAAGAGGGAAAACTTGCCTTGAACATATTCCATATCGACATATCCCGGCAGATAACAAGGTTGGCGCATACTTTATTACAGGAATTAACGCTTCATGAAATTAGCGTGAATTTCAAAAATTCGTGTTAATTTTTGTTCGGCGACCGTAATTTCCATTATTTTGGCTCCAAATTCACGATTCACTTTTGAGATTCTTGTCACCTAAGAAAGAGAAGTATTTTAACAGGGTGGAGATCCACCAGTATCAGGGAAACTGTCAAGAACCCTCGAAGTGGTCAGTTTTTTTTTTTTCACTTGTTCCCCTTCGTGCGTTAATTTAGGTTAAGTACCACGAACAAAGTTTCCATTTCGGATGATACGTTTAACTTTGTCTCTGTTGTCTCAACAAGTTTTCTTTCTTTGTCAACGTCGCGTTAATTTCCTTCATTTTAATGTGAACCCCTCTTTTGCGTCCATTTCCTTTATTTGAAAGCCGTTTTCTGTTAAATTCGCCTTGAATTAAGTCGCGTAAATTTCCTATAATAAAGTACACTATGAAACTTCAATAGACTCTTCCCTCCCTTCCACATATTTTCATATTTTGAACAGAAATAATAGTTGGCGAATATCCATCATGACCGCTTAAGAAGCACCCTAAAAATAGTGAATATGCCAAGTTTTTCAACGTGATACGTGAAGATATTGCTCTGTAAAATCTCCACATTTTATGGTGGAAGGCACGAACTTGCAGAACCACTTCGATCTTACCTTACTCTGACCGACTTGTCTAGGAAGATTGAAGGAGACTCTGTTCGCAGGGTAGAACTTGCCCGTCACCATACAAACATCTGTAAAAATTTTGCAGCCTTTGCAGGGCTTTATATTCCTTAGTTTTTAACAAATCAGCGGTGTCAAAGGGTTTTCGCTTAGTGGTCTACGTCAAAAAAGAAAATTAATGCGGGTCTATTCACCCATCTAGCAAAGCAATCCTAGCTCAATATCTACGAAAACTCACCGCACATTTAGTACTACGAGACACAAATGGAGCAGTAAAAAGGTATATTATTAAAAATAAGTTCCCTACTCTTGCCAATAATAAACAGAAAAGTAGACTCTGCCAGCAGGGAAAAATAAGTAAAATATTTTGGGCAATCAGAGTCTATCAAATAGTTATTATTATTTTCACGAGTCATAATCATCATCTTCATCATGTAATGAGTTTCCCATCATGCCTGCAGTAGACATTTGGTTAAGCTGCTGCGGCATATCCATAGAAACAGATGGTGCTTTAGATCTGACAACAAATACAGACATTCTGGTGAATAATACAATAAAGAAAACACACAAACACATACACACACAGTTCTGTGCGCCATAACATGATAAAACTATCAGTTGATGAAACAAAATGGAGTAGTTTGCTAGCCAGGACCCGTGCTCTTATTCTTTACATTTCGATTTGAATGTATGTTTTCGGGCTCGAAACGTTACCGGAACTTTCGAGAAACAGGCCCCTGGTCTTTTACAAAGAGATCTGTTTAAACTCTGGAGGCCTCTATTTCAAGGTCCCACCCAGAGGGCTCAAATGAATTCAGTTATTCCAAGATCAACTTTTCTACCATGCATGAAAATAGCTAATCAGTGAACTGAACACAATAACACATGCTTTGTTGCAAAATGAAAGAATCCAACATCATGGACAAACACAAAACCCTAATTTTAGTATTAGTATACGATATTGAGACCCCACTGTTTTATTAAAAATAACATTGGAAAAGGACACTTACTGTTGATTTGAAGTATCATCTGTACTGGGTCTCGTTAGTGTAATAGAAGGTACCGGAAATTGGAAAGGTGTACTTCTGGAAGCGTTGAATGTGGTATTTGTTGCACTGTTATGATTACTTGTTCCTTCAGATGATGACTCTTCTTCCTGGTCATCAAACAAACAATCACGTGAATATTTTCGTTTTAAAGCTCTGTACAAATGGAACTAGCTTATTGGTCCAACTTCATCCAGTATTGTTGTATTGTTGGCCTGAGTATCAAGTACATCAATTATTATGAACAAAGTTCTCAGTCACCCCAACTGTATTTAGTAAAGATGTCTTTTTTATATTCAGTGTTTATTTTGACATCAGATTTGTCATGCCAGTCACTGCTCTTAATTCCTTTAGAAATAACTGAGATGAGAAGTTGCCCGTTAAGCTAAAACTTGTGATTAGGGCTAGGATAGCTTTTATGCAGACTTTCTTGTCTTCAGAGCAGCTAACTGTTTTTTGGTTGTTTTAGATACACTTTTTTGGTCTTAGCAGATATTCCTCAGAAAGCGGTTGATATCCATCAATTGATGTTTCTGCATCATTTTGGTCAGTAATTGGGATATTAATTTAGTCTCCACATAGCTGTGCACTCTTGCAAAATTATCTTGAGTTAATTAATCAAAAAACTGCTAAGCTGCCGCACCACTATCTTTTATGATTTGCAATTAAACCACCCTCGTAGTCAGAGACTGATGTCAATGATGGAATAATATTTACAAACATCTTCTAAATTTGGTCAGCCATGAACAGAAATATTTTAAATGAATGTTAATGACACAAAATGGTCTTGACTACATTTCTCCTCTACTCTTTCCTCGTGGCTTTTCCTTTTCCACATTTTGGCAGTCAAATATCTTTTTGATAGGCAACCATCTTCCACTGCTAAATTTGTCTCTTCCAACTATCAAATCTTAGTTTAAGCACATAGTTTAGATAGGCTGCCCCTGTAAGCAACTACATGTATCAATCACGAAATTGTGTCATGCAGCATTTTGAGCTTCACCAGAAAGAGAGCAGGATTACAGGTTAGCTATGTAGACCTAAATGTTGACAAATAATTGTACCTTTAAAAAACAGGCTACAGAAAACCATGGGGACACACAAATTAGGGCAGCCTAGTGAGTTGAGTCAGTGAAGAAAACCTTCAAAAGCTTATGATTTACCAGCATGAGTAAACAACTGATATTTCATGATGCCACCACTGGTTTTCCCACAAAATGATGTCTGAGGAGCAAGCAGAGAAATTCTATACCAGATCTGGGTAGTGTTTCTGATTGTTCATGCTGCAAGAGAAATTTCCTTCAACCATTTAGAAGCACCACCCAGATATGGGTAGTGACACATCATGCATCCATATGGAATTTCTGTGCTTGTTCCTCAGATGTCATTTTGTGGGGAAACCAGAGTTATAGTTACAAAATGCAAGCTGTTATATCAGCCTAGTAGTTTACACAACTGGTTTCACCACAAATTAGTAAAAAAAAAAAAAAAGAGTCCAGTGGCAGTGACAGTATCAATAATAATGATACTGTCACTGCCACTTGACTCAATTATTGATTCAACTTGTGTTCTTTCATACTTTCTCACATGAAAGAAAATTTTCTTCACTTTAATTTTGAAAAAGCACATCCAAGTTTAGAAAAGGGAAAATATTCCTGACAGGTGTTAGTGACCTAAACCAACCTCAAATCAGGAATTTTTATATTTTAGTCGTAATGTGAGGTAACCTGAATTTTATCTCACAGTTTGTAAAATGAGGAGATGACTGAAATTCAGGCTACAAGTATCTGTAATGGCAAAAAATGTACTAAAAAAATTTCTTCACATTGGAAGTAAATGTGTTACTTATCATGCATAATGGTAAAAATTTCTCTTATCTAAATGGTTATTCTTGGTTTTCGCGACATCACCAAAATTCAAACTAAGAAACTATCGCTTTCTTTTGAGTTTCTACTTTCATGTGGTATTACAGCACCTTATAACCTATATACAAACAAATTTTCGGTTCAAAAGGGTTCTTCGTTTTGTGATACAGACACTTGAATTTCCAGGCTTTTTTTGCGTGACGTGGCATTTAGCTGACAGCAAGGAAAGCTCTTATGTGGGTTGAAAACATTACCAATTTTGGGAGATTTTGATATCTAAACATTCCTTGTCTCAGAATAAATATTACTTCAATCGTTATAGGTTCCTCAAGCAAGGAATTCACGCATTAGTAGGAAAACTCAAAAACAGATGTTTCTGCTGGTTTCTGGTGGCCATATTTGTGCCCCTGAAAGGGACACCATCATGTTGTCTCTCCATACAAAGCTTTATAAATTTGGGTAAAACGTTTTTCCAAGTATCTCATATTAGAAATATTGCACAGACCTGATTCTTGGTGAGGCTTTTTGTACATTTATCTTCTTTCATTTCCCAGATTCTAGACTTTCTGTATCAAAAGGTTTCCATTTTTATTTTTGATGGTGTGACAGTGAAAACCACCAATATTAGCAGCCCTGATTTCAGCATTGACAGGACAAGGTGGTCTGTTTTTATATGGTTTAAAGATTTTCCTTTGGCCTTTGACCATAGATAGTGAGAAATAAATAAATAAATAAATCCAAAGGAACTTGCTTCATGCTTAAGTAATTGGACAGTATGCACAGTTATGCAAGCTATAATAGGATGGTTGCCCATAAGTGGGCCCTTTTTCTTTCATATCTATTGAACTCTCATAGGATCTTCTGTTTTAATGAAAAATAAATTAATAATCACCAATAATTTTGTCTCAGTTATGATAAATTGGTAAGAGATCTTGGTATGATGATTAAACAAATTGGAATTTCGCTATGCAATTGTCTGAGTCTGTTTAATCACTCCTATCAGTGAATTCTTGGCTTGCAACCACGTGACAAGGTGGCCATGTTGTTGGTGTGTTGGTGGTTAATACAATAGAATATTTTCTGAAAGAGTTTACATGAAAATAGGGTTTAGTTCCCAGAGGAGAGAAATGCTTTTGTTCTTAACCCTAACACACCACCAACATGGCCGCCGTGAGGTCATGTGCAAACCAGTAAGAGGATCACTCCAAGTTCTGTCGACATAATTTTGTTAAATCAAAAGCTTTCTTGAAACCATGGCCTAATGAAACTATTTTCAAGTCGAATATAAACTTTAAACTTTGAAAAGAGGATTGAGATCAAGTTCAGATCAATATAGACAAACAAGTTAAACCGCCGTCAACTTTATGCAGTTCAGAATTTTCCACCTCAATCTTTGGAGTGGGAAGTTTCTTGAATACTTCATAACTTCTTGGAATTTCTGCTGAGGTCAAATGGAACAGTGTTCCATTAACAAACAGACAATTCGCGGCTTTATCCTCAGGAACAGTAAGCTTTTCATACTTGAACTTCGCTTTTTTCTCAACTTCATTCCAAACGTCGTCTGCTTCACTACTTCCTCCAACCATGACAGTGTCAGGTCCAGCCATTGACATCAAGGATTTGAGATGCAGGTGATTCGAAACTGAAATGGCTGTCACAGGATAGTCACCGAACGTTTCCGCTAAGATGTGTACTCCTTGCTCATTCGTTCTCTCAGATAATCCCACTAAGAATTCTTTACCTGTGAAGAGGACGTCCCCTCCATCTAGAGTAGCAGGGTGTTCCATTTCTTCCACACTCAAACCAAGCTCCTGTAGCACAGTTTTCATCCTGGCGGACTCGCCACGTCTGGTTGGGTGACCCAACCTACAAACTAAAAGCAATGTCACCACACACCACTGCAGCATCTTCAACAAATACACAGTCTGGGTACTGTTCGTCCGCTGTAAGCTCTATGACTTGTAATCCCATATTTTTCAAAGCTCGAACGTAGTTAGCATGTTGGTTTAATGCTTTGCTCAAGTTAACCGGCTCCAGGCAATCACTCTGTCTTTGTGCAGCAGCAGGCAGCGATGAAGGTATCCCACAGACTATGGCCTTGTCATATCGAAATTTTGACAAATCACTACCATTCATGTTCATCACAAGTCTAGAAAGAGACTCAATCGACCGAAACCACACAAAACCTACGTATGCAAACCAGTGCCTGAGGGTTATACGTTCCCAGGCGTCTCTGGGTTTTTACTCGGCAATACTCTAGAGGGGGTCTGAATGGTGAAGAAAGGGGTCCACATGTCGGTGAAAATTTCGTGAAAAAATAGCCTGCGAACAGCAGAGGCATTTCCGGTCGTCGCTTCTCTCCCTCCGGAAATGCGTCCGCTGTTCGCAGGCTAGTGAGAAAAGTGATGGGGAGGATTTTCAGTTTGCAGCAAACACCCTGTACTGGAATTATTTTTGGGCGGACAAACATTTTCAACACTTTTTTTCTATACTTAACAACGTACCTATTTATCACATCCAATAAAAGTACTACGTGTATTTTCCTGCAGCTACATGTGTAGTGATTTTTAAAGAATAATGTAAGTTCAAACAACTGGAAAATCGTTTCTCTTTATTCTTGCATTTGTGCTTCATAATTTTAAAACAGATATAGAGGATATTACATGGCCGCGCGGCGATACGAAATTTGTCTTCGAGTGTTGAAAAATATTTCCGAGTGAGCGCAGCGAATGAGTGAAATATTTTTTTCAACACGACAAGAGAAATTTCGTATCTCCAAGCGACCATGTAATGTTCTATTTATTATATAAACACCAATGAAATACCAAACCATGTCACTTAAAAATAGTTTTTTGGTGTGAACGGTGCGATTTATTATGTAGCAATAGCAACAGTGATATTTTTCACATGTGAAGATATCAAGTTTTCGAGCGAAAGCTCACTTGGTATTTCATTGGTGTTTATATAACAAAAAAGGATACACTACACTACACAGACAACACAACAACTCTAATTCAACAGGTTTTCCTGGATGTATACCATGTGGGAGAGGTGGATACCATTTGGAGTGGAAGACTTCCCCGTGCAAACTTGTAATCCCTGGCCTCTGTTATTCCTCTCCCACAACCATCATAAAAAAATAAACGTTGGTTTGGTATATTGTTCATTGAATTAAGGTACAGCAATAAACCATATGATAGATGTATAAGAAACAAATCATATAAGAACTACGGAAATGTAGTCAAATGAAGAATGATCCTCGCAGTTGTGAACGCAATTTATGCAATCGCGTTCACAACTGCGAGGATCATTCTTCATTCGAATAAAGCATATAACACACAGTATGTACATTTGCCTCACTATGAAGTCATTTCGGACATCCATACTCGCGTTATTCATTGGATTATGGGATTGACTGAACTCATACCAACTCATTTTACACCTGATGGTTGACATGGATTTGAGGTTGTTGGTCCAAGGATGTTGAGGGTCTGGGTGGAGAGGGGTTGGGCGGGTTACTCGCTTATATCACTTTCTGTCAGGCAGTTGGGCTCTATTATCACCGGTTGTTATACCTTGAAGGTTCACTCTCTTTCTGGAGTGAGAATTAACCAAATTTTAAGTTTACTCGACAAAGGGAACGCACCACGGTCCTGCACGGCTGCGACAAAACTACAAAAACCCACGAATTTATTCATTTTTATTATTTTTAAACTAAAAGCACAAGGGGCTGACATGAAAACCTTTCTTAAATGGACCGTATATGTAGATGACGACTAGTCCTCAGGAAAAATACAACAAGTGAAATACCAGAGGAAACGCGTGAGGATTAAAGCACCGTGCCCGGCACCCGCGACGAAGATGATTGCATATTATCCCTGACCAAATAAGAGACTATTTGTAGTCTATAAAATATTGTCCCAGCTATTGAAATTAAGTTGCATTGGCACATGAGATATTTACAAGTTTTCTGCTATTCTTTGTAAAAATACAATAATTATTGCAATTTATCCATTATCTTTACAATCATACTACCGCCTCAACTCGGAAGGAACAAAAACAAAACAGAAGACTTTGACTTTTCTAAGAAATTAGAAAGGCTGTCAAAGAGGGAAAACTTGCCTTGAACATATTCCATATCGACATATCCCGGCAGATAACAAGGTTGGCGCATACTTTATTACAGGAATTAACGCTTCATGAAATTAACGTGAATTTCAAAAATTCGTGTTAATTTTTGTTCGGCGACCGTAATTTCCATTATTTTGGCTCCAAATTCACGATTCACTTTTGAGATTCTTGTCACCTAAGAAAGAGAAGTATTTTAACAGGGTGGAGATCCACCAGTATCAGGGAAACTGTCAAGAACCCTCGAAGTGGTCAGTTTTTTTTTTTTCACTTGTTCTCCTTCGTGCGTTAATTTAGGTTAAGTACCACGAACAAAGTTTCCATTTCGGATGATACGTTTAACTTTGTCCCTGTTGTCTCAACAAGTTTTCTTTCTTTGTCAACGTCGCGTTAATTTCCTTCATTTTAATGTGAACCCCTCTTTTACGTCCATTTCCTTTATTTGAAAGCCGTTTTCTGTTAAATTCGCCTTGAATTAAGTCGCGTAAATTTCCTATAATAAAGTACACTATGAAACTTCAATAGACTCTTCCCTCCCTTCCACATATTTTCATATTTTGAACAGAAATAATAGTTGGCGAATATCCATCATGACCGCTTAAGAAGCACCCTAAAAATAGTGAATATGCCAAGTTTTTCAACGTGATACGTGAAGATATTGCTCTGTAAAATCTCCACATTTTATGGTGGAAGGCACGAACTTGCAGAACCACTTCGATCTTACCTTACTCTGACCGACTTGTCTAGGAAGATTGAAGGAGACTCTGTTCGCAGGGTAGAACTTGCCCGTCACCATACAAACATCTGTAAAAATTTTGCAGCCTTTGCAGGGCTTTATATTCCTTAGTTTTTAACAAATCAGCGGTGTCAAAGGGTTTTCGCTTACTGGTCTACGTCAAAAAAGAAAATTAATACGGGTCTATTCACCCATCTAGCAAAGCAATCCTAGCTCAATATCTACGAAAACGCACCGCACATTTAGTACTATGAGACACAAATGGAGCAGTAAAAAGGTATATTATTAAAAATAAGTTCCCTACTCTTGCCAATAATAAACAGAAAAGTAGACTCTGCCAGCAGGGAAAAATAAGTAAAATATTTTGGGCAATCAGAGTCTATCAAATAGTTATTATTATTTTCACGAGTCATAATCATCATCTTCATCATGTAATGAGTTTCCCATCATGCCTGCAGTAGACATTTGGTTAAGCTGCTGCGGCATATCCATAGAAACAGATGGTGCTTTAGATCTGACAACAAATACAGACATTCTGGTGAATAATACAATAAAGAAACACACACAAACACATACACACACAGTTCTGTGCGCCATAACATGATAAAACTATCAGTTGATGAAACAAAATGGAGTAGTTTGCTAGCCAGGACCCGTGCTCTTATTCTTTACATTTCGATTTGAATGTATGTTTTCGGGCTCGAAACGTTACCGGAACTTTCGAGAAACAGGCCCCTGGTCTTTTACAAAGAGATCTGTTTAAACTCTGGAGGCCTCTATTTCAAGGTCCCACCCAGAAGGCTCAAATGAATTCAGTTATTCCAAGATCAACTTTTCTACCATGCATGAAAATAGCTAATCAGTGAACTGAACACAATAACACATGCTTTGTTGCAAAATGAAAGAATCCAACATCATGGACAAACACAAAACCCTAATTTTAGTATTAGTATACGATATTGAGACCCCACTGTTTTATTAAAAATAACATTGGAAAAGGACACTTACTGTTGATTTGAAGTATCATCTGTACTGGGTCTCGTTAGTGTAATAGAAGGTACCGGAAATTGGAAAGGTGTACTTCTGGAAGCGTTGAATGTGGTATTTGTTGCACTGTTATGATTACTTGTTCCTTCAGATGATGACTCTTCTTCCTGGTCATCAAACAAACAATCACGTGAATATTTTCGTTTTAAAGCTCTGTACAAATGGAACTAGCTTATTGGTCCAACTTCATCCAGTATTGTTGTATTGTTGGCCTGAGTATCAAGTACATCAATTATTATGAACAAAGTTCTCAGTCACCCCAACTGTATTTAGTAAAGATGTCTTTTTTATATTCAGTGTTTATTTTGACATCAGATTTGTCATGCCAGTCACTGCTCTTAATTCCTTTAGAAATAACTGAGATGAGAAGTTGCCCGTTAAGCTAAAACTTGTGATTAGGGCTAGGATAGCTTTTATGCAGACTTTCTTGTCTTCAGAGCAGCTAACTGTTTTTGGTTGTTTTAGATACACTTTTTGGTCTTAGCAGATATTCCTCAGAAAGCGGTTGATATCCATCAATTGATGTTTCTGCATCATTTTGGTCAGTAATTGGGATATTAATTTAGTCTCCACATAGCTGTGCACTCTTGCAAAATTATCTTGAGTTAATTAATCAAAAACTGCTAAGCTGCCGCACCACTATCTTTTTATGATTTGCAATTAAACCACCCTCGTAGTCAGAGACTGATGTCAATGATGGAATAATATTTACAAACATCTTCTAAATTTGGTCAGCCATGAACAGAAATATTTTAAATGAATGTTAATGACACAAAATGGTCTTGACTACATTTCTCCTCTACTCTTTCCTCGTGGCTTTTCCTTTTCCACATTTTGGCAGTCAAATATCTTTTGATAGGCAACCATCTTCCACTGCTAAATTTGTCTCTTCCAACTATCAAATCTTAGTTTAAGCACATAGTTTAGATAGGCTGCCCCTGTAAGCAACTACATGTATCAATCACGAAATTGTGTCATGCAGCATTTTGAGCTTCACCAGAAAGAGAGCAGGATTACAGGTTAGCTATGTAGACCTAAATGTTGACAAATAATTGTACCTTAAAAACAGGCTACAGAAAACCATGGGGACACACAAATTAGGGCAGCCTAGTGAGTTGAGTCAGTGAAGAAAACCTCAAAAAGCTTATGATTTACCAGCATGAGTAAACAACTGATATTTCATGATGCCACCACTGGTTTTCCCACAAAATGATGTCTGAGGAGCAAGCAGAGAAATTCTATACCAGATCTGGGTAGTGTTTCTGATTGTTCATGCTGCAAGAGAAATTTCCTTCAACCATTTAGAAGCACCACCCAGATATGGGTAGTGACACATCATGCATCCATATGGAATTTCTGTGCTTGTTCCTCAGATGTCATTTTGTGGGGAAACCAGAGTTATAGTTACAAAATGCAAGCTGTTATATCAGCCTAGTAGTTTACACAACTGGTTTCACCACAAATTAGTAAAAAAAAAAAAAGAGTCCAGTGGCAGTGACAGTATCAATAATAATGATACTGTCACTGCCACTTGGACTCAATTATTGATTCAACTTGTGTTCTTTCATACTTTCTCACATGAAAGAAAATTTTCTTCACTTTAATTTTGAAAAAGCACATCCAAGTTTAGAAAAAGGGAAAATATTCCTGACAGGTGTTAGTGACCTAAACCAACCTCAAATCAGGAATTTTTATATTTTAGTCGTAATGTGAGGTAACCTGAATTTTATCTCACAGTTTGTAAAATGAGGAGATGACTGAAATTCAGGCTACAAGTATCTGTAATGGCAAAAAATGTACTAAAAAAATTTCTTCACATTGGAAGTAAATGTGTTACTTATCATGCATAATGGTAAAAATTTCTCTTATCTAAATGGTTATTCTTGGTTTTCGCACGACATCACCAAAATTCAAACTAAGAAACTATCGCTTCTTTTGAGTTTCTACTTTCATGTGGTATTACAGCACCTTATAACCTATATACAAACAAATTTTCGGTTCAAAAGGGTTCTTCGTTTTGTGATACAGACACTTGAATTTCCAGGCTTTTGCGTGACGTGGCATTTAGCTGACAGCAAGGAAAGCTCTTATGTGGGTTGAAAACATTACCAATTTTGGGAGATTTTGATATCTAAACATTCCTTGTCTCAGAATAAATATTACTTCAATCGTTATAGGTTCCTCAAGCAAGGAATTCACGCATTAGTAGGAAAACTCAAAAACAGATGTTTCTGCTGGTTTCTGGTGGCCATATTTGTGCCCCTGAAAGGGACACCATCATGTTGTCTCTCCATACAAAGCTTTATAAATTTGGGTAAAACGTTTTTCCAAGTATCTCATATTAGAAATATTGCACAGACCTGATTCTTGGTGAGGCTTTTTGTACATTTATCTTCTTTCATTTCCCAGATTCTAGACTTTCTGTATCAAAAGGTTTCCATTTTTATTTTTGATGGTGTGACAGTGAAAACCACCAATATTAGCAGCCCTGATTTCAGCATTGACAGGACAAGGTGGTCTGTTTTTATATGGTTTAAAGATTTTCCTTTGGCCTTTGACCATAGATAGTGAGAAATAAATAAATAAATAAATCCAAAGGAACTTGCTTCATGCTTAAGTAATTGGACAGTATGCACAGTTATGCAAGCTATAATAGGATGGTTGCCCATAAGTGGGCCTTTTTTTCTTTCATATCTATTGAACTCTCATAGGATCTTCTGTTTTAATGAAAAATAAATTAATAATCACCAATAATTTTGTCTCAGTTATGATAAATTGGTAAGAGATCTTGGTATGATGATTAAACAAATTGGAATTTCGCTATGCAATTGTCTGAGTCTGTTTAATCACTCCTATCAGTGAATTCTTGGCTTGCAACCACGTGACAAGGTGGCCATGTTGTTGGTGTGTTGGTGGTTAATACAATAGAATATTTTCTGAAAGAGTTTACATGAAAATAGGGTTTAGTTCCCAGAGGAGAGAAATGCTTTTGTTCTTAACCCTAACACACCACCAACATGGCCGCCGTGAGGTCATGTGCAAACCAGTAAGAGGATCACTCCAAGTTCTGTCGACATAATTTTGTTAAATCAAAAGCTTTCTTGAAACCATGGCCTAATGAAACTATTTTCAAGTCGAATATAAACTTTAAACTTTGAAAAGAGGATTGAGATCAAGTTCAGATCAATATAGACAAACAAGTTAAACCGCCGTCAACTTTATGCAGTTCAGAATTTTCCACCTCAATCTTTGAGTGGGAAGTTTCTTGAATACTTCATAACTTCTTGGAATTTCTGTTGAGGTCAAATGGAACAGTGTTCCATTAACAAACAGACAATTCGCGGCTTTATCCTCAGGAACAGTAAGCTTTTCATACTTGAACTTCGCTTTTTTTCTCAACTTCATTCCAAACGTCGTCTGCTTCACTACTTCCTCCAACCATGACAGTGTCAGGTCCAGCCATTGACATCAAGGATTTGAGATGCAGGTGATTCGAAACTGAAATGGCTGTCACAGGATAGTCACCGAACGTTTCCGCTAAGATGTGTACTCCTTGCTCATTCGTTCTCTCAGATAATCCCACTAAGAATTCTTTACCTGTGAAGAGGACGTCCCCTCCATCTAGAGTAGCAGGGTGTTCCATTTCTTCCACACTCAAACCAAGCTCCTGTAGCACAGTTTTCATCCTGGCGGACTCGCCACGTCTGGTTGGGTGACCCAACCTACAAACTAAAGCAATGTCACCACACACCACTGCAGCATCTTCAACAAATACACAGTCTGGGTACTGTTCGTCCGCTGTAAGCTCTATGACTTGTAATCCCATATTTTTCAAAGCTCGAACGTAGTTAGCATGTTGGTTTAATGCTTTGCTCAAGTTAACCGGCTCCAGGCAATCACTCTGTCTTTGTGCAGCAGCAGGCAGCGATGAAGGTATCCCACAGACTATGGCCTTGTCATATCGAAATTTTGACAAATCACTACCATTCATGTTCATCACAAGTCTAGAAAGAGACTCAATCGACCGAAACCACACAAAACCTACGTATGCAAACCAGTGCCTGAGGGTTATACGTTCCCAGGCGTCTCTCTGGGTTTTTACTCGGCAATACTCTAGAGGGGGTCTGAATGGTGAAGAAAGGGGTCCACATGTCGGTGAAAATTTCGTGAAAAAATAGCCTGCGAACAGCAGAGGCATTTCCGGTCGTCGCTTCTCTCCCTCCGGAAATGCGTCCGCTGTTCGCAGGCTAGTGAGAAAAGTGATGGGGAGGATTTTCAGTTTGCAGCAAACACCCTGTACTGGAATTATTTTTGGGCGGACAAACATTTTCAACACTTTTTTCTATACTTAACAACGTACCTATTTATCACATCCAATAAAAGTACTACGTGTATTTTCCTGCAGCTACATGTGTAGTGATTTTTAAAGAATAATGTAAGTTCAAACAACTGGAAAATCGTTTCTCTTTATTCTTGCATTTGTGCTTCATAATTTTAAAACAGATATAGAGGATATTACATGGCCGCGCGGCGATACGAAATTTGTCTTCGAGTGTTGAAAAATATTTCCGAGTGAGCGCAGCGAATGAGTGAAATATTTTTTTTCAACACGACAAGAGAAAATTTCGTATCTCCAAGCGACCATGTAATGTTCTATTTATTATATAAACACCAATGAAATACCAAACCATGTCACTTAAAAATAGTTTTTTGGTGTGAACGGTGCGATTTATTATGTAGCAATAGCAACAGTGATATTTTTCACATGTGAAGATATCAAGTTTTCGAGCGAAAGCTCACTTGGTATTTCATTGGTGTTTATATAACAAAAAAGGATACACTACACTACACAGACAACACAACAACTCTAATTCAACAGGTTTTCCTGGATGTATACCATGTGGGAGAGGTGGATACCATTTGGAGTGGAAGACTTCCCCGTGCAAACTTGTAATCCCTGGCCTCTGTTATTCCTCTCCCACAACCATCATAAAAAAATAAACGTTGGTTTGGTATATTGTTCATTGAATTAAGGTACAGCAATAAACCATATGATAGATGTATAAGAAACAAATCATATAAGAACTACGGAAATGTAGTCAAATGAAGAATGATCCTCGCAGTTGTGAACGCAATTTATGCAATCGCGTTCACAACTGCGAGGATCATTCTTCATTCGAATAAAGCATATAACACACAGTATGTACATTTGCCTCACTATGAAGTCATTTCGGACATCCATACTCGCGTTATTCATTGGATTATGGGATTGACTGAACTCATACCAACTCATTTTACACCTGATGGTTGACATGGATTTGAGGTTGTTGGTCCAAGGATGTTGAGGGTCTGGGTGGAGAGGGGTTGGGCGGGTTACTCGCTTATATCACTTTCTGTCAGGCAGTTGGGCTCTATTATCACCGGTTGTTATACCTTGAAGGTTCACTCTCTTTCTGGAGTGAGAATTAACCAAATTTTAAGTTTACTCGACAAAGGGAACGCACCACGGTCCTGCACGGCTGCGACAAAACTACAAAAACCCACGAATTTATTCATTTTTATTATTTTTAAACTAAAAGCACAAGGGGCTGACATGAAAACCTTTCTTAAATGGACCGTATATGTAGATGACGACTAGTCCTCAGGAAAAATACAACAAGTGAAATACCAGAGGAAACGCGTGAGGATTAAAGCACCGTGCCCGGCACCCGCGACGAAGATGATTGCATATTATCCCTGACCAAATAAGAGACTATTTGTAGTCTATAAAATATTGTCCCAGCTATTGAAATTAAGTTGCATTGGCACATGAGATATTTACAAGTTTTCTGCTATTCTTTGTAAAAATACAATAATTATTGCAATTTATCCATTATCTTTACAATCATACTACCGCCTCAACTCGGAAGGAACAAAAAAACAAAACAGAAGACTTTGACTTTTCTAAGAAATTAGAAAGGCTGTCAAAGAGGGAAAACTTGCCTTGAACATATTCCATATCGACATATCCCGGCAGATAACAAGGTTGGCGCATACTTTATTACAGGAATTAACGCTTCATGAAATTAACGTGAATTTCAAAAATTCGTGTTAATTTTTGTTCGGCGACCGTAATTTCCATTATTTTGGCTCCAAATTCACGATTCACTTTTGAGATTCTTGTCACCTAAGAAAGAGAAGTATTTTAACAGGGTGGAGATCCACCAGTATCAGGGAAACTGTCAAGAACCCTCGAAGTGGTCAGTTTTTTTTTTTTCACTTGTTCCCCTTCGTGCGTTAATTTAGGTTAAGTACCACGAACAAAGTTTCCATTTCGGATGATACGTTTAACTTTGTCTCTGTTGTCTCAACAAGTTTTCTTTTCTTTGTCAACGTCGCGTTAATTTCCTTCATTTTAATGTGAACCCTCTTTTGCGTCCATTTCCTTTATTTGAAAGCCGTTTTCTGTTAAATTCGCCTTGAATTAAGTCGCGTAAATTTCCTATAATAAAGTACACTATGAAACTTCAATAGACTCTTCCCTCCCTTCCACATATTTTCATATTTTGAACAGAAATAATAGTTGGCGAATATCCATCATGACCGCTTAAGAAGCACCCTAAAAATAGTGAATATGCCAAGTTTTTCAACGTGATACGTGAAGATATTGCTCTGTAAAATCTCCACATTTTATGGTGGAAGGCACGAACTTGCAGAACCACTTCGATCTTACCTTACTCTGACCGACTTGTCTAGGAAGATTGAAGGAGACTCTGTTCGCAGGGTAGAACTTGCCCGTCACCATACAAACATCTGTAAAAATTTTGCAGCCTTTGCAGGGCTTTATATTCCTTAGTTTTTAACAAATCAGCGGTGTCAAAGGGTTTTCGCTTAGTGGTCTACGTCAAAAAAGAAAATTAATGCGGGTCTATTCACCCATCTAGCAAAGCAATCCTAGCTCAATATCTACGAAAACTCACCGCACATTTAGTACTACGAGACACAAATGGAGCAGTAAAAGGTATATTATTAAAAATAAGTTCCCTACTCTTGCCAATAATAAACAGAAAAGTAGACTCTGCCAGCAGGGAAAAATAAGTAAAATATTTTGGGCAATCAGAGTCTATCAAATAGTTATTATTATTTTCACGAGTCATAATCATCATCTTCATCATGTAATGAGTTTCCCATCATGCCTGCAGTAGACATTTGGTTAAGCTGCTGCGGCATATCCATAGAAACAGATGGTGCTTTAGATCTGACAACAAATACAGACATTCTGGTGAATAATACAATAAAGAAACACACACAAACACATACACACACAGTTCTGTGCGCCATAACATGATAAAACTATCAGTTGATGAAACAAAATGGAGTAGTTTGCTAGCCAGGACCCGTGCTCTTATTCTTTACATTTCGATTTGAATGTATGTTTTCGGGCTCGAAACGTTACCGGAACTTTCGAGAAACAGGCCCCTGGTCTTTTACAAAGAGATCTGTTTAAACTCTGGAGGCCTCTATTTCAAGGTCCCACCCAGAAGGCTCAAATGAATTCAGTTATTCCAAGATCAACTTTTCTACCATGCATGAAAATAGCTAATCAGTGAACTGAACACAATAACACATGCTTTGTTGCAAAATGAAAGAATCCAACATCATGGACAAACACAAAACCCTAATTTTAGTATTAGTATACGATATTGAGACCCCACTGTTTTATTAAAAATAACATTGGAAAAGGACACTTACTGTTGATTTGAAGTATCATCTGTACTGGGTCTCGTTAGTGTAATAGAAGGTACCGGAAATTGGAAAGGTGTACTTCTGGAAGCGTTGAATGTGGTATTTGTTGCACTGTTATGATTACTTGTTCCTTCAGATGATGACTCTTCTTCCTGGTCATCAAACAAACAATCACGTGAATATTTTCGTTTTAAAGCTCTGTACAAATGGAACTAGCTTATTGGTCCAACTTCATCCAGTATTGTTGTATTGTTGGCCTGAGTATCAAGTACATCAATTATTATGAACAAAGTTCTCAGTCACCCCAACTGTATTTAGTAAAGATGTCTTTTTATATTCAGTGTTTATTTTGACATCAGATTTGTCATGCCAGTCACTGCTCTTAATTCCTTTAGAAATAACTGAGATGAGAAGTTGCCCGTTAAGCTAAAACTTGTGATTAGGGCTAGGATAGCTTTTATGCAGACTTTCTTGTCTTCAGAGCAGCTAACTGTTTTTTGGTTGTTTTAGATACACTTTTTTGGTCTTAGCAGATATTCCTCAGAAAGCGGTTGATATCCATCAATTGATGTTTCTGCATCATTTTGGTCAGTAATTGGGATATTAATTTAGTCTCCACATAGCTGTGCACTCTTGCAAAATTATCTTGAGTTAATTAATCAAAAAACTGCTAAGCTAAGCTGCCGCACCACTATCTTTTATGATTTGCAATTAAACCACCCTCGTAGTCAGAGACTGATGTCAATGATGGAATAATATTTACAAACATCTTCTAAATTTGGTCAGCCATGAACAGAAATATTTTAAATGAATGTTAATGACACAAAATGGTCTTGACTACATTTCTCCTCTACTCTTTCCTCGTGGCTTTTCCTTTTCCACATTTTGGCAGTCAAATATCTTTTGATAAGCAACCATCTTCCACTGCTAAATTTGTCTCTTCCAACTATCAAATCTTAGTTTAAGCACATAGTTTAGATAGGCTGCCCCTGTAAGCAACTACATGTATCAATCACGAAATTGTGTCATGCAGCATTTTGAGCTTCACCAGAAAGAGAGCAGGATTACAGGTTAGCTATGTAGACCTAAATGTTGACAAATAATTGTACCTTAAAAACAGGCTACAGAAAACCATGGGGGACACACAAATTAGGGCAGCCTAGTGAGTTGAGTCAGTGAAGAAAACCTTCAAAAGCTTATGATTTACCAGCATGAGTAAACAACTGATATTTCATGATGCCACCACTGGTTTTCCCACAAAATGATGTCTGAGGAGCAAGCAGAGAAATTCTATACCAGATCTGGGTAGTGTTTCTGATTGTTCATGCTGCAATAGAAATTTCCTTCAACCATTTAGAAGCACCACCCAGATATGGGTAGTGACACATCATGCATCCATATGGAATTTCTGTGCTTGTTCCTCAGATGTCATTTTGTGGGGAAACCAGAGTTATAGTTACAAAATGCAAGCTGTTATATCAGCCTAGTAGTTTACACAACTGGTTTCACCACAAATTAGTAAAAAAAAAAAAAGAGTCCAGTGGCAGTGACAGTATCAATAATAATGATACTGTCACTGCCACTTGGACTCAATTATTGATTCAACTTGTATTCTTTCATACTTTCTCACATGAAAGAAAATTTTCTTCACTTTAATTTTGAAAAAGCACATCCAAGTTTAGAAAAAGGGAAAATATTCCTGACAGGTGTTAGTGACCTAAACCAACCTCAAATCAGGAATTTTTATATTTTAGTCGTAATGTGAGGTAACCTGAATTTTATCTCACAGTTTGTAAAATGAGGAGATGACTGAAATTCAGGCTACAAGTATCTGTAATGGCAAAAAATGTACTAAAAAAATTTCTTCACATTGGAAGTAAATGTGTTACTTATCATGCATAATGGTAAAAATTTCTCTTATCTAAATGGTTATTCTTGGTTTTCGCACGACATCACCAAAATTCAAACTAAGAAACTATCGCTTCTTTTGAGTTTCTACTTTCATGTGGTATTACAGCACCTTATAACCTATATACAAACAAATTTTCGGTTCAAAAGGGTTCTTCGTTTTGTGATACAGACACTTGAATTTCCAGGCTTTTGCGTGACGTGGCATTTAGCTGACAGCAAGGAAAGCTCTTATGTGGGTTGAAAACATTACCAATTTTGGGAGATTTTGATATCTAAACATTCCTTGTCTCAGAATAAATATTACTTCAATCGTTATAGGTTCCTCAAGCAAGGAATTCACGCATTAGTAGGAAAACTCAAAAACAGATGTTTCTGCTGGTTTCTGGTGGCCATATTTGTGCCCCTGAAAGGGACACCATCATGTTGTCTCTCCATACAAAGCTTTATAAATTTGGGTAAAACGTTTTTCCAAGTATCTCATATTAGAAATATTGCACAGACCTGATTCTTGGTGAGGCTTTTTGTACATTTATCTTCTTTCATTTCCCAGATTCTAGACTTTCTGTATCAAAAGGTTTCCATTTTTATTTTTGATGGTGTGACAGTGAAAACCACCAATATTAGCAGCCCTGATTTCAGCATTGACAGGACAAGGTGGTCTGTTTTTATATGGTTTAAAGATTTTCCTTTGGCCTTTGACCATAGATAGTGAGAAATAAATAAATAAATAAATCCAAAGGAACTTGCTTCATGCTTAAGTAATTGGACAGTATGCACAGTTATGCAAGCTATAATAGGATGGTTGCCCATAAGTGGGCCCTTTTTCTTTCATATCTATTGAACTCTCATAGGATCTTCTGTTTTAATGAAAAATAAATTAATAATCACCAATAATTTTGTCTCAGTTATGATAAATTGGTAAGAGATCTTGGTATGATGATTAAACAAATTGGAATTTCGCTATGCAATTGTCTGAGTCTGTTTAATCACTCCTATCAGTGAATTCTTGGCTTGCAACCACGTGACAAGGTGGCCATGTTGTTGGTGTGTTGGTGGTTAATACAATAGAATATTTTCTGAAAGAGTTTACATGAAAATAGGGTTTAGTTCCCAGAGGAGAGAAATGCTTTTGTTCTTAACCCTAACACACCACCAACATGGCCGCCGTGAGGTCATGTGCAAACCAGTAAGAGGATCACTCCAAGTTCTGTCGACATAATTTTGTTAAATCAAAAGCTTTCTTGAAACCATGGCCTAATGAAACTATTTTCAAGTCGAATATAAACTTTAAACTTTGAAAAGAGGATTGAGATCAAGTTCAGATCAATATAGACAAACAAGTTAAACCGCCGTCAACTTTATGCAGTTCAGAATTTTCCACCTCAATCTTTGGAGTGGGAAGTTTCTTGAATACTTCATAACTTCTTGGAATTTCTGCTGAGGTCAAATGGAACAGTGTTCCATTAACAAACAGACAATTCGCGGCTTTATCCTCAGGAACAGTAAGCTTTTCATACTTGAACTTCGCTTTTTTCTCAACTTCATTCCAAACGTCGTCTGCTTCACTACTTCCTCCAACCATGACAGTGTCAGGTCCAGCCATTGACATCAAGGATTTGAGATGCAGGTGATTCGAAACTGAAATGGCTGTCACAGGATAGTCACCGAACGTTTCCGCTAAGATGTGTACTCCTTGCTCATTCGTTCTCTCAGATAATCCCACTAAGAATTCTTTACCTGTGAAGAGGACGTCCCCTCCATCTAGAGTAGCAGGGTGTTCCATTTCTTCCACACTCAAACCAAGCTCCTGTAGCACAGTTTTCATCCTGGCGGACTCGCCACGTCTGGTTGGGTGACCCAACCTACAAACTAAAGCAATGTCACCACACACCACTGCAGCATCTTCAACAAATACACAGTCTGGGTACTGTTCGTCCGCTGTAAGCTCTATGACTTGTAATCCCATATTTTTCAAAGCTCGAACGTAGTTAGCATGTTGGTTTAATGCTTTGCTCAAGTTAACCGGCTCCAGGCAATCACTCTGTCTTTGTGCAGCAGCAGGCAGCGATGAAGGTATCCCACAGACTATGGCCTTGTCATATCGAAATTTTGACAAATCACTACCATTCATGTTCATCACAAGTCTAGAAAGAGACTCAATCGACCGAAACCACACAAAACCTACGTATGCAAACCAGTGCCTGAGGGTTATACGTTCCCAGGCGTCTCTCTGGGTTTTTACTCGGCAATACTCTAGAGGGGGTCTGAATGGTGAAGAAAGGGGTCCACATGTCGGTGAAAATTTCGTGAAAAAATAGCCTGCGAACAGCAGAGGCATTTCCGGTCGTCGCTTCTCTCCCTCCGGAAATGCGTCCGCTGTTCGCAGGCTAGTGAGAAAAGTGATGGGGAGGATTTTCAGTTTGCAGCAAACACCCTGTACTGGAATTATTTTTGGGCGGACAAACATTTTCAACACTTTTTTTCTATACTTAACAACGTACCTATTTATCACATCCAATAAAAGTACTACGTGTATTTTCCTGCAGCTACATGTGTAGTGATTTTTAAAGAATAATGTAAGTTCAAAAAACTGGAAAATCGTTTCTCTTTATTCTTGCATTTGTGCTTCATAATTTTAAAACAGATATAGAGGATATTACATGGCCGCGCGGCAATACGAAATTTGTCTTCGAGTGTTGGAAAAATATTTCCGAGTGAGCGCAGCGAATGATTGAAATATTTTTTTCAACACGAGAAGAGAAATTTCGTACCTCCAAGCGACCATGTAATGTTCTATTTATTATATAAACACCAATGAAATACCAAACCATGTCACTTAAAAATAGTTTTTTGGTGTGAACGGTGCGATTTATTATGTAGCAATAGCAACAGTGATATTTTTCACATGTGAAGATATCAAGTTTTCGCGCGAAAGCTCACTTGGTATTTCATTGGTGTTTATATAATAAAAAAGGATACACTACACTACACAGACAACACAACAACTCTAATTCAACAGGTTTTCCTGGATGTATACCATGTGGGAGAGGTGGATACCATTTGGAGTGGAAGACTTCCCCGTGCAAACTTGTAATCCCTGGCCTCTGTTATTCCTCTCCCACAACCATCATAAAAAAATAAACGTTGGTTTGGTATATTGTTCATTGAATTAAGGTACAGCAATAAACCATATGATAGATGTATAAGAAACAAATCATATAAGAACTACGGAAATGTAGTCAAATGAAGAATGATCCTCGCAGTTGTGAACGCAATTTATGCAATCGCGTTCACAACTGCGAGGATCATTCTTCATTCGAATAAAGCATATAACATACAGTATGTACATTTGCCTCACTATGAAGTCATTTCGGACATCCATACTCGCGTTATTCATTGGATTATGGGATTGACTGAACTCATACCAACTCATTTTACACCTGATGGTTGACATGGATTTGAGGTTGTTGGTCCAAGGATGTTGAGGGTCTGGGTGGAGAGGGGTTGGGCGGGTTACTCGCTTATATCACTTTCTGTCAGGCAGTTGGGCTCTATTATCACCGGTTGTTATACCTTGAAGGTTCACTCTCTTTCTGGAGTGAGAATTAACCAAATTTTAAGTTTACTCGACAAAGGGAACGCACCACGGTCCTGCACGGCTGCGACAAAACTACAAAAAACCCACGAATTTATTCATTTTTATTATTTTTAAACTAAAAGCACAAGGGGCTGACATGAAAACCTTTCTTAAATGGACCGTATATGTAGATGACGACTAGTCCTCAGGAAAAATACAACAAGTGAAATACCAGAGGAAACGCGTGAGGATTAAAGCACCGTGCCCGGCACCCGCGACGAAGATGATTGCATATTATCCCTGACCAAATAAGAGACTATTTGTAGTCTATAAAATATTGTCCCAGCTATTGAAATTAAGTTGCATTGGCACATGAGATATTTACAAGTTTTCTGCTATTCTTTGTAAAAATACAATAATTATTGCAATTTATCCATTATCTTTACAATCATACTACCGCCTCAACTCGGAAGGAACAAAAACAAAACAGAAGACTTTGACTTTTCTAAGAAATTAGAAAGGCTGTCAAAGAGGGAAAACTTGCCTTGAACATATTCCATATCGACATATCCCGGCAGATAACAAGGTTGGCGCATACTTTATTACAGGAATTAACGCTTCATGAAATTAACGTGAATTTCAAAAATTCGTGTTAATTTTTGTTCGGCGACCGTAATTTCCATTATTTTGGCTCCAAATTCACGATTCACTTTTGAGATTCTTGTCACCTAAGAAAGAGAAGTATTTTAACAGGGTGGAGATCCACCAGTATCAGGGAAACTGTCAAGAACCCTCGAAGTGTCAGTTTTTTTTTTTTTTTTCACTTGTTCCCCTTCGTGCGTTAATTTAGGTTAAGTACCACGAACAAAGTTTCCATTTCGGATGATACGTTTAACTTTGTCTCTGTTGTCTCAACAAGTTTTCTTTCTTTGTCAACGTCGCGTTAATTTCCTTCATTTTAATGTGAACCCCTCTTTTGCGTCCATTTCCTTTATTTGAAAGCCGTTTTCTGTTAAATTCGCCTTGAATTAAGTCGCGTAAATTTCCTATAATAAAGTACACTATGAAACTTCAATAGACTCTTCCCTCCCTTCCACATATTTTCATATTTTGAACAGAAATAATAGTTGGCGAATATCCATCATGACCGCTTAAGAAGCACCCTAAAAATAGTGAATATGCCAAGTTTTTCAACGTGATACGTGAAGATATTGCTCTGTAAAATCTCCACATTTTATGGTGGAAGGCACGAACTTGCAGAACCACTTCGATCTTACCTTACTCTGACCGACTTGTCTAGGAAGATTGAAGGAGACTCTGTTCGCAGGGTAGAACTTGCCCGTCACCATACAAACATCTGTAAAAATTTTGCAGCCTTTGCAGGGCTTTATATTCCTTAGTTTTTAACAAATCAGCGGTGTCAAAGGGTTTTCGCTTAGTGGTCTACGTCAAAAAAGAAAATTAATGCGGGTCTATTCACCCATCTAGCAAAGCAATCCTAGCTCAATATCTACGAAAACTCACCGCACATTTAGTACTACGAGACACAAATGGAGCAGTAAAAAGGTATATTATTAAAAATAAGTTCCCTACTCTTGCCAATAATAAACAGAAAAGTAGACTCTGCCAGCAGGGAAAAATAAGTAAAATATTTTGGGCAATCAGAGTCTATCAAATAGTTATTATTATTTTCACGAGTCATAATCATCATCTTCATCATGTAATGAGTTTCCCATCATGCCTGCAGTAGACATTTGGTTAAGCTGCTGCGGCATATCCATAGAAACAGATGGTGCTTTAGATCTGACAACAAATACAGACATTCTGGTGAATAATACAATAAAGAAACACACACAAACACATACACACACAGTTCTGTGCGCCATAACATGATAAAACTATCAGTTGATGAAACAAAATGGAGTAGTTTGCTAGCCAGGACCCGTGCTCTTATTCTTTACATTTCGATTTGAATGTATGTTTTCGGGCTCGAAACGTTACCGGAACTTTCGAGAAACAGGCCCCTGGTCTTTTACAAAGAGATCTGTTTAAACTCTGGAGGCCTCTATTTCAAGGTCCCACCCAGAAGGCTCAAATGAATTCAGTTATTCCAAGATCAACTTTTCTACCATGCATGAAAATAGCTAATCAGTGAACTGAACACAATAACACATGCTTTGTTGCAAAATGAAAGAATCCAACATCATGGACAAACACAAAACCCTAATTTTAGTATTAGTATACGATATTGAGACCCCACTGTTTTATTAAAAATAACATTGGAAAAGGACACTTACTGTTGATTTGAAGTATCATCTGTACTGGGTCTCGTTAGTGTAATAGAAGGTACCGGAAATTGGAAAGGTGTACTTCTGGAAGAGTTGAATGTGGTATTTGTTGCACTGTTATGATTACTTGTTCCTTCAGATGATGACTCTTCTTCCTGGTCATCAAACAAACAATCACGTGAATATTTTCGTTTTAAAGCTCTGTACAAATGGAACTAGCTTATTGGTCCAACTTCATCCAGTATTGTTGGCCATGATATAATTGAGTGGGATATTGCTGGGTAAGGTTTAAATTACTTCAAACTATTCATCCATCATTTCGTTTGTTCTCCTGTGCAATGGACCATTTCTCAAAATGGTGGTGGTTCATGCAATGCAACCTTCAATTTAATGACTTTGTGCCCATAAGGTTGCGCAGCATTGTTCATATTGTACATAGTGAACAACACAAAATTAACTTCAATATTTGTACCTCAGAATCAAGTTCCTCTTCAGAGTCATCTGACACTGTGGTAGCTTGAGGTTTTCTTTTCTCTGATTTCTTCCTTTCTTTGTTTTGGGTGGGAGGTTTAGGAGTCCTTTTTCTGAAAGTATTTCAGTAACCATAACTTTAAACATTTTAATGACTTGGTGACAATCCAAATATTGTGGTCAGCATTACACTGTATAGAAGTCAGCAGCAGCTGTAGCAGGGGTAACTGGCTTAGACCATTGTTCAAGGTGGTCGAACTGTTGAGTAGTTCCCATTCATTGGGGTGTTATTTAAGACTCATTGCGGGTACACATGTAAGGCTCAAATTTGGCATGGCCAAAATATATTTATAAAACAATATATATTGAGGCTCACGGATGATTTAAAACACAACCTAAGTTTGGAATTAAGCAGGTTTACCCCAAAATATTATCCAGTTATTCAGATTTCCTTATGAATTTCAACACAGCTTACTTAATACAATATTATTTGTAATCCTCATTTTTTTAAAACAGTTTGACCAAACTAACAAACAGTTCTTGAAATGTTTCAGAAATTAGCTGTTAGTCAAATTGTACCAACCCAGTTTGCATCTGATTAGTCCATTTAACAACCTTGCTGAGAGAAAACCAATCAAGGTTGGCATGCTAGCAATGACTTATGAAGATGTTCAATGTCAGTTATTGTCAGGTAAGTATATAGTCAATATCCACTGAACAGTCAAATGAGTCACTGTTTGGACAATATTTTATTGTATGATGAATGATTATTAAAACTTTAAGCTACAGTTGTATGATACTCTTCTGTTTCAACATGAGGTACATGTACTTCACACACACCAGGTATTCCATACCTTTTTGGCTTTGGTTCTCCATCTCTTTCTTCTTCATTGGAAGGGAGATCTGGAACATTTGCAACTAAATCTTTCAAAAAGTCAAATTGGTTTTCTGATGTGATGCACCGCTTCCTGTAGAGATGGGACAAAACAGAAGCATATAACCCTACAGCGTACAGAGAACTCTGTTCCAATGCAGGGTCTTTTTGGAGAACCAATCAAAATTTACTTCCTAATATGAAATTATTCATCCACGGAATTGTTGCGTGAGTGCTTTGGAAATCCTTGGGGGCAATTACAGTATTACGTAGTGAAATTGAACCAAACTCAGAATATTATAGCCAAAATGCCAGGATTGACTTCCTCCTGACAATACAAAGTCAAATACACGTGACTTGTATCTTACAAGCTTGATGAAGGCTAGCCCAAGCTCAAAAGCACAACATTATGCAACTTTTCTTTTTATCTCCTAGTTTTCTAAGTTTGCTATCTTAGCATCAAGAAATGCACATGTGCAGACGCCATTCAAAATAAAATGTAAAATGTCTTGCAATGTCCTCTGAGATGGAAAACTACTTATCAAGCAAGAAAATTTTTTTACAAAAAGTTTTTGCTTTGCAAATTATTCGTACACACCATAGCGCAGCTTAGCATGTGCAAATGACAACACACTCGCCAGCTTCACTAACTGTAAATGTAAATTTTTTTACCTGTTGATTATGTCATATAACAAATGTAAATGACCCACCTTATACCATTAAGTCATGGCAGGAGAGAATAATCTAAGAGAGCGAATCCCCCATGCATGACCTTCTTCCCATATAAATTATTTTAAATCTATTCTTGGTTCTGTGTCATACTGCATGACTCTTGTATGGATGATGCCTCAATAGTTGGTAAAAATGGCATCATGTCATTTTAAACTTGGTGGGTAATTCATTTCACTACCGATCATGCACAGCAGGAGGCCTGCGCACAGCAAGCAACATGACAGGTGAACTTGATGTTTTGCTGCCCAACATTATTTTAAATTTCTAACAGCATTAGACGAATGTTCAAGTACAATGTAAGGGACTGTTTAGCAGCTTGAAGCATTTGAGCTTACTTGTGTTCACACAGCAGAATTCCTCACAAGTATTTAGACGTTAAGAAGACAATATTGACTTTAAAACTCCAAAGAATAACAACTATTCTTTGGAGTGCATTTAAGAACTATTCTTAAATGCACTTGTGCTGTGTCTGAATGAGGAATATTCCTGGACAGAGAGAAAAAATATCTTGCACATTAACATAAACGACTGAAGCCAGCCCCCTGCTTAGGGTTTTGTATTTCACATGTGAACCATTTGCCTTTGAATGTTTACATGTACGGTGTGTGAGCATATAACATTCATTACTTCAAATGTGCTACCGTTAGAAAATCCCAATCTTTAATTTATTAAAGTGAAATTTTGACTCCAATACTGCAATCTTTTCTAAATAAAATTCATTGGTATAAAATAATGATGGGAGCTCGCTAATAAAAAAAATGTCAACAACATACTAAATCTTTGGTGCAATAATTGCTATAATGGCTGTCAAACTTCAAATGTTTGGCTGTGAAACATGTCACATTCAGTGAAACTAGACTGTGCGGGTCACAAAAACAACAGACAAAAACAACCTTCATGGCACACAAACTTTACATAGAACTTTACATAGATTTCAAATAATTATTATGGCACATAGGGATTCCCTCTCTTAGATTATTCTCTCTCGGTTATGGACATAATTGGAGGACTGTTAAGGACTGAAAAACATGTTATTAGCTACCTTTTTAGACAGGGATTGACAGGGATGACTCTCAAGCCAAATAAGGGAAATTTAGATGCTTCAGGGTTGCATGCTTTTGGGCAAAATCACACATCTTAGTTTTCACTAATTTTTCAACTTCTTATAGTCTATCCTTTGAAAAGATGATCCTTCTAATATTCTTGATACTGACAAAGTGCAATGATCATTCAAACCGCATTCACAACAGTTTCTTGGCAGTTGATGTTTTACAAAATGTTTGTTAGTTAAGTAAATAATTAACAATTATTGGACGAGGTTGAGCAAAATATAGTAATTTGTCAGTGGTGAGCAGATCTATTATTTGCCGAAGCCGAATGTGCGAGACACTGGAAAATCACAATATTTTGTGATAACTGAGTTCAATAATTGTTTTATCATTCGATCACCAAGTTTGTTTTTCAATGAATATCTTCGGGAAGCGAAGCGATCTGCCTTTTTTCACATAAGAACATAACGCATGAGCAGAATATTATTTGCAGCCAAACACAGTTGGATGACATTGTGCATGAGCAGACCGTTATTTGTAGGCAGTTATTTGCAGGTCACGTGGTGGGCTTTCAGCCAAAGAAAAGGAAGAAAAATTTGCTTCAAATGATAATTAAAATTGTTAATCAAAATTATGACCAATATATAGCTAGTATTTGAGTCACTTGTACCCCTCATTAAAACCTAACACAAATAAACTTAATAGATGATCTAGTAGCCTGCGTAGCAAGCGTTGCCACGCGAGGTCATCAAGAAAGTTGGGACGAGAGCAAAAAAAAGGAATGACCAGGGAGGGGGAGGGGAAAGAAGGAAACGCTTGCCCGCAAACCCCATGATTTTGAAAAACTGTGTTTGCCCACAAACGCAGCTTCTGATTGGTGCGGTGCTGGTAGTGTTGATTACTTAGCACTCGAAACATCAATCAAACCAGGTATGCTGAGTCACAGATCTGGTCTCATCTTATTGTGGTCACAGATTACAAATGCTTTGAACTGATATTTATTTGAATCGTGTTTGTACAAAGGTTTATGAGATCAGAGTCTTCAAAGTATAATGGGAGATCAAGCAGTGGAGACTAGGGAAGGCCAGATTATTGAGAATAACGGCGTGCGGATCTGACTGGGAAAAAAGGGACTGGTTGTTTGCGATAACATCAACGTAAATCAGAACACTGGGACTTGACACTAGCTAAAGCTGCCATAGACCAGCGATTTGCAGTGTTCTCCCTAAATTTTAGCTTAGCAGGTAAGGGACCATTCTTGACAGGTAAGGCCATAATATGCACCAGAGGCGCACTCTCCCGACACGGGAGGGGCTTCACGTTCATGAAGGCTTTTATTTTCGAGCATCCTGTCAAATTGACTGAAAAGTGTTTTAAACGCCTCAAAACAAAGAATTTTACGAATGAAGGCTGCCTTTGCCTCTAGGTCCAAGGCTGTGCTCTAAGGAAAATATCAGGGAGCCCTTCGGGATCCCAAGCATTTTAACTAAGGCGCCCAGATCTCAAAGTTGGTCACCCAAATAAAAATTTCAGGGAGCCCTTCGGGCTCCCAACCATTCCAGCTGGGGTGCCCAGGCCTCCACGTTGGTCACCCGAGTACATCTGATGAATATTTGTAAAAACATTTTCTGTAGGGTTTAGTAAACTCTGCCTCAACAAACCAACACTGGTATGGTTAATTTTTCTGCCCACTTAACTGAACACTGCACTAGAAGCAAGAGTGCCCGGCCGGGCGACCGGGAATTTTTTTTCAGTCGTCTGCATCTATGTTAGTTGCCTCAGGCAATCCGGCACCATTAGAGGACAGCCTTGAGGCCAATTTAGTAACACAAGTTGCGGAAGTCACGAACTTTTCCTGCTGGTCAAAAAAGCTTAGAATTGGGACAGAAGCCCACAACAAAAATTGTGAGCCTGCAGTGCTTTGAAAGGTGCCAGTCAGCATTTAAATAAAGTAATTAGGGAGAATAGCTGTGTATACTTTTTGTTTTTTTGTATTTACTTCCTTTTCTTGCGGGGATCGGCTTGGATCACTACTTGCATATTTTTTTAAAGAATTTATTTGATTATAATAATAGTAACACTTCAAGAGGTTGCAGGCGGTAAGAAGTGTTGTTTCAAGAGGTAAATTTTACCGGTTACCGCCTGATAAGGAGAACACTGGATTTGTCAGCTTTTTGAAATGAAAAGATTCTTTTTGTTTATTGGACATTTAGTGGCATGTATTGTAGAGAACGTTTCAACACGGGCTGAAGAGCAGCCGCTCTTCAAAACTTAAAGCCAGCAGAGTGAATTGACGTTTCAACAAGATTTCAGACGAGATAAAGCCACATAATAAAAAAACAAGAAATTCTGTAGTAATTGCTCGGAGTTTTAACGTTCTTTTATCGTAAACCTTTTTCATTACAGTTTCTGCAATCGCCTGGAGCGTGTTCTATTAGAGAAAACATTAATTTTACAAATCTGGTAATCCAGGGGTAATCTGTTTGTTTTATCTTCTATTTTGACGAGCTGTCAATTTACAAATGAACCAAACTGTAAAATATCAAGTGGCGTTTTCCAGTATCATGGGGTTAGCAGGCAAGCGTTTCCTCTTTTCCCCTCTCCCTTCCACCTTTTTGTTTTCTGCTCCCACTCTAACCTTCGCTCAATAACTCGATGGGAAACTCTTGCTATGCAGGCTAATGATCTAGCTTCTAAGCATGTACATGCGACAAACATGACCTGTTCTTATTAGGTGCAAACATGACAGATTTTGCCGCCAAACATTCCAAGGAAAGTGTTTGACAAATTTATTGTTCACACGCAAAGTAGGCGACAGTTTATCAGAATGAAGAATCTGACTTGATTTGTGTTTAGTTTTAAAACAGTTTTATTCACCTAAAGAATTTAAGATATTAACAAAGAGGAAGTTTGAGAGTTTAAAAAACTCCAAGGAATAATAATAATTCATTACGGAATGGCGCCTGTAGATCCGTGTCGCCCACAAAATCGCGGGTCCCATGACTATTTGCGCGCTCACAAAGGAAGCCGACGCATGTCGCGTCCTTTGATTCAAGACTCAAGTGTTTAATAACGTATTGTTTCCACGATACAAAGGTAATTTAACTTGAGAAAATCTATAGATCGAAGCTTTCGCGCTACTCTCTGTTTTATAAGGAAATGCACAAGCTCAACTTGATAAATATTTTGACTTCATAAGATATTTCAACGATTTAGGCCAACAGAATGTATAGAATTCTAGAAAAGCAATTCAGGAAGTCGAACGGTTTTGAACTGCGCTAGACGTTGTTTTTATCAGTATGCAAATCACCTACCCAATCCATCGAACTGAAATATCCTGACTTTTTTACCACGTTTCAATTTGACTTGTCTCATTTTATATTATTTTGTGCAAGTTAAGCTCTTTCATGCGAATTTACATTTTCAAAAGGAAAAAAATTTCCTTACAACCACGGCAATTTGTGTCTATTTCGCGTCACTTACGCTTATATGCAAATTACTGTTCACCCGCCGGATTTCGCTGGAGACAAAAATATTGATTTTGAATTCCCAAATGCTTGCCTTTGGGGCACCTTTTTTATTTTGGCTATCAAGATTTTAAAAGTCAAGCCTCAGACTTTTCATTCCAACGTTTTAATGCGGGAAAGTTAAAAGAAATGCTGCAACTGATTAATGTCACGCAACACGCTTTAAGACCGCATAACTTGATCTTTCTGTTATCTTTTGTTCTTCTATTGTCTCCAAAACAATAACGATGTTTCACCAATTTCCACCTACAAATAATAGGACACATTTGATTGACAGAAAAATTTGCATTTACTAGCGACGCGTTTCTACAGGCGCGATTCCGTAATGTATTATTACATTGTATCCCTTGGGAAAAAAACACATTTTAATATGGTGCCAAACATGACACGTTTCACAACAGAGCAATTAAAGTTTGACACACGTTAAGGCAAACTGTTGTAAGTTATTCATTTGTCAGGAATGGATTGCATTATTGGAGTAAAGATTCCTTTTTCTGATCAAAAGATGGAAATTTTCTAATCATCACTTCTTTCAAAGTAACGAATGTTCATTGACACACCGTAAGCACAAAACTTCACACACAAAATACAAAACACTTAGTGACTGTTGGCTCCATTTGTTTGCATCATTGTGCGAGACCATTTTCTTCACCTTAGGGAATATTTTTCATTCAGGAATAGCATGCATGCTTTTAAGAATAATGATAATTTTTGACCTTAAGAACAAGTTCTGAAGCTGTAAAACTCCAAGGAATAATAATTTGGAGTTCTTTTGTTACTGGAGCAAGTAACCATAAAAATGAAATAACATCTATTACATTTATAGAAAAAAATGGTTGATGCTGGTTATTGAACCTGGTACCTCTGCTCCAGAGGTTAAATAGTAATGCAGTGTGCTACAAGGACATCTTTTTTCAAAAGGTAAAATTCAATTATTCAGTGGTTTGTTTCACTCACCCACCTTGTTTTGTTGTTGTTGTTTTCAATACGTTTGTTTTCTGTTTCCTATATTTATATTGTTCTGAAAAAGTATTTCAATAAATAAGGGAGTTGGAGTAAACTTGAGAAAACCTTGACTCATTTCGGTATGCCATTGGTCTAACTTAGCTGTTTGTGAAGTCTTTTAAACTGTAGCACCAGGCGTGGATCCACACTGATTTCCACTGTCATATGGAAATTGGTCAGATTTTTCATAATAATATATTTTTAATTAAACCAAAAAATTTTCCAAGTTGAAATTTGTCGTACAGTTTTGGCAGACAGTAAATATCCTGTCTGAATGACTCAAAAGACTTTTGGGAGTTATAATCCAAAAAAAAAATTTCTAGGGAAGCACGCCCCAGAACTCCCTAGAAGCTTCCTTTTTTGGCGCTCGTTTAGGAAATCAGTCGGTATTTATCCTAGATCGTCGCCTGAGTAAACTTATAGTTCCCATTTTTTTATTGTTTGAATCCTGATATCTCATGCACTTTTTTAATGCAAAAAAATAAAAAAAATTGCATTAAAAAAAGAGCATGAGATCAAGATTGAAACCCTAATGATAATGAAATTTTTAAAGCTTAAAAGGAAAAATGCAGGGTTAGCAAAGTCCTCGAAAAAAAGGCACCAACAACTATCAAAGGCGGATCTTGATTATAACTTACTAACTGTTTAAAAACTTAATTCTTTTCATCTAATTATCTTTGAACAATACAATACTTGTACAATACAATATTAAATTGTTGGGCTTAAAAAAAGAAAAAATTCATCCAAAAAAATGAGCAATAGCACGTATTAAACCTCCGGTAAGGGGCTAAAATCGTCGTCAAGTTGACATAGAGGCGCCAACTACTCACAGAAAATAATTGTTTTAAGCAGGACAAATCTATCAAATTTCACTTTATTTTGGTTCTCAACACTATATTTGTCTACAAGTATGGGTAAATAAAGGTGACAAACAACTTCTTTCGCTGCTCACTTAAATGCAATGTACTGAAATGCACTTTTCAGGAACCCTAAAATAAAAATTTTTCCAGGGGAGGCTCCAATTCTCTCCCACTGAAAGGGGTTTGCCCCCTTACCATACCTATTCCTGCACACAATTATGCAATGTGAAAGATGCACCTTTTGATCTTATCAGTTGCTGCCTACTCAATGTTTTTCTCCTTTTCAAATTTTCTGGAGAATGCTGCATTAATGTCGTGTGCTCTGAGGACAATAGAATCAGACTTACGGACTTACACAGATGTTGCTATAATGGGTACTGGCTATAAGCCAGAAAAAATAAAAAGTTTACCAGTTCCTCTGCAGTTCCAGATCTTGAACCCTCAAAACCAGTTGACATTCATTGAGTGGTAGTTTTGCATATTCTTGTTATCATTTTTAATCACCACAGGAAGCCCGATATTTCTCGTAGCTGCAGACTCTTTCACCATTTTTCGAGTTCTGCAAAACCAGAACAGCTAACCTGCTGCACTGTAGTCTTGCATGATGTTAATTATGTCAATTATTCCATCACTGACATCAACATTAGAATAATCATTGTAATCATCTTCCGAATTTGGTTAGTGCTAGCAGGTTATGAGAAACTGGATGGGGATTTAAAGCCAGTCAGAAATGGAGAGGTATTTTGCATGAAAAAAATATTATTGACGTTCCACTATATAGCTTTAATAATTTTGCCTTGTTCAAAATGATCCTGACAGTTACCTTACAGCTCCACAGTCAACAAAAAGAGAAATTATCATTTGACATAACAAATCATAACATTAACTACAGCTAACTACATGTAAAGTGATGTCTAGACAGGCATGTTAAACAAAATAACCACTGAAGGAATGTATTGTCTCAGTACTGACAATAGAAATAAAATATTGATGATTCAAGAGTAGCAAGAATTTACTAGTATAAAGATTGATTTATCATTTTAGAATTTGGTTTGTACATGGAACTATTTCACTTTAAGAGTTGAAAGTAAGTGTTTAAATACAAACCTCCTTAAACTCGAGAGGTTAAACAGAAATCCAAACCTTCCAAATAGATCAGATGGAACATTGATCTTAAAAGCTTTGTGTCAAGAAATATTACTATTGTTAAAATTTATGTGACCTAATTATAGCTGTCAGAAATAAAACTGGAACAAAACAGCATAAAACGATCACGGAAATGCAAAAATAACACTTAAAATGTAAGAAGCAGTTCTGTTGGTATAAGTTAAGTATTAAGCATATGTAAAAGAGATAACATAAGAAATAAAAATCACTCACAGATGTTGTGTAGTCATCGTCTTGGCATTCCTGGCTCTCGTATATTCACTCGCCCTTTCTACCAGGGACTGTAAAAACATCTCGAGTGCTTTCGCTGAGGAATGAAACAATTAAGGAAAAAACGTAGAACACACTCGAAGTCTTCATGGGTAAAGTAGGCAAGAATGAATTTCCTCTTCCAACCGAGTTTTGTAAAAATAATGATAGCATAGTCCAGCTAATGAATCCTTTCACTTGCTATTATGTTATATCTCATGTGCATTTATTGTGTTATATCTCATGTGAATTTTAAAAAGGAAATAGGGAATACTAAAATCTGAACGACGTTCGGTTTCAAATAAGTCAAAAGTTTTGTTTCTACAAGCTAGGATACAAATAATCACAGGTACTGCAGCTGCAACCTTTCCAACGTCTTCGTCGGTTTGCATTATTTTCTTGATCCGCGCCTTTAAAAGCAAAAACGAAAGATTAGATTATGCACCTAGGTAAGGAAACATAGTAGAAAGACGAATTTACCGGTGGAAATCGGGCATTAAACTTTTTCTTTTTGCTCGGCATCTTGGAGATCTTGAATGCTATCTTCAACTCCCGCGGTACCAAACAAAGATTGGTCAGTATGGAATAACACAGCGCATGAGCAATTACTACATTAAGCCCAGTCTCCACTCCAATCGTAGTCGAGATGCCGTGGCCTTAGCACGAGATTTTGAAAAAGGGTTGGAGCGCCGAACGCCGAAGGCGCTCCAAACTAGGTGGACAAGGGGCATAATCCTCCAGAAAATTTTTGAATTCATGGTCTCAGAAATGCTATTTTCTGCGTTTTCCTCAGTACTTTTTCGGAAAAAAAAAACGAAGGGAAAGCTGCGAGGGGGCAAAGATCGGTAATTTTTTGTCGTTTTTCAGCACACTATTCTGATAACGTTTTTTGCCGTCTGTTTATGGAATAATAAAATGAAAACTAGAAAGGAAATACTAAAACTAAGAGATAATTCTCTCCTGTATAACAACATAAGGCAAAAAAGTTTTCAGTCATTCCGTTTTAATGATAAAATGGACAAAATTCCTTCAAAAAATAAAAAAATACATATTTTTTCCAGATTTCAGCTGTACTCACGGGCGTACGTGCGCGTATGGACGCTACGCTCCTGGATATTACTAGTAAACTTGAAGGTTATAATTAGTCTTTACATCACAATATGTTACGCCTCGTGAACAGTAGTATTAATGTGAATTCCTCATACCAGGGGCACTCAACGACGGTTTCCTCCTAAATAAATTGAAAACTTTAAGTTATCCAGAGTTCTTTTAGATCTTTAGTAATGCATTCTATTGAGCGGTGCTATGAAATTTGTATCTGTTCGGTCATCCTAGGGGAACTTGAGTCTTTTCGAAATTACAAGGGCTTCAGTATTATTTTCCCGAAAATTTTAGATGCAATTTAACGTTTAACGAAAGTGAGATTTTTTCTTAATCCTCTCTCGCTCACATTTTTGAATCCGAAAATTTGAGGTTTCCTTTTTCTACGAAAATTAGCTCAACATGAGGAGTAACTTGTGAGTAGTTAAACTTCAGAAAATCGTAGGGAAGTTATTAGATAAGCTTCGAAAATTGTGAATGGAACGGTCATCTAGAACTCAAGCAATAGGAAATTCTAGGCAATATTTGCTTCTCCGAACAGATAATTCACAGAAAACAGTCGTTGGGTGCCCCGGTCATACGTTCCCTTGCAGAGGGAGTAAAGATTCAACACAAATTAATGTCTCCGATGATAAAATATGCAACAGCAGTCCAATGCGTGCAGAAACACGCTTTTCGGTACTTCCAATTGTGTAGTTGGGCTGTGCTAGACTGTAGTGTAATTTACAAGTCGTTTATATGCGATTCCATTTGAAAGCGACACTGACCGGCTTCAGGAAATTAAAGACAACTTAGTTTCACACTGGAGTTTACAGTGTTATACAGTGATATGAACTCTTTTGTTCTTGGTCAAAGTTAGCGAAGTAATGATCCAATTTCCATAGAGAGCGTGAAGAGCTTAAGCGCCGTAATTGTGACTTCCAATTGAGTAGAATTTCCATAGCAACACCTCAAAAGTTGTATTAAGAGGGTTTACATGTGAATTAGCTTACGTCACATTGTTTGAATTCTGTCTGTGCTGTGTGTTAGTTCTTTAGTATTATTTGAATAATTGTACACAAAAAAAACAATAGATTGGGCTCTTGGGATCTGATGTTGCCTGGCACTATTCGAAGTCATTTGTTTGCACTTAAGGTTAGTTTTTCCGGGCCGTGTAGATGAACTACCTTGCGCCTATATAAAAGTTTTATCAAAATGACAGTTGGTCTTACGGATTTGCTTGATTTGGCCATCAGTCCCCAAATCGGACCAGTTAATTTCTTTCACTTAAGGAATCTCCTTCATACTATAGTTGAGCACTTTGGAATCGGTGAAGTAGAAGCACAGCAAGCAGAGGTTAGAGGACCACAGTCCCTAAGATCTTCATCAGAAGCTTCTAGCACTGCTGAAGATTCTTCCGATAGCGAAGATGATGAAGGTATGTTTGCATCCATTTTTCTTCAAGGGGGCCAGGTAATGTTTCTTCCTTAATCTTTAGTGAACGTGAATCAGACCGCGGAATGAAGGGTTTAAATTGAAAAGGAACCTTTAGATTATTGGGTACATGTGTAACTTTAATCAATTATTGCAACAATTTTATCACTTAATTTTCTTTATGTGCCAGTCAGAAACTGGAAAGAATGATTGTTCTCTACAGTACTGTTCTTCTATGCCATCTTTCAAAAAGAGAAATGTAGCAAACGGTGAGCGGAGCACTTTCCGTGTTTTTCTGCGCTCCGAGCCTCGTGAGCTCGTTCTTTTGTTTGTATGCATAACGTTTTGAGCACTTAAGTCAAAACTTTGATATACTTTATTAGTTGTCCGAAACAAACAAAGTGGCAAGTACTTTATTTTGAGTCTGTATTCAACATGAACATTTTTTTTATTTAATAACTTATTTGTTGCTTATTTCACTTGATACGGTAAGATGTTATTTCCAAACAAAATAAGCTGATAGCATTGTCTTGAATTTAAGAGTTAAAACTTTTAAAAATTCATTCGATCAAAGTCGAAAGCGTCATGATTGCATTTATTTAATTAACTTTGTACCGTTGGTCGCCTTTATAAGAAGCAGGTATTTTAGTGTCATATCAAGTTATATAGAGTCTTTAAAACAAGTATCGAATAATTAGTTTCTCATGCCGAAAAAAGAAAGTCCTAAAGGACCTTACGTTTACGCACATGTAGGATCGATAAATGTAGCTGCCTATTCCTATTTATGTTTAAGAGGCCTTTGAATTTCGTAATTCAGTATTATAACACAAGACCTTCAGAGCGTTTTCTGCTAAAGGTGAAAAAAAGAAAGAAAAAAGCCACTCAAGTGCAAGCGTTGGCGCGTATACAGAATTTTGTAATAGTTATGAATAGAGAAGGACATGCACTTATGTTGCTCTGAAAAATGTATCTGGCATGGCGTATAATGCTGGAAAAAAATCTTACACCGTTATATGTCAAGGACAAAAAAAATCTCCACAACTTGGGGAAAAAGTCTTACCCAAACGAACTCACCCATACACCACCCCCCCCCCCAAAAAAAGTCAACCTATACACTGAATCAGTTTTCTTGCTTGCGTCTGTTATGGTAAAGATAAATTCGGTGAAGTCTTGGTGGGGTAAAGGCCTCCATTTACCCAGTGCGGGACTACTTGTCCAAACTCGGAAAAATTCAAAGAAACAGAAAAGAAAAAATTCACGATTCAGTTGTTTGCGACAAAGCTCTTCGAGTACAGTTTGTTTTTTCTAAAACAAAAAAAATCAAAATTTATTATTTTTTCCAAAACAAATTTATTTTTTCAACAGAAAGCGAGACTGAGTCTGCAGATGATGGTCACGTCAGCGAGGAAGAAGTAACACAGACTATAGTGGATGAAAATGGAGAAGAAAAGACCGTCACGGTCATGGTTCAAAAACCATCCAAACCGAAAAAACGCCAGTCTGAACTCAGCGAAAAAGACGGAAATGAAAGGGACGGAGAAGATAGAAAAAAACGGAAGGACAAAGAGAAATCGAGACATAAATCAGACAAGGACAGTTCGAGAGAAAAAGAAAGAAAAATATCAAAGCACGATAAGGAAAGTGACGATAAGGATGACAAGAAGAAAAGGCGAGATAAAGACCGAAGCAGTTCATATGGCTCCGACTCAGTGTACGGTAAGAAAGATGACAAGAAAAGGGAACGCAAAATGACGATGGAGTCCTTGTCTGAATCGCCAGAGCTGATCAACATTAATCGCAGACTAGAAGCTGCTGAAAATGGAATCAAAGGATTAAGAAATATCATCGACTCCATGGTAAACCAGGTGGATTTTGGAGATGAGGTGGGAGGAATATTGAAAGCCCAACTCGATCAAGTTCAACAGCAACTCAATAAAGTTGAACTTGTACCTGAAGGCGAGGCTGCTAAAAAGGAAAAGAAAAGAAAAGGATCCAAAGCTAAAGGATCTCAGGAAGTGCCTAAGGAAGGGCTCATTACTGAAGGATCCACACAGCAAGCCCAGGCTGTTAATGCTCAGCCGATGAATGTGATTCCTCAGGTTATCCCACCCCCCGACAGGAGCTCACAGGATATGCCCAAACTACAGCCAGGTCGTCTGCCATCGCGCAAAGATGAAAAACGAAAAATAAGCTTGCCAATGAAAGGTGAGCGACCACCTAGTCAAGGAGATAAAACACCGATACGAAGACGTACAACACTGGAGGATTTGAAGCTACGGAAGAAGGCTCGTGAAGAAGGCGTCACTATAGAAGAGATAGAAGCACGCGAAGCTTCCCAGGAGACGAAGAAAGAGAAAAAGGATAAAGAAAAGGAAAAAGGGAAAGAGGATGAGAAAGAAAAGGCTGACAAAAAGAAAGGCGAGGATTCAAGTTCTGATGAGGAGTCACTTGACTCGGAGGAAGAGAGAGAAGCAATGCAAGAGATGATAATGGAGGAGATAGAAGCAGCGCTGGAGAACTCCGATGATCCAGAGGCCCAAGCTTATGCCCTGCGACTTAGCATTGAGCAGATGAATAACATGCGTAAAAGCTTTACACAATCGCAAGAAGAGTTTAGGAAGGAAATGGAGAAAAATAAGAGAGCCATTGATTTGATCGTCAAGGACTTGGCTGCCTTCCGTTCAGCAAGAAAAGCCCAGGTTAGTACACTGTATATAAGTAACTAATTTGTGACTGAAATTTGTTTGACACAGAACGTTTGAGTTTAGACAGGTAGGGTATTCCTTTAAAAGGCAGTAACAGGTTTACATTTTGATAGCTTGTGTTATTTTAAAAATCGTTTTAGTATTTGTTTTATGCAATGGTGTCAGAAAACTCAGAAACTGTGATAAGCCTTCATTATGAAGGATCGTAAAGTCAAAAAGGAAGTAAAGAAAAATAAAAATGAAACAAAACAAAAATTTCATGAATTTACTCTATCGTTGAATTAATGAATCTTTATTGACCAATTTCTTTCAGTTTAGATGATTTTATATTTATATATAATATTTCAGTCCAATATTCATCCATTTTGCTTTCGACTTGTGGCGTGATATCTTCAATTTTAATCTCGACTAGTAAACAGAAGTGGAGGAGTCGTAATAAACTTGCTGATTATTGATGGTAACGTTCAACTTTCTCGCAGGATGCGGAAGGCTTCAACGCAGTGCATCACGTGCATAGTATGGTGCTTGAACTGCAAAGCAAACATGAGAAGCTAGTCCAGACCACCGCGGAGCTGGTGAATGAATACAACAGGCGTGAGAAGAGCCTTGAAGAACTATATAACTCTGTTGATCGACTAGAACAGAACAAGGCTGATAAGGAACATGTCAATCAAGAAATTGGTATCAAGGTAGGAAAAGACAAAACGATCAACTCTGATGCACCGCTCTCACGGAGTTTACTACCATTTTGTAGCATGATACCCAGTCTGAGATTACGATTTTTCCTCATAATGACCATAATATAATCACCGTTTAACTCAAACTCTTACCAATGGCAAAATGAATTCAAAACAACGTATGTAATTGAAAGGGAACAAACAACAACCGGCTGTTTCTTCTGCAAATATCTAAATGTCGTAACCATTCATCAGTTGGACGCCTAGAATGTGTGCAATTCGCCAATTGATTTGGACTCCATCATGATCCTATACTAATAGAACATTTTACGAAGAACCATCTATAATATGAGCTCATTTAGTGGCAGAGTGTGGCACTAAAGTAGAATCAGATTGGCTTGCTGGAGCTCTGAAACCTATCTAAAGGTTTTGCGTGAATTAAGCTACCAATTCTCCAACGTTTTAATCCATTCTATTCCACATCACTAATAGCTTTCTTCTCTTGCACTTTTCCATGCATACTTAATCCATCTGTTTTCAAGACCCGCACTCGAACTAGTTCTAAAACTCTCCTTATTTCATTTCCTTAGGCTGACAAGGGAGACTTGGAGTCGAAAGTAAGCTTAAACCAGTTTGACGAAAGTTTCAACCTCCTGGATCGTGGGCTTAGTGATGCGCTGGAGAAAATGGAAAGCCAAATGAGTATTGAAGATGCATTAAAAGAAACTTTGATGGAGTTGCAAAGCAAGCTGCACCTCAAGTTGGATCGACAGGAGCTGGACGCTTTACGAGATCAGCTGGAGTCGCGCATTAGAGAAGTACAGGTTGTACGAGCTACAATTAAAGAGAAGCAAGACGACGGAGAACCAGCTGGTTTTAGAAGGTATCTATGGTTATAAGTGATTTAATTACAGAGTCATTAGAGAGCTTTAGATTTGAGGACGAGAACGAGTGCGAGTACGAGATTTAACTTAGAGCTTTTCCACCTGTTCTAAAAAAAGGAAACCCCGGAAAGCTTCATTTTACATTTTTTCACCCAAAAAGTTAGGACTGTTATTCATACTAAAGGAGGTTAATAAGAGCCCCCTCCCGATGGCAAAAAGATAAAACTTCTTACATTTGATAACTAGTTTCTGCCACTACACTTTTATTCTCGTCCCCAGATCCCGTCGTTTCTTGTTCAAGTGGTCTTGAAACGAGGGGCTCGGCCACTTAACTCGGCCACTGGTTGATTCGTTACAAATTAAGCCTAGTGGCTCTGGGGATGAGAATGAAAGTCTCGTACTCGTTGTTGTCCTCGTACTCGAATCTAAAGCTCTCTATTATCTAATCCTCTGTGACTATTTCCTGTAACAATACACCTTACTCCAAAACGGCGGCATTGCTTTTATATGTTTACGTTAATTGGCCCTCCTTGTCTCAATTCCGTCTGTAGTATTCAAAACCGAGAACTTTATCTTTCAAAGGGGGTATTGAGGACCAATAGATGTAAATGTTAAATAAATGTTACGGAGTGGGATAAAACTGTTATTAACAAATGTTTAAGGCATGAAAAAGAAAGGAGAGTTGAAAAAAGCCATGCCACATTGTCTGGTTACGGTGTCTTTAGCATGTTAATGTTTGTTGTCTTTGTAGAAATAAGACGGAGAAAGTTCACTGTATTTCATGTGACCGACCCTTAGAAGTTCAACCGGGAGGGATTGGGCCCAACATGCCAAAGATACAAGGATTGCCGGGACAAAAGTCTTCCAAACCGTACACAACATTTGAACTGGAACACATCAGACAACACCAGAAGATGAATATCGCTAAAAAGCCGCCAGTAATAGGAGCTGACCTCGGATATCAAGCACAAAAACTGAAAAATGAAGTGGTAGCCATGACTGGTCTGGTGGATCTTATAGAGCTTCCTCCTTCACAAAGATACTGTGGGGGATCGCACACCATAATGCATCCATTCCGGCGCTCGTTTAAGACGACAGGCTCCCATTTGAACCAATACGTGGTCATACGTGAAGATAGTGATTCTGCGGTGGCGTTACCTCGCAGGGAGTTTATAGTACCGCGTGACAATAATTTAAAGCGTTACATGAAGCCAAAACTACCCGCTATTGGGCAGTCGAATACACGAGAACCATCCCCACCCCCAGAGTTCATCGCCGAGTACAACGAGCGACCACAAAGCGCACCTGCTACTCCCTCAGTTGGTCACAGGTCCCAGCGTCAGCTTAGCTCTCCTCAGGCTCGCGATGAATCGGCAGATCAATCGCCACCTCTTAACGAGGCTGCATCACCCGTGGAAATGGACACGATAGCGGTCACAATTCCATCACCCACGGAGGAGGCCGCTTAACTTTAATTTCAGGCTTTTAGCTGAGATACTTAGAGTTTTTTGTGAGGAATGACATAAGGAAATTGTAAATAGAACTTAAAGTCTCTGGAATTTCTCTAGCGCCACACTGCAAGCATGGCTGGACGGGCTTGCTTTTTGGTTCCAAAGCAATGTGCCAAACATAAAAAGCTAAAAGCAAAATAATTGTATGTATAAATGAACGTGTGTAAATTCTACTGTACAGTGGTTCGTCTGTCAAGCGATGGAAACTTAAAGGTCTTACAAATCCAAACCAAACCCAGGTAAAATTTGCCTGAATTTTAATCAGATTTTAAGATGTGACTCCATTTGAGACCTTTCAATAATCTGGTGTAATAAAATGAGTGAACTGACGAACATCTGGTAGTGTTATTTATTTCAAACGGTAATATCTACAATAAAAAAGTAAAGGTTTGCTGGCTTAAAAAATCGTTGTTCAGCTACATTACAGGTTTAAACGGACTGCACTTTCATATTAGTCATGCGGAAAGCCACACGAAGATAAATGTACGTAGCGCAGGTCTCCGATTTGCGCTCCTTGACAACACATCTCCTGTGATTTCAATGGCCCATATTTCGTTACATGTCACTTTAGACGGTTCTTTTTTAGATACCCCTGGTGCTGATAATCAAACAATCACCACTGATTTCCATCAACATGCGTGACTGTAGAGACGTTAGTGCTGTACGACTGTAACGATCTCGACTGGCACCTTAAAAAATCGCGATGTTCGCCAACAACATTCGGCATCAGACTCTCAATTGGTAACCTTTTGATGGGCTGCTTTGTTTGTTCTCATCCTTCTGTCTGTTCGGGGAAACAAGACAAAAAATAACTGTCTTAGTCTTACTTAGGCGTCGCGTGTCACCCAAAGAAAGGAATGGCGTAGTTTGTAACGATGATTTGCAATCGAGAGTTCATATCGAGTTCATTTAGGTCAAAATATATATTTAAAAAAAAGTAAAAATGGAAAGAGAGTTATTTTCAATAGCCACTTTTTCGAAAAGCTGACCATAATCAGCTGTTTTTCGTGCAGGCTCAGTTTCCACTCCAGAATGTCTAGCTTGCCGACGTAGCTTGTTCAGTGAATATAAGTAATCCGGAAACAAGTCTTCTGACCAACGAACACAGGACAAGTATGTTTTAGCTGATGTTGGCACTGATGTAACAACAACCACAACGACAACAACAGAACAAATATTTAATATTTGTTCTGTTGTTGTCGTTGTACCTTAAAAGGTATTTTTCGAAACCCTCTCTGGACTAAGATAAAAGCTTCACTCTTTTTCCAGGGAAAAGTTTGCTGTCCTTTAGCTGCCAGTGATATGATGAAACAATATACCTAACTAAGGAAGAAGCGAACTCAAAGCTTACGGTGAAAGTTGGGCAGGACCACGAGTTTTCTCTGGCGTCAAGCCACTTTGATTATCAGCTTTTCTTGGCGAACTCATCTGATAGAGATGAAACTGTAGAAAAATAATTTACAATTACAGAAAGCTACAGAAGTTAAACTTTTGGTGATTTTGATAACATTCTCTTTAGGTAGCGAGCCGAAGGCGAAAACTGGATGAAGTAAGTATCCTGGCATTTCTATCGTTTATTTTTTAGTCAGAAATTCAGCTATTACGTTTTCGGATAGCCGAGAACGCCATTTTTTTGTTAAGTTCACTATTGCTCGAGTAGCCTGGTTTCCCGGCAAACATACCATGGGTCAAACTCGTTTCCATTACCATCGAATCGATGCCATATTGCTCGCATTTTCCAAATATGGTAAGCGCCAGTTGGTTATGAAGAATTAGCCGGGGGATAGGAGCCAATCAGAAACGGCGAAATATTTTGATTGAACAAAAAGTGTGGAAAAACCTAGCGCATAGCCTGCGTACCTAGCATATGAACTAATGATGAAACGGACCATAAAATCCAGTGAATTTCACGTAACACATGCATCTTACCGCGACTCTGATCTCTCTTGTGAATTTGTCCAATAACTTTTTCATGTCCAGTTGACATGTCTTGGGAGGGCTTAAAGTCAGATACTACAATACAAACACAAAATACAAGAATGGGTTCCATGCAGTCTAACAGTAAACTACAACTATATTTGCTGACCATACATGTCGCTAGGACGACACGGGTGAGGTATAAGACTAAAGGAAATGAAAAATTGTGGTAGATTTGTCCCGGATGGGGGGTACACCTGGGAATTCTTGGTGGGGGTGTGCCGCTCTGTTTCCAAAACCCTGACCGTATTTCAGACCAAAAAGTGTCCTTTTCCACATCTGCTTTCTGTTCCGTCCTCTAAGAAATAGCCTGCAGTGCAGCCGTATTTTGGGTGGGCGAAACCTTGTTCGTGTTCGTAATATTGTTGTAGCCGCCATCTTTGATTTTATGACAGTGGAAGATTGGGGAGAGTAGAAATAGTAACCCTTACGGTAGGTGCGAGGGCGAAAGAAGGAAAGGGGGGAGGGGGAGGGGAGAAAAAAAATTTTCTCTTCTCTCTCCCCGCCCCCTCCCTGCTCTCTTTGACTCGCCCCATCTCCTCCTCTCTTCGGGAAGTTTCAACATGGCGCTTTCGAGAGCAAATTGCGCGCTCAAAGAAAACGCCAGGCACTGCAGGCTACCGGTATCTAAGAAATTGTGTCTTCAATTTACTTAGATGAGAACGCCAACATTCTTTACATCTATTTCGCATTCGCATATTACTCTTTCTTTCTTATTCATTTGGAATTTTGAAACAACAAATCCCGTAGTTTTTTCGAAACCATACCCAATTCCAAACCAAAATTGGTGAAAGTAAAGTCTAAAGCCCGTTTTCATACCTAAACGGCGTAAAAACAATACCCTTTAGGGTGGTACATACATAAATGGCTCATATAAAAAGGAGTACAACACCAGGAGATTTGTTAGTTTTACCTTCCACTGAATTCTCTCACAGCTATGTATGTCATGAACCACTGGCAAACTCAGTTTGATTTTCTTTACAGTATGATGATCTGAAGTAAGATACAACAGTCACAATGTAACTATAACAACTACAGAAAACATCAATATGTGCTGTCCAATAAGAAACAGAAAATAGTCAGTATTTACAGTACTTGGTGCTGACACGTACAATTGTTGTATGACATGGTGAAATCATTGAGAAGGTCCCATAGGCTCTGTTGAAAAACAAATTAACAATGTGAGGAGAAACTAGATGACATTATTTCTACCATCATCAGTAGGGTTGCTAAGATCATCAACACTCTTTCCCCTCCTCTTCATCACAACCACCCACATGTATCTGAATCACTACAGATACATGTATCTTCCTACCTACCCCCCAATTGCAATTAATGTCAACACAAACGCATCACAACCATTTTTAATCTTATTGTAACCACTGTTAACAATGGGGTAATGTACTCCCTACAAAAAAACAGGACTTAAATACTTATAGTTTATTAGCACGAACTTTCTTAAAAGGGAGAAAATCCGAGGAAATCGGTGGCATATTTTCCCTTGGCAGATTTGTGACCAAATTAAAATCAGGAACAAAACTCCCCAAAAAGAAGCCAGGAATCTAATAATTATTATAGTTGTGGCAGTTATTAGCGTAAGCTTTCCTAAAAGCATGATGATCCAAGGAAACAGGTGGAGTTTTTTCCTTCAGGAGATTTGCAGCTAAAATCAGGAAAATAAAAACAACAGTACATCACAATAGCATGAGCAGTGTTGTTTGCAAGTATGATTTTCACAAAACTCACGCAATCTGATGAAAGATGTTACGATTGATTTCATTTGCTAGTGAATTCCATGAGAAAACTCACGCATGCACAATAGAAAATAAAATGGTTGATGGGAGAGCCTGCTTTTTGCCCGCCAGCTCACACCGCAAAAATCTAGCCTCTGCTGGAAGAGTAATCACCAGCAGCATCATCTTGATTATCTTTACTCTATATTTTACCATCATTTTACCAACTTTCATCATCATTATCATCCTCATCACCACCGCCAACTATTATAATCTACATCACCCTGTAAAGTATCACCACACTCAGATTACCATGTCTTTACAAAGGTTACACTCCAACCTTTTCCAGTACCCTTAAGCTTGTAACTGACCTTGAATTTCAGTGGCTTGAACATCAAGTCCTCCCGCCTACTTAGTCCCAGAGTTCCAAACCTGCCATTATGATGCACCCCAAGAACCACATGCCTATCAAACAGATTCATGTACAACCTTGTTATGAACTGTGTCATTAAAATAATTCAGGGCCATGTTCCATCACTGCTTTCTCCTCAGAGGCATTGGTGTTCCCGTACAGTATTCAATACAGTGGACCCTTGATGTAACAAAGGGCCAAGGGACTGGCTAAAAGGAGGTTTTGTTTTATTGAGGTTCTTTTTAATATATTTTACTGTTACTCGGGTAAAGATAATCATGCATTATATATCGAGGACTTCGTTATACAGAGGTTTCAGCCAATTATTTTGAAATAAGGGTGATGAGAAAGCTAATGATTTCAAAATAAGGGTTAATGTCACCAGTATAAAACTTAATATGATACTCAAAGTAGGATATATAATGACTTCAAAATAAGGCTTAATGTTGCCCACATAAAATCACCCAGCCTCATGCTCATTTTTGGCCATTTTCCAAATCTATACAGTGATAAGGATAATCACTGATACAGTGCAAGGATAATCACCTTGAACTGGTAGTTCTTGACAGCCCAGGAGGCTTGGACTACTCCAGAGTTTTAACTCTGTCACTTCTAAAAGTGACAGGGATGATCAAAGGATTTGGGCAAGTATTTTTTGGGTCCTTGGTTTAAAAAGGGATGTTATCGCATATTCAAGACAATTTGAAGAATGGTGTAGTGCCCCAGGCATATATCAGGAGCATAGTTCTGTCAGATAAAGTACAACTAGATATGTTTGTGGTTGTTTTAAAAATTTAAATAAATCATTACTCAAGGTTATACCATTGGTACCATTGTTGTAGCTAATCCTCCAAATCCCTTCTATTTGCCCTTTTAAGTACTTCTGCCATCAAAATTCATCAACAAAGGCACTTGTTGACAGTTAAAACAGCCGCAAAAATGGCCAAGTTTGCTGTGGTTTTGTTTACTTGCAGTTTGTTACTAGGTAACTGTGGACACCATGCAGATATATTTATAACCAACTCATGTTTCTACCTTGCTAAAAAAAATATGCATTCCATGCTAATAATAATTCTGACAAAAATATTTATAATAAACCTGAGCATATGCTTTGGCCCTAATGCTTTCCAAGGAATTAATACTAAGCTACTACCCTGTAAGAGTACATGTAACATGTAAGTTATAAAAATACCTATAGTAGCGTCCATTGAACTGAGTTTTGAAGCTTATGGTAAATCTCTGCACTTCATGAAATCCACAAGTGAGATACCTTAAATCATTAGGTTAAGGAGTATCTGTTATTGAACTAAGCCTACTCAAAATACAAGTAGGAAATAGGACACAGTAATCACACCAGGTCGAAACAATATTATTATTCTTCACTGACTTGCTCACACAGAGTTCCTGCTGATCTCATCTGCAGTATGGTTAGCCTGGCTGCAGTCACAGCATTTGATCCTATGCATGTATTGGTCTTGGTCTTAACTTCCTTGTTTTTGTCCTTCCTGTTTCTTAGTAGTGATCATAAAGTGGTTTGGTTTGTGAGCAACACACCCTATATTCTGTAGGAGATGTAATTGTAGAATGAGTGCAATAGCTTCTTTTTGTAAAGGATACAATCCAACAATAACAGCCTCCAGACATTTGATAGGTAAGGACTCCTTTATCATTTCCCTTGCTGTGTCCATTAATCTAATAAACAAAATACATACATATAAATTTCTATCATTATTCATGACATTTAATGCAAGTGCCCGCCTTTAAACATCATTATTATAATATTAAAATTTCAGGAAAGGTGCTGCTAATTTTGTTCTAATGCTGTAACAAAGAATTTAATATGCCAAGTTTAAAATCAGACGATACTGAGACAGCTAAATTTTCTGCCAGACAATTAAAATGCCAATTAATCCAAACCTATGATCTTCACTAGGTGGCTGATGCCCTGCAGTACTGAAATAAAGATCTTTGGCTACAAGTTTGTACAGTCAACACAAGAATTTTGACTTGAAGCAAAAGAAGTCAAGAATACAATTACCCTGAGAGTGGCCTCAATTTTTTAATTTCAAAAAACTGAGTCCCTGTATGGTTATACCTGCATCACAGTGTCAAGGAGAAAATCATGAGTGTAAACACACTACATGTACCACTTGAAAAATCAATGATTTAAAATGTATAATGCTGGAATAGCAGTGATACATGTATGAATACAAAAACCAAAGGCTTTTTTTGGAGCATTTGCACATAAATATTTCTGTTTCTTCATTGAGAAATTACTTCAGAACCTACTGGACCATAGAAAATGATACTGCTCTCTAGACTTAACTGGGGTATGTGTAGCTCATACATGTATAAATCTTAAACAGGGCATTCTACAATACATTAGATTTTACTTTAGACCATATTTTGAGAAAAACAGGGTAAGTACTAAGAACAGGCATAGCCATCTATATTCAAAAACTGAGTACCGGTAATAAGAGCAGTAAAATAATTTACCATATCTGCTTTTTATGTAACTAAAATAATGCTTAATTTTTCTTCAGGCAGTTTTAAAAAATAACCAGCAGCTTTTCCCATATTTTCCCAATACAGTGTTCAATCTAGGCCGCGTTTTTGCGTCATTTACGCAGAATATTCTATTCTGACGCAAAATGAAATGATCGTGGGGTCATACTGACGCAAAAAAAAACAAACAAAAACCCCCAAAATAAGTTTTCTCGTATATAAGTACTTCCAAAGCAGCAGGCAATAATAAAAGTAAATTTAAAAACAAATATGTGTGCTTACTAGCCTTATATGAACACGCGAAATCGCGAAATGACTGGTGTTTCAGACTACGTTTGTACGAGTACTTTTTGTGTCAGGCGTTCCAATTCCGAGAGAGACTGGACACTACTACAACGTTCTGCAACGTTGCCGATCGATTCACGCTTCGTTCGTTGACTTTGTTCAGGGTGTGTTCTTGTGTGTGTTCTTGTTAGTTAACGCTGATTAGAAAGTATGAAGTGTAAAAATGGTCAAACAGGCATTTTTTGGTTTCCTTTTATTCATAATTGGTCTTTTTCGGCTTTACAATTATTTGACTGTATCCAGTTACTGCAATAAGCAAATCAAAACTGTGAAAAGCATAAAAACTATAATAGGGATAAAAAATTCGAAAACATTGAAACTGACTTAAAATGCTAAAAAGTTGTAAAAATATACTGGTAGTGTATAGCATAACAGGGATATTGCAAGTTTTTCGAAGTTTATTATTATCATAATAATTTGACCCAGACCATTTTTGAAATGACCCAATTTAAAATGTCACGTGGGACATTTGACCCACTTTCCATAATTTCTAGATTGAACACTGCCAATATGATATACAAATCTAAGTTTCCAAAAACAATTCTTTTTTTAGAAAAACAGAATTAGGCTGCCAGGCAAATAAAGTTTTCTTTAGAGGATACTGTAGCTGCTGTAAATAGCTCTGAATCAGTCCCAGCTTCTCTTCCACTGACATGACTGCAGTAAACACTGGTGCTGCTACATACGGTACCTACAAATAAAATGACATTAGTTTTAGGACTTCTTAGGAACTGTCATTACAAATTGAGCTGCAATTTGTGGGTTAACAACAATGTTTGTAACCTCCCACAGCAGCTCCATGGTCAGGTTATCTCTACATGTATGGGCTCACTCACTGGAAAGTAAATCATTGCCTGCATGTGTATGTATTATCTCGCCTACCACTTTGTCTAACTTGCCTACAGCTACTCTGGCTAATGAATAATAATAATGGTATGACCTTAGTTCATCACTCTATTTTCCTTACGCCAAAATATATTTACATGTATGAAGATGGTCAAGTTGGCCTCTTTCATCATAAATTTTTAAATGCATACCAACATAATATTTAGACATAATAATGAAATGAGATTATCATACAGTTGTATCTTTTTAGACATACAGTCAATTCTCTTATAAGTGACAGCCCTAAGTGCATAACGAAGTGGTTGCACTTAATTAAAATTGACAGCAAATTTAATCTTCCATATTTTCGGGGCACCCTGCGTTCTTTGCAGCCATATTCTTGAATATCAGGACATCCTGACATTCAAGAAACAATGGATGAGATCATGACCGAGACAAAGCTTGACGACGAGGCATTCCACTTGGAGTGCATCAACAAAAGATTCTCTTAGCAGAAGCATCTCAAAAGAAGATGAACACTATTATGGCTGCAAAGTGGGCAGGGTGGTACAGATTCATGCAGAAATATACTTCATTGTCTTGACGTTGAACACATAGAGGGTTAAAAATAAACTTTGTTTGTCATGGATGGCAATGTACTTGTCAGTAATGACTTTCAAAAAGAGTAAAAGGCAGTGTTATTGATGTTAATGTTTTTCCAAAAACATTAGGTAATCTACTTTTCATCAATTGTTCATTGGTTGTAAGAGCTGATTGTGTAAATGATAATTCACAAGGTGAATGAAAAAAAACATGCTCTTTTATCCTCAATTTAGTCCCCAGAACGCTGAAAATTGGATTTTAGGGCTTTGAAATTTCAAAATTTTGTGGGGAAGCAGGCCCCCAGATCCCCTCCCCGCTCTAGAAAAAGGGGACTAATGGCCCCTTGTTGATACAGTCAGTTAATCTATTCAAACCTGCTGGTTACTTCATTTTTTACTGAAACCCCTGATTTTGTATCAGGTCACTGACACAATCCACTTTTCCCTATTCCTGCAGATCTTATTACAGCCATCATTTTTTTTAAGTCATCTGTTATTGTCTGTCAGTACACTGGATTAGTGCTATTAAAAGTTGGACCTTGTGAGATTTGAGTAAAGATCTTCTTACAATCACGCGTGATTATGCAGGGTGGTTGCTTTAACGTTCTAATGAATGCTTTTAAGATGAGGTTTTCGCTTTTTCATAATCTGCTATTATCTATAGATATCAGAAATCTTGGTGAGATATTACCAGTAGTGATCTTCATTGATTAACCAAATCAATCAATACTAATCCATTTGATTATTGATTTTATTCATTGCAATCAATGATTGATTTCTACTGATTATTATGGTAGGACACATAAACCAAAAAAGGTAAGATTTCTGCACCGCCCTATAAATTTAATGTGCATACATGTTTCAACTCTATTCATATAAATGAGTATTTCTGTGAAATATGAGATTGCTGAATGAAATGGTTGGGGCTGTGCAGAAATGTACCCCACAAAACTACACATTGAAATACGGTGGAATCCCAATTTTTTGGGTTATTGCTGGAGTCTGTTCTGCAGAACAAAGTCAAAAGAAGGGACACAAAATTAAGCCTGTTCAATGATTGTAACTCCCTTCCAAAACCCCTGCCCCCCCCTCTGCGATGTAATAGAAATTAATGATCACTCCCTAACACAACTAGACTCTAAACATGGTTAGGAACTGAGTAGCACTGATTAGTTGATTACAATTAAAATTTGTCTTTGTGTTCGTAGCGCTAAAATGTTTGAAAATCCAGACATTTCGGGACTACTGTCCCTTCATCAGTGGAAAATGCCGTTACAACGTTAATTTTTAAATGCAAAACTTTATAGCCGTGCGGCATAAACATTGACTTCAATTTTACATGAGCGAACTCTTCCAGCGGGCGCTTCAAATGTTGCTACATTTTATTGGCTCAGTGTAACGGCATCTTCCTAAAATGTTTGAAAATCCAGACGTTTCGGGACTACTGTCCCTTCATCAGTGGAAGATGCCGTTACACTGAGCGCGCATCATTTTATTCAAATGTGGCAACATTTGAAGTGCCCGCTGGAAGAGTTCGCTCAAATAAAATTGAAGTCAATGTTTATGCCGCACGGCTGTAAAGTTTTGCATTTAAAAATTAACGTTGTAACGGCATCTTCCACTGATGAAGGGACAGTAGTCCCAAAACGTCTGGATTTTCAAACATTTTAGCGCTACGAACTCAAAGACAAATTTTAATTGTAAACAACTAGACTCTGACTGCTTCGCTCATGTCACATTGATTTTATACAAGTTTCTGGTGTGGTAGAGTCACCTTTCCTGCGAGTAGTCTGCATGTGGGAAAACAACCGCTAACTGTATCTCCTTCAGCTAGCTATCCAGCATCCTACCTTTTCTAGGTGTTGGCACTGTCTTATTCCCTGCACCATTTGACTTCCCTTAGGATGTATTTTCTCAACATGATGCCACATCCTTTCCCATGTTTTCTTTTTGATAGGGAAACCATCCTTATTTACGTAAAACAGTACACCACTTTCATCTTCATTTGGCAAGTCGTTAGTTTGCTCGTCATCTCGACTGTAAAGGTTGTCAAATCCGTCACATTGGACAGTAGCTGGTTGATCCATGGTTTGCAAACTTAAGATTCAACCATGTCTTTGCTCATTTCAGGGGCTGATTTAATGATGCGGTGGCACAATATCAAACGCAATGATCTTTAATGTCAACGACGTGGCTGACTCCATCTATCCAGCGAATTTCTAGGGAAATTTTGATAAAAACGCGTACAGCAGCACCCATCTTCAAACGTTAATTCCTCAGGTTGCTATGCAACCTAGCCCTATCCATGGGGATGTACGCTGCCTAATAGCGGTCTCAAGTCAAGTAGAACCCAACATGGCGGATCAAATTGGCCAATCAGAGAAGACGTAATAGACTGCCACATCACCCATCTTTTCTTTACAGATATAAACTTGCACAAACTTTCCCCATTGCATTTTAGCACCAAAATGTCTTCCTGGTTAAGCAGTAATCTGACAGGCAGTTTATCTAGTATTTCTAATTTAACTGGACAGATTTCGTCATTTACCCGCGAAATCTTGACGGAGGGAGCAGAAGAAGTATCTGGTAAGATTTATCATTAACCTTCCCTGTAGTTAGGTTTACTGTGTTTTATTTTAGATTGCAGAGCTTGTTTGGTACTGTTGTGGTTAGCAAATGAACCTGGAATTCATCAAAGCAAGAAATCTGATGATATTCCCGTTCAAATAAAATAATACAAGCTGAAGATAAAATTATTGTCATTGTAAATACATTACTATTGTGCTTCGTAGATTTAAGTTACATAGCAGGAAAACAGCTGATTGCTCACTCTCATATAGGTTAAGATTAATAACAGCTGTAAGCTTTTTGTGTGTTTTTCTATACAGACCCCTCAGCAGAACTTCAAGTTGCACAAGCCCGGATTAAAGAACTTGAAGCACATCTATTAACACAAAAGGCTGAGGTAATACTTGAACCCAAGGGGTGTCACCCAAGTGCTTAAAGAGAGTAATTGTTCCTTATCAATAAAGGCTGCTACTTTTCTTCATGTGCCATGGCCAGTGTAAATTAATGATTCCTTGTGCATATTTTTGTCAAAACTTTGTGTTGCATGTGGATTGGCATGATCACATAGCGAGGCAGAAACACGAGTTAACTCTATTTCTATATATCTGTTGGTGTCTGCAATGACATCATCAACCGACAAGCTTGGTCTGTTGTTTTTGTGGCCTTTTTGATAATCAAGAATGCTTTTGGTGATCAATTTCCACGACAGAAGTTACCGTAAAATTCCGAAAATAAGCCCCTCCACGTATAAGCCCCTCCAAATATAAGCCCTTCAAACTCGTAACGCAAAAAACCCTCCGTTAAATCGCCCCTGCGAATATAAGCCCCTGGGGGCTTGTACTTGGAAAGTGCCCTAAAATACAAAATAAAACAAGTCAAAAACGGTACAGTAACGTATAAATTTTTGTATTTGCCAAAGAACTATTTCGTGTCTGCTAAGACTTAGAAAGTGTGACAGTTAATTGCTGTTTGCGTGGTTCCTCTTCACTCTTGGCCTTGATTTCCTTGGTCCATGTGGACAAAGTACTTGTATGGCCACGTTTTAGAAAGGTCTACGTCCTCAAGGCGAGTTTCAGTAAAAACTTTCTGCAAATTACTGACATAAATTTCCTTTCGACTATAAGCTAGCCCAATCGATTTTAAGATGCAAATTTCCCTCCAAGTATGAGCCTAGCCGATTTTCAAATGCAAACTTCCCTCCGTTTATTAGCCCCTCCGAATATAAGCTCCTCCAAAAATAAGCCCCTCAAAAAGGGCCTTTGAAAAATATAAGCCCCGGGGCTTATTTTCGGAATTTTACGGTATTTGCAGAGAAAATTGACGCAAATTAAACCATCTTTGAAGTAGGAGCAATAATCAAGATTAAAGAACCTAGGTGATTTCAGAAAATATCCATACCATACAATGGACAGCCTCCACATTTTAACTCCCCCCTACTTTTGTACTTTCCAAAAAGCATTCTTCTCCCATGTCCTCAGATAATCGTTACCCCCCTCTCCTGTTCAGATTTTCGGCCTTTTTGTCAAACCCTTTGGAATTACCAGCAGTTTTTTGTAAATGATGCTCCTACAATTTGGCTTATTTTACACCAAATTATTTCTAAAGACTATTTTTGTTCAGTATGGCTGATTACAGAGGGAGATTACAATCATGTATGTCTCCAGAAATTCTGGTAAGAATGAAAACGAAGTCGTTAATGCTGTTCAACAGATGAAACCTACTACTTTAACTTTAAATTGCCCCAAACTGTTACAGAACATTGAGATAAGAATATCTTGTGTTAAATGTGTTTTCACTCTGAAGATATTGCAATTGAGTGTATTTTCATTTCCACCTTCTTGAATTTGAGTCTTAAGGGTCAGCAGTCACTCCCAATCCTACTAGAGCTTCAAAAACGGCATCCTCAGTCAAAAGACCATGTTCGCTCTGAATGGACATTTTTAATGGAGCTTGATGTACAACGCATGTTTTTTGCTTTGCAATACACATTTAAAAATAAAACAGGACAATATAAAAAGAAAAAGAAGAAGAAGAAGAAAATAAAGAAAGTGGTAGGGTCTTCATGGCAGGATAACTGTGGTATCACTCATCCAGTTCCTAAACTTACCTAACACAGGATAGCTTGGGTGGGGCTGTTAAAACTGGGTTTTGTGAGACACATACATTGTACATGTATTTCTAATTTAATTTACTGAAGGTACATCGCTGTACATGTACATGTACCGCTCTATGCTCAAGGAAGGTGTTGAGAACCTGGATGTCGTAGTGACCAGATTTATTTTCACTTTCTTTTAGGTGGTCAAAATTATATTAGATTGTGCTTCATTATTATAAGTGTGATTAGCTGTACTATAAACAGGGTTCGTACAGGTCATGGAAGACCTGGAAAGTCATAGAATTTAAGCATAGTATTTTCCAGGCCTAGAAAGTCATGGCATTTAATAATTAAATTCCATGTTGGTCCTGGAAAGTCATGGAAAATTGAAGTTTTGTTTGATAGATAAGTTACGCAGATGACGAGGCAAGGACATTGTAAGATAAAGAGGAGTAATCAGCCAGCACAAACGGCTTACATTTTACTGGACACCAGCGTTTGTGTCTGTTGAACTGTTCAAAGTCCAAAAATACCCTAAAACAAGGAAAGTTTGAAAATTTTTGTAAGTGAGAGCTAAACCGAAGGTCTTGGAAAACTTAAAAAGGTCATGGAATTTGAAGAGCTCCAAAGAGTATGAACCCTGTATAAAGATTTATTTTTGTAAGTGGCGCTCGTACATCTACAGTGTATATTCAAGCCAAACTTCAAACTGTACACTAAGTGTAATATGACTCTTCCTGTTCTGTATGAAAGTTACATATGTTTAGGAAAATGTTGACAAATTGTAGTATTGGTAAATTCCTTTTACATGTACAAACAGTTGGTGCAACGTCAACATTTTCATTATGGTGCTGGGTCTGGTCATATTCATGTAGGATGTTATGAAAACAGTTGCTGTTAACTCAAAGCAGTGGTATGCCTTTTCCTTTTGGTTCTAATAATAAAGCTTGTTCTTAATTTCTTAGTATGAAAGAGTGAAGCAAAATAGTGAGGAGCTCCATGTGAGACTAGAAGCTTCAGAACTTCAGGTCAATAATTTATCCAAAGAGTACAGGACACAACTCCACAACAAAGAGGTAACCTTTGAAGCCAAGTGTCATCATTGGTGTAGCATGGTACAGCTGAACATGCCATAACTAATATGATATAACTGAGATAATAATATTTGTTTTTAGTTTGCCGGGTTTACATTTGTACATGTTTATGTATTACTGGTATGTAGACATCAGAGAGTCAAAGTTGATGTAGAAAAACTTGATATCAACCTCCCATATGTGTGTCTTCTATATGTAACTGTGCACCGTGTGTGTCATTATTTTCAAAGAAAAATTGATTCTATCATTGTTATGAAATTTAGACTTGTAACATATTATTTAAATTGTCACATATATAAGCAGAAGGAAATGGAATGTTGAATTAAGTTGGTGAAGACATGAGAGTCATGCTGAAATATGTCTTTAAAAAGTGGGATGGTGTGTTTTAAAGTTATTTCTAGATTATGATCTTTTTTCTCTGATATTTATTTTTTTGTTATTTGAGTAGCAGGAACTGGTAAAACTGCGGGAGCTCAGCAGAAGTCAAGAGGAACATGCCCATAGTTTTGGAAGAAGAGAACGACATGATTCTAGTGAAAGTATTGAAGACTCCTTGGAGGCTAAACGGCTGCGCAGTGAAATTTCAAAACTTCAAGCTGAATGTCAGCATTGGAAATCCATAGCACATGGGGCAGTGAGTATACTAATTTGCAGGGCACATTGCTCAGTATCAGTGTACCGTCAAAACCTGCTTTATCGACACCCACTTACACGGACAGTTTACCTTGTCCTAGCCTTTACATTTTCTCCAAACTCAACCCACTTAATACGGACACCCAGTTAATACAAAGACTTTCTATGACCCCCTCAGTGTCCCTGTTAATGGGGTTTGACTGTAGCTTTACACACACTTGAATCTACAACGTACACACTAGTAATAGCTGACACTACAGCTGCCCCCGTTCTGTATATTGTCGGTCAATAGTATTCTTGCTCTTTGTCCTGTAGCTCTTTTAAATATACCGATTCATAATGAAGATTTTCACACATATTCCATACAATAGGTGAGATAAATACAGGAAACGCAAGGTTCCATGCACAGTTTCAGCTCAATTTTCACAGCTTTGATCAAAACATTCTCAGTTTCGAGAATAGTTTATTCTAAACCATAAGAAAAGAATTAATTAGAAGTTTCCTTTTTTACATTCAGTTCATTTTATTTGCCAGAAAGTAAACCTTAGAAATGTAAAGGACGTTTGATGGATTCACGCGAGGGCATTCTAGTCTTATTTGAAACTTTATAACAGAAGGACATCTGTGAGCAGGGAATAAGCCAGCACAGAATTTGATTGTCGGCGAATTTCTGTAAATGTCCATCAATCTGCTTGTGATAAGCTAGCCGTTGTTCACTCGTCTTGCTTGTTTGGGGCTGAGTCTTATTCCGGTCAAAGAGAGAGAAAGAGTGTCTAGCAAGGTTTCCAATATAAATCAAAGATTTGTGAACTCGTGTCTGGCAAACTCTCCAAGTGTTTATATATCTACACAGTTTAACGCACCTTATAACCTCCCCTGCGTTTAACGAGTGTCTTTTGGTCCATAACTTTCAAAGCAACTGCTCCACAGAATGCCACTGCGTAACGCAAAAGAGTATCGAAGTATGACTGCACAATAAATGTCACAAAATCTACCTGAGCGGTCCCTTCGGGATTTTCTGTCTTTACGTCATCCTAACCATTTCGAACTTGCGGGTGCAAACAATAGAAACGTCATCATTACCTACCGATTCCTTGCGGCCCCAGTTCGAGCAAATCAAGATTTTTTCTAGTATACTGACTGTATGTTTGAACTGTAAGTACTGTCCTTAATATATGCGCGAGTTCCTAGGGTGCCTCCTCCGGATTTCGCCTCTGGGCGAAATCCCTGCGGGGGCAATAATGGGGACTGTCAGGACAGCATTTAGTGCAGGCTTATATGCAGACGTTGTCAGTGTGTCATTTGATCTTTTTACAAAAGAATAAAATTTTAATGTTTTTAGCTACCAAATAATGATTCCTATTGTCCAGAGCACCTAATACTGCATTTTCTATAAAGACATCATCCTTTGTTAGAGGTTATTTTAAGTGGATGTCTTATGGTGTTTTGAAAGTGAAGTGTTTGTGTTTGTCATTGTGTGCAGGTGGCCATTACATGCTACTACAGCAAATGTACACTCTATGTTTGCATTGCATATCATTGTGGTGGCCATTTTGTAGAGGTGGCCATTATTATAGGTTTGGCTGTACTATATGTAGTATCTGCAAGAAAATGGAATTTCCGGCATTGGAGTGGATACGAATTAGCTGGAAATGAAATATTTCTGCAGCATGGGAACATTGGGGACTGGGGCGGTTTCAGTTGAAGTACAGTATGGATAGAATGGAGTGCTATAAAAGGGATGCTTATCACGTGGGAAAGCGTCCTAGGCCTGCACCTAGGGTTTTCATTAAGAATTCTAGTTGTAGGAGAAAGATGTAACATTACAGGAGAATATTTTGAAAGAGGCTCCATGTCTGAATAAAAAATAGTCATAGGCTACCGAACAGTAGCCGGAGAATTCAGTGTAATAACCGGAGAACTCTCCAATCTCCAATGCCTAACGAACACCCTGGACACCTTGCGTAGCCCAAGTTTTTTATTTATTTATTTATTTATTATATATTTGGTTTATTAAGTGACAGATTGAGTTTTGTGACTATTTTAGCTTGTTTTCATTTTTTTTTTTTTGTTTTCAAATAATTATTTTGTATTTAATGTGCTTTTTTGGAATACATGGTTAATATGGGCAGTTACCTTTGAGCTACGTAGCCTTCGTAGGATAGGCTTTTTGGAGCGTGAGCCATGGATCATACCCAGATTTCCTGCTGTGTTTTTTCTCTATAGGGTTTTTTTTTTCAGCGGGGTTTTTCTAGGCTCTGTTCTGACAGTATTCTTTGTAAACTGTCGCTCAGCTCTGTTCTATGTGTAGTTTATATACCGCGTGTTTGATTGTAATAGAAGTTGTAGCATAACATATCTCTCAGTGCTTGGCTGAAACAGCCAAAATAAACCTAATAGTTTTTTATTATGTTGTACTGCGTAGTGGAGTTGAAATAGTGCTGTACATGCACATCACTTTCTGGGTTTTTTTTTTAACACTAGAATAAATTATTAATTCTTGTAGGACAATCAGGATAAACTGCACAGAGAAATTGACCAGTATCAGCATGAATTGACTGCTTTACAGAGCAGCTACTCGCAAAAGATCTCAGCTCTTAACAAGAAACATAAACAGGAATTGCAGAAATGGCAGGCTGAGAAAGAGGAATATGTTCAGAAAATTGAAGAGTTAGAAGAACAGCTCCTTAATCCTCAGCAAAAAGGTATCTTTTTATCTTGTCACGTTTATACCTAAAATTGCCAATGCATTTTTTATTCCACTGTCACAGAAACTTTTTTGATATTTGTAATCTGCATGGCTGCCATAAAGTGCTAAATGTATGTGAACACATCGGTCGTAATAAAATAATAAAAAAACTAGAATCAAAATATTGATATACTGTGTAGCACCTATAGTTTTCAGTGCTAAGCAGTTGTACATATGTACTTGAGACAAACAAATAACAAGTCATAAATACATCAGTCTGCCGTTGTGGGGCACAAAATTTTTGCTTTTTTGCAATTTTTCCAGTGATCTGCCATGATTTCCCAAATTTGAATGTTTGTGATGTCACACTTGTGTTCTCCATTAAGGAGGGGGATTGACTGGAAGTGAAGTGGCAATTATTCTGGACAAATAAAATATTTTCCTTGAGCTCTGTAATCAAGTACATGTGTACTACATTTTGGCCCAACAATGAAATGTTCCATTATTCACCTGTGACCCATGAGTGACCAACAGAAATTAGTTCAGTGGAGTAATTGCAACTCAAATCTCAAATCTTGGTGTTGGGCAACCTTGACTCTGTGATTACATTTGTTGACATAAGTTTGCCTTTAGATGACATGATCAAAGGCTTGAAGAATGGGCTTGTAATTTTTTTCCATGCCTACAGATGAAGATGTTGTAAACCATGCTGAGATGAATGCTGGCCAAACTCATGAGCCCACTGCTGTTACAACATCTTTGAAGAACCAGTTAGCAGCCGCAGAGAAATCTACAGCACAGCTGAAGAAACAGGTAGATATTCAGGAGGACAAAATAAATGCATTGAATGCTGAGCTTCAAGAAAAGAATGCAGTTATCACTGCAATGCAAAAGGATTTAGAGAATGCCCAAGCAAATCTTGAGGAATCAACCAAAACACATAAACAACTTGTGTCTGCTTCTGAAAGTAAGTTGAATGATAGCACAAGACAGCTGGAAATTCTTCAAAGTCACTTAAAGGATCAAAACAAAGAACTCAGTGTGCTGAAGACTGACTATGAGTGCTTAAGTACTTTAGAGGAACAGTTTCACATAGTAGCTACAGAAAATGCTGAGTTAAAGGAACATCTAAGTTGTGCCCAATCAGAGGAAAGAAGGTTGCATCGCTGTGTTGAGGAAGTAAAGTCTGAACTTGAACAGTTGAGCTGTTCAACCATGGATTTAATGGAAGAGTTACAAATATCACAGGGTCTCCAAAAAGAGCAGAAAATTGAAATGGAGAGTTTAAAGAAGGTGAAATACATCAAAGGAGAAGCAAAGGAGGAGATGAGCAAGCTTAGGGGTGCTTTGGCAGGTGGGTGAATGATCAAATGATCGCCTCTTATTTACTGCTATCCTTACATTAATAATTATTATCAAAGTAGTTGTTATCTTAAGTTAATTTCTTATGAACACTGGCAGAGATCTATATTCGCTGTCGTCCCAGATGACTACAACCCCACTCGGACGATTAAGATAACTCCGTGAGTCGTCCTTTGGACAAGTGAGGTTTGGCTCAACCACAAAACCTTTCAAAAATTCTTATATGATTTTATCATGTACATTTTACCTACGTTCTGATTACTTCTCATCAACTTAAGACTTTTACAACAATGGGCCATGCGCAGAAAACATGACAGTACTCATGAAGGTGTGGTGTTTTTTAAGAAAGTTTTACTACTCAATTGTAAACGCAGTTAATGGAGCGTGACGCCCTCAATCAACAACATGTAACGCAGTGTTATGCTATAGCCCTTATCAAATCTCGTAGAAGTTACTTGTGGTAGGTAAAACTACTGGGTAGTACGTAAAATCACGGCTATACAGTCAACTCTCGCCTTGCAGACACCCCGTTATAACGGACACCCCGATAATACGGACAGCAGCTAAATCCCCGGCAAAAACAAGTTGCAGACGTTTGACTGAAATAAACTCCCGCTATTACGGACTCTCGCTAACGAGGACACCACCTCGAGGTCCCTACAGTGTCCGCTTTAAAGGGAGTTGACTGTAGCTGGGAAACTACTGACACAATAGCAATCCTTGTTTTTGTTGCAGTTAAAGCTAGTTTCTAATGTATCGCTCGTTTTGTATGGCTAGTAAAAATAATTTTCCTCATGCATATCTCGTGGAGCACTTTAGGTGCACGTTCTATATTCTGTAGTACAGTATTTTTCATTGGCTTACCTTGTGATAGCACTTGGACTATAAAAGGCCTAGTAAAAGTCCTGTGTCTCATTCCGAGCTGTATTGCGAAGTTGGTTACTTCAACCGTCCTAAAGTTTTGTAAATCCCACCCTTCCCTCCCTTTGGAGGCTTGGTTGTTGTTCCTAATAAACACGGGCTCACCGCTTTCTTTCGCCTTCAGTTTAAGTGTCACGGCGACTTCCCCAAGCTTTGATTTTAATGCAAACTTTGATATTTGATTGTATTCCAGCACGTACCGGCGGAGTCGGCTCGTAGTGCTGATAAGATAAAGTTCCTAGAACAAAATATTTGCCTACACCGTTCCATTAAGTTGCACGATGCTGGCTGGAGGTTTCAGCTCGTAGTGCCGTGGAGTGTTAGGCCGTATTAAGTTTGTTTCTTTTGGACCTACCTGAACTTGTCCGATCCGGCGCGTTTAAATTAGCGCCGGGGAGATAAGTAAGGCTTTATGGTCACGCTATGGAAGTCGTCCACCACGCCGATCGCGGAGCGGTGTTCCCCCCATTACGCCATCTGTTTGTTGTCTTATTTTTACACTTTATTGTAAAGCCTAGCTAAAGGAACTACGACATTAAAAGGTGTTTCACTGCCTCCAGCAAAAAAACAAACAATCAGACAAAACAAACAAAAAAGTGAAGCAGGTGCCTCTGCCTTTTACGAGGAAAAACGTAAGAGCTAGCTCCTTCTTGCCTTCATAGCAAACTAACAGACAGTGGCTTGTTTTTGCGCCCAAACAGAATGCATCCTAGTCATCTACTGACATCTCTGGGAGTCTCAGTCTACATCCTAAACAGCTATATCAGCCGGCAAAATGCTTAGCGAGTTCAGTCAAAAAGCTTCCAGAACAATGTTTGCAACGTTTGCGGAGGGCTGCATTCTTTTTATAATCCTGCACTTTTCTGGGAAAACCAAATTGTAACCAGGCAAGTATGCCATCATGGTTACTTGTCTGGCTGACAACGCTGATAGAAAATGAATATGGATCCTTGATATTGGGGACTTTTAAAAAAGTTAATGACAAATGCATTAAAAACTCACAGTGAAATACTTTTGCTTTTCAGCTTTGTGGGAACGTCATTTATGCCTGGTTCAGCTATACCAGCAGGTCAGACAAGAGTTGCACAACAGTAACGCCAGGCTTGTAGCCATGTTCCAGTCTCGACATGTAATGCATTTCGTGACAGGTTGCTGTGCAGGGTGACATGGCAGAGGAAGCTTAGCTGCTGCCATGCTCATCTGTTGTGGGAATTGTGTAATAATAACATTTTTAATAGCTAATGGATAAGTGCAGTCATAACCTCAAAGATTGCTATTTCTGCCTTTTATACATACAAACAGTGTTATAAGTGTCCTGTCACAAATGAGTAGCACCCTATTGCATGGTTCTTCCGATCTTATGAAAACGTTACCCAATGGAAATTTAATTATTCATTTGAAGCAATTCATACTTCAAAATGTCCTTAGTTCATCCAATGTTAATTTCCTTTCTTCATTTATCTTTTCCTTAGCAAATTCAGGCTATAAAGAGATGTTTAGTCCAGCAAATAGCACTTGCCCTCTGTTGAGTTGTATTTTGCTATTCTTGCTATGTTCTTAGGCAGAAGTTTGGCAATTTGTTTCTTTGCAAGACGTGAAATTTTCTACTATTTTACCCAGCTCTACAAAATACAGCCTTGTCCCCAGAGCTTCTTGGTTGCTATCCCTTTTTCTTGCAATAGCCTGTACTAATTGATGTCATCTTATCAGATATTAAACATGACTGCCAAATTTGGCAAACACTAGCTACTTATCAAGAATTACCTGGGTGATTTGAGCCGATCAGAAATGGAGAAATATTTCAAGTGAATTATACTCATCTTTATTTTTTGGAATGGTGATGTTTTATAATATGGAACCCATCAAAGATGTTGAAAAAGTGTCAAACCTGTCCAAGTTGTGTGGCAACAGAGGCAAAATCTTTCCTGTTATTTTGATTCAAGCTAAGGAGATCATCTGCACATTTACGGAAGGAATAAGATGTAATCATAAGCCATCAAAAGCAGTTTGAAGCCATTATACTTAGGCACAGAATATAACAATGTTTTGTCCAAGTTGGCTTTAGCTAACATGTACCAGATAGTAATGCTAGCGGGCTATTTCACCAGGCTTCCCATGGCTAATGTTACCTTGCACAGCTACCTAAACTGGTCATACGTGTTTTTTAACTTGTTGTGTGTTACAAACTTTAAATTTGCAATTTGTATTGTGTTTTATGTATGTAGTCACCAACACGCTGACCTACCGGTAAATGTGCACTTAGTGAAGTGCACATACATGATCATGAGCAGATTTTGCAATTTTAAGTGTGCCAGCAAGATATAATCGTTTAAGTGAGCAAAATCTGTCATCCCTGAAATAACGTCTTATATCTTTTTATAAAAGCGCTCTTTTAGAATTCCGCTCAACACATAACACACTACAGTCTAACAAGTTTACCCCTCTGTAGTGCTAGTAAAGTTAAAAACCTCCAAGTAAGAATCCAGTTTTTAACAACCTGTTAGTCTAAAATTTGCCAGTTAGATCACCTCTCTACAACTTTGTTCTACTTACCATTATGTAAGAGCCTGTTTTGGCTGTCGGGGGAAAATGCTTTTTTTTGCGGGTTTTAAATGTGTTTTAGTTGAGTTGTTATAGTAAAACTGGATATTTTGAAAGACGTGGGGAGTTTAAGAGTATTGCTTTTCTTGTGTGTGTAGTAATTGCTACTCTGTAGTCACCAGAGTTAAGGTTTGTCAGAATGCAACTACCTTAAAGTCGCGGGTGACACCTTAGGCTCATTGTTATGCAATTATTTAAAGCGTATGCACGAAGTATAACGAATGATATCGAAAGGTTTACGAGATATTCATAACTGGATAAAAGTTGAGCGCATAATTTAAAGTTTTCATGTTAGCATTCATGTTTACACGTAGACAGCGAACAAAATGTTTATTCAAAATTACAAACGGGCTGCAAGTGGTAGTAAACCTTGTTTGAGTGATTTTTCAAATCAACAATAAGGAACTGCTTAGACATTTCAACCAAATTTAACACCAAAACTCCTCGTACGTTTTTTTTTCGCCTCAAATATCCTTGAAAACATTGCAACTTATAAACGAAATTATAGTTTGGAATTTAATTAACTATAATTGCCACAATTACATATCTTGCTTGGAACTCATGCTTTAGTCGGGACACCTTCGGGAATCTCAAAATTTGACTTTTCCGCCAATTTTGTGTCCAGGAATTCAGCGCAGGTACAATACTTCACGAGCTGGCACTGCACAGGAGTAAACTTGGTAGACTGTAGTGTGTTATGTATTGAGAGGATTCTAAAAGAGCGCTTTTATAAACAGATATAAGACGTTATTTCAGGGATGACAGATTTTGCTCATTTAAACGATTATATCTTGCTGGCACACTTTAAATTGCAAAATCTGCTCAATACATAATGCACTACAGGTTTTGACCGATCATTTATTAGTAAAATCACAGAGTGCTGTCTTCCATTCTTTCCGCAAACTTGGACGCAAAATCACGATATCCCAATTTGGTACAACTGTGGCTTAAAGCATCGCTGTAAAACTCAATCTACCAAATAATAACCAACCCTCCTAAACTTCTATCATCATGTCTCTGTAAAATTTTATCTAAATCGCCTCTAAAACGGCCGAGATATAAGCGTTTTAAAAGATGTAGCACAAGCAAAATTTTGCCTTATACAGTCATTCATAGATGGGTGTTCCCCGCGGCCTTAAAATCCCGGTTTTAAGCTTCTCTCCTTAGTTATAGGTTCGTCTATATAAATCTATCTACATGTTCCGGTTACAGTTAAGTTATTGTCTAAACTATGTTTCCTTATCAGCTTGTGTATTCCGTTTATAAGCCGTCCCCCTGATATAATCCCACCCCCGCCCCCCTCGATGTAAGCCCATCAATCCCCTTGTTATGCAAGCCCCAGGGCTTATGACCAGAAATTTGTGTCGAATTCTGGTAGATATGTTGGAGCACTGTAAACTTACGTCTTTCGTCACAGCACATTTGTCTTTTGTTCTCAGATGATTTTAATGGTTTCCTTTGATTTTCACAGCTTAGTACCAGTGCGGCACGTGAAGACTTACAAGAACTTCAGCAACGACTGAGTAAACGAAGTCAGGCGAAACTAGATCACGTGATGGAAGAAAAAGATGCCTTGATTGGAAGATCTGCAGAGCTACGGGTGACTGTAGAGGACTTAGAGGGTGCTGTGATGGACTTACAATCAGACAATGAACAAGTGGGACAAGAAACAAAGTATTGTGTGACAGAGATAGGAAGACAGCAAGGTATTGATGAGGAGGAAGGTAGTGATATTGTTGGTGCGCTGCATGCAGAAAAAGCCGTCCTAGAAAGTACTATTGTTGGGTTGGAACATAAGGTGCAAGATCTACAGGAGCTCGTCAATACACTACAGAGTCAGAGAGAATGGGGCGTGAATATGGAGTCTACTGAGGGACAACCCAGTCCATCAGAATCAGCAGAGAGCTTAACAGAGAGCGCAGTTCACGAAGCTGAACCTGAAATAACACCGGATACTGAAGTGTCGCTAGAAGGAGCATCAAACACGATTAGTCAAGAACTTCTTCAGCAGCACCTACAAGATTACCAGCAACAGGTCGAGGAGCTGGAATTAGCGCAAAGAGACTGGGAAGGAGAAAAAGAAGCTCTTGAAGGCGTGGTGCTGAGTCTTAGGCGGCAAGTAAAAGAAATGCAAAGCCTGCTAGGAAATACCTCTTCTGAACAGCAAGAAGAGATAACAAGAATACAAAAAGAAAATTCTCAGATTATGTCAGAGAAAGAGCGTATTCTTGAAGCATGGAAATCTATAGAAGAAGACTTAGTTTCTTTTGAAATAAGCAGTCCCCGCCTAGAAAATGATACCAAGATCAATGAAGAACGAATGGATGAACTGCGGTCTGATCTTTATAAATGGGCAAGTAGCAAAACAGGAGTAAACTCGCTTAACAGGAACGATATGGAGCAAGTCAGCACCGAAGACAGTTTGAACCAAGGCTCCCAGACCGATGAAGGCTTTCAACTATATTTAAATAAGCTTCAAGAACTAGAGAAAGATAATTCTCTGTTACGAGAGGAGACAGAGCGACTTATTCAAGAAATCGAGGCGAAAACTTCAACCGTCTCTGCCGTCCAAAATGAACTGCAAATAAAAAGTGTGGAAATTGAAAGCATCTTGAATGAAAAACATGACTTAGTGGTAATGATTAACGAACGAGATGAAAGAATATGTGAATTGGAAGAGAGTTTTAATGCTCATCTACTGGAGTTAACCACTTCTAAGGATAATGAGATAAGTTTGCTTCAAAGCGGCCAAGAAGATGTGGTCAAACTTCTAGAGGAAAACAGACAGGAGTGTAGTTTGTTAAAAACAAAAAACAATGAGTTGCTGGATGTGATGGGACAGAATCAACGATCCTGTGACGAACTTGACGAAAAGAACCAGAATTTGGTAACCCAGTTATCTGAAATTGAAAAACATCTTGAAAGGTTGAAGGGAGAAAAGGTAAAATTGGAAACAACGATTCAAGATAAGGAACAAGCGAACGCAAGACTTACCGCTGAAAACAACAGTTTGTTGATGGAAAAAGAAGTGCTGCAAAGTTTGGTTGAGGAGTACGAAAACAAAGTGAAAGTCTTGCGTAATCAAACCGCTGAAATGTCCAGGGTAGAAGGACAAATTGAGCTACTGAACCAACAAGTTCAAATTAACGAGAAACGATGCAAGGATCTAGAGACACAGAAACTAACTCTGTTACAAGAAAAGACCAATCTTGAGCTCGAGTTGCGACAGAGAAGTTCTGAGTTGGATAATTCTGTTTGTGAACTCAAAGAAAAGTTTTCTGAGATTGAAATACTAAAGGTGGAAAAGACCAAGCTTAGCGATACTGTTCAGAATCATTTGTCGGTTTGTAATGACTTGGAACAAAAACTAACCGAAAGCGGGAGGGAAAAAGAAGAGGTGAGCAACTTATTAGGTATGAAGGACTTGCAGGTTGATAAACTAGAGCTTGACCTGAGAGAGAAAGGAGCTGAGATAGATCTGCTAAGGCTGGAAATGGCAAAAGTGACAAAAGCATTGAAGGAGAAGGAACAATTGATTCACGCTCAAGTTGTGAATGCTTCTAGTTCGGATGATGTTCAGTATCATCAAGCACAATTATTGAGATTGTTAGAGGGAAAGGATCAAGAAATAGCAGCTCTTAAACAGAAAGATGCTTCATTGGTAGAGCTTGTGAGTAGGACGGACGAGTCTACACATAGAGCACAGGAAGCTTATGAAGGCAAATTACAACAACTGAGGGAGGAGAGGGATAGGCTGTTAGCGGATCTGAGCCTGCGGGATGAGGAGTTACTGAATGCAGAGGACAGATTAGAGGCTATGAGAGAGAAGGTGCAAGGGAAGGACCAAGCCTCTCATTTACTTCATACTGAGCATGCGCGACTGCTTGCTTTGAACGAGTCACAAGCTAATGAGATGGGAAAACTGAGAGAAAAACACTCTTCATTACAGAAACTACTCGAAGAACGCAGCAAGAGCAAAAGTGCCGAAGAACAAAAATTACAGCAAGAAAATTCCCAGTTGAGACGACAAATAAATTCTCTTCAAGTTGAGCACGAAACTTTAACTACGCTTATACACGAGAAGGACAAACAAATTGCCACCCTGGCTCAGCTGGGAAGTTTTAGCACTCCCGACCCCTCCCTACATGGGGTAGATGTGCAGGTTAAAATACTTAGAGAGGAAAGAGATGTGTTACTGAAGGAAAGAAACTCAGTTATGAGAGACAAGGAGATGAAAGATAAAGAAATTTACCAATTGCAGGAGGAAATCGGGTCTCTTAGACAAATGATTCAAGAGAAAAGTGATTTAACTGCCAAATTATCGGCTGAAAATGAAGAGCTCTGTAAACAGCTCGGCAGTCTTAAGTCACAAGTGAACACATTGTCTTCGGACAAAGCTAATATAGTGAAGAATGATAACAGAATCAAAGAGTTAGAAGATGAAATCACTTCTTTCAAGCGCACTATAGAGAGCAAGGACAACGAACTGAAGCAGCTTCTAGAAAATAGTCGAAATGAAAAAAGTATAATATTGGTAGAACTTGACAATATCAAAACTGAAAGAGACGATATTTTAGAGGAAAAAGATATCGAAACTAGAGAGCTAAAGAAGAAAATTTCACAGCTGGTGAATTTAATGACGGACTCAGAGTCCGGGGAAAGTGAAAATGTCGATGATATTGACAGGAACTTTCAAAAATTGTTTCAGTCAGTTAAAAACCGGAGAAATAATGTTCTTCGACAGCGAGACAACGAAATTCAGACTTTACGTGAACAGCTTTCAAATGTAACGCTACTAAATAAAGCTGTTGAAGATCGAGACTCCGGTTTAGAAGAAGTGCTCCGTGAAAAAGAAGAGCTAAATCGCTTGTTATTTCAAGCACGCCATGAAAAGGAAGACGTCTTACTCGAGAAGGAGTCCATAGTCGCAGATTTGCAAGATCAGATTGTTAGCCTCAGTAAGGCAGTCAGTGAAAAAGAGCGCTCTTCGTATCAGGATTTGCAGCGTGTTATCCAAGAAAAGGAACGAATTGTAAAGGAACTTGATCAAGCACAGCTACGCACAGAGGAAATAAACATTGCCAGCTCTCAGTGGCAGGCTAAGTTAAGCAGGCTACAAGCGGAGCTACAGGAGATGACAGGAACTGTGTCCCAGCAACGTGAAACCATCAGCAGTCTATACAACGATGTTGAACAACACAAGTTGGCAATACAGGAAAAAGAAAGGATTGTTAAGGAGCTAGTGATGGAAAGAGAACAGCTGGTCAAAACATCAGAGCAGCTTCGTAGCCGGGTACAGCAGCTGCAGGAGGAACTGTCTGCTGCAAACAGTGGGCAGAAAGTGGCGGAGACTAAGATGGAACAGGAATTAGAGAGGCTTAGGAATCACCTTGTACAGGTAACAAATCTGAAATCAATTTACGGTAGCCAAATTACTGAATTAGATAACATCGAATTGTTTGTTGAAGAGTTCTGTATGCCTCCCGTCGAAGAACTTAATTTTTATGAAAACAACTTCTACTAATGATCAATATTACTATTCTGCTCCATGTGCTTAGGCGTGAAAATCATGCTTTTGGAGAGAATCTAAAACTAGTAACAGCTGATGCTTTTCATATGGATTAAGTATATTGCTAAGCATGAGGAAAATTCGTAATTGCTGAACATATTAATATGGCGTCTTTAGGTTGAAGAAAGCTACACGCGTGAGGCCCTCGAGGCAGAGGAACGAGAGAAAGAACTAAGGATGAAACTAGCGCGCGCAGAAGAACAACTGCTGTCCAGTTCTTACTCCATGCAGGACAGAGAGTAAGTGATTCTTTGCTTTTTTCAAAAATCAACGACCTAGTTATATGGAAGGGCCTTCAAACCCTTGAACTCAGACAAATAAAGCACATAACTAGTGCTTTCAGCTGAATGCCGTATCTGTATGCTAAAACGTTGTTGTGGTGTCAATTGTAGTCGTCAAGCCTCAGCGCAGATTGAAAACCTTCAGGAACAACTCCAGAGCATCGTAGCTCAACGTGACCGAGCAGTCCTGGATTTAGCTTCATCCCAAGAGCAGGCGGACCAGTACCAGACTTCTCTCAACAATCTGCAGCTTGTTCTCGAGCAGTTTCAGCGAGGTAGGTTTGATCAATAACTCTCTTTGCTGACGTTATTATGTTTACTATTGATCAGTCACATACTTCGCTGGTGTTGATATGGATGATGTTAATTTCAGAGCGTGAATCACAGCTGAAAGTCGCTCAGGAACAAGCACAGAGAGAAGTAATCAAGGCCTGGGACCAAGTGAGAGAACTACAACAGAGGGAAAATCAGCTGAAGGTTAGTGGAAAGAACGCGATATAAACAAAGCTTGAACCATTTACTTAACAGTTGTACCTTGTGGTTTTACCTTTAGAGGCAACTTGAAATGGCTGCTCGTGTAACACAAGAGTTGGTGAACATGCGAGGCCAGCTTCAGGGTAAAGAAGAGGAACTACTTAAACATAAACAAGAAGGTAGGGCCACTAATTTAATTAATTATACACTGTACTCAAGATCTGTCTTCTCATTGGCTCATTGGCGTACAGTTAATTTTGGAAATCAGTGCAACTTACAGATTAGTTCGTTATCTGCCAGCAGATTACTAACTTATCTGTAGGTTGCGCGCAATGCATGATTTGCCAGAACATCGTCAATCTGTTTTCTGTGCGAACATAGTCATAAGCAGTCTCGTCTATTAATTATTGTGCGAAGTAGTGTTGGTCGTTGTTTTCTTAAAACAATGTATGATAAAACAATTATTGCATTCGGTTTTTGTGATATCCGGAGTCATCAAGGTCTCGGAAATTGTTACTAGCCACGGCCATAATTTTCCGGAAATCACAAAAACCGAATCGTTATTGTTTATAATTTTTAATTGTTCGAGTACATCATACCGATTTTTCGTCAGTAGCTTCGTAGTTTTGTTGTCTTTTAGTAACACAAGCCATTTTCCTCCTCAGGCAAAATCCTTCAAAGTGTAGAACAGTTAACAGATAAAGCCCTTCTAGCGGCTCGAAAATCATAAGATTCGGCTGAGGCTGCGATATTCTCCTACAACGAGGAGTTAAGGAAAGTGTCTCCACATGAGACTTGTCTGGAATTAAGAAAACCATCTTTTGCCCTTTTATGGAGTTTTGGAGGAAAATGGCTTCATTTTTAGATGTCGTGTCATCATTTCTTGTTGCGGCATCAGTAAAATGAGTTATTTATTTAGAAACATTTATGTGAGTTATTTATCGGATTTAAGTATGTGTTGGGATAAGTAAAAGTAACATGGTGGTTGCGTTCTTGATAGTTGCCCGGCTAGACGAAGAGTTACGAATCAGTCAGGAGCGAATCAAGAACCTCAACAGCATATCAGACAGCAAAGTTGAAAAGTAAGTGCATCTAAATGGTTAATTGAAGTCACTTTGGTGTCCACGAAAGGTTGTCAACTTAAACTTCATGTTAGGCCAAAATTTACAAATAGCTTCTCTTCTAGGAACATATTCCTCGAGCTGAGGAAATCTTCTAGGCCTTTGCTCAGGGACCCAGTTTTTTGAACCCCAAAAAAGGTCTTAAAAAAAGCATTCTTAAACGTGGGGGAAAATTCTCAGCCTGGGATAAGGCGCGCTCACCGGTTTGGTGCAGCGGGACCCAGAGCTCCATGGTTCTATTTACAATTTAAGTCACGCGTAGGTGTGGTAATGGACTTAAATTATAGGGCCAGATCGCGGTATTTTAGTTAATTACAATCCTTACACCTCAGACTGAGAAACAATTCTTTTGCCAAAATCATAGTCCAGAAACAAACGAAAAAGAAACTAAGCGGTGGGCAAAAGAGAGTATTGAATACAGAACTTGGTAATAAACGGCCGTGATCGGCCGTGACCTGCCAAGATTGGAGACTCCCAAATTATACTCATGCCCAGGGTGCGTTAGTCTCTGAGGACTCTGTTTCATGAATGTTGATATTGTGTAACCTCACTCGTTTGGTTTGCTTTTGTTTTTAGATCTCTTGTGAAAAACATGTTGATGACATATTTCAATACAATTGAAAGCAAACGAGCTGATGTAGTTCGAGTTATTGGAAGTTTGCTTGGCTTCACCCATGAAGAACTGGAGAAGGTATGTCTATAAACAAAACAATTCAAGTAGTGAAGTGGGGGCTGGATACGTGTCATGTTTGTCCTTGAATAACCCCTTACTGGTCTTGAACATTTTATCGTTTGGAATATCAATGTGTAAATCCTTCTGATAGAACTCTGGTCTGTTTCAAGCCGTAAGCTTAGTAGGTTCCCATTTTTGAGAAGCAAAATAATCTGCAGGGTTTACTGATTACTTATCACCTTGCATTTAGCACCATTTAATTGGCTTATTTGTAAACGCGTTAAGGCAAATAACTCACGTGATAATGTTGCTGTCAGGTGGGTACAGGATCTTCTGCTCCTAAAGGATCATGGATCTCCAGTTTAAACCCGTTTGGTGCACCCAAGACTCCCACGAGAACTACAGCGGCAATAGAGAAGGTAATCTTGACTCAGACAAGGCAGTCTTCAAGGCAATTTTTTTAATCCCTGATCGAAATTCTTGTCTTTTTTTATTTTAGTCGTTTTCAGAGCTGTTTGTAAGCTTCCTTGAGAGCGAATCGGAAGCGATGCTGCCCGTGGGTCAAGGAAGCAGACTGAGTAACATAAACAATCCTCTTCTGTCAGGCTTGGCACCACAACAGTCCGCTGCTACTCACCGTGGACTACCGTCGAGTCCCACAGGGCAGCCTATAGCTACTTCAACTCCTGTGGGTACACCTGCTAGGAGTAACATGCCTTCCTTACCTCCGTCTTCTATTTCACGACCTCTGTCCGGCTCAACGTTAAGTGCAACAGATGGATCAACAAGGTACGTTTAACAGACAATGCCCCAAAAAGTCGAAACAAGTGTACCTCATTTTTCACCTTCATGCCTTTTTTAAAATTATATGGTTCACACCGCACGACTTGTGTCACAGAGTGGCATTGTTATGTTTAGAACCCACAATCAACATTTGGTGGGTCAATGTGTTTGTAAACGTGGCGGAAAGAGAAATAATTGTCAATGAACCAATCGTTTTATATTTACGTTGCGTATCACGAAGTGTGACATATCTTGTAGTTTTTATTTGTATCTTGATCGTTTAGTCTTTTTGAGATGGTCGTAACTTTTTTATTATTTTATCAGTATAGTGAGTGAGGACCTCTGTGAAAACCAAGTACTGTGACTGGAGCTTCCTCAGGCTATAAAGATTATCATTATTGTAATACTGAGATGCAATCCGCTGCGTTAAGCAATGCATGTGCTCTGAGATTCATTTAATTGTAGTTTATTATAAGCCTGAAAATCAAAGTTTTGTTTAACTTTCTGATAATCTTTTCTCAGCAGAGCTAACATTCCCAGCACCAATGGTAACCCTTTATTGGTGGGTTCACTCACTCCAGTACAACAACTACCAGCTATAACCAGCTCCAATTCATTACGGACATTACTTGAAGGACATACATGACGGTGCTTGCCTGGGATGGCGGCAACCGCTGGACTTGGGATACGGATCTTCTAAAGTTCGTCATAATAGTTGGCAGCGTAACACAGTAAAGTTCAATCCCGGTTTAACGAAGAATCTCCACATGACACATACGTGCAGTGTATTTAAAATTTGACTCGTGGAATCGTGAATTGTAGGCGACTCACAAGGGTACAAAAACTTTCAACTTTTAACTGCAACTTGAAAGGTGTAGTGCGAATCAGAATTTCAAAACAATTGTATAGTTTTATTTATGGGAACTAATAAATGAACCCCAATCTTAAAAATAATCTATAATTTTAAAAACTTGTTGCGTTTTGTAGCACTCCGATTATACTTGTGTATATTAGTGATAGTGGACTCGATAACGGAATACCTCGTTATCTGTTTATCATAATGCATGTTCACGTCAAAATTACTATGACAACCGATGACAACCTCCTTCTAAGGGCCACTCCTTTTTACGTCTCCTGTAAATCTCTCTTTTTATGTGTCTACAGGAGACTGCAAAGAGAGAGACTGAGCACAAGGTTAACCATGCGAGTTCGAAATCGAGTTTTAAAAATATCTAATGTATCAGGCAAATAAACAAAAAGCTTTCTTCAACATGCAGTCTATTTGTTTGTCTAGGTAATTACCACGCGCATTTTGTGTTTTTTTCATAATGGAATCGTAATAACTCTCCTGTACTCTGTTATTTGGCGATTCACTAGACCGCCAAACGATCGCCTTGTTTTTTCAAGGCGTGAAGTGCGCGATCCTCACACACACATAAGGCGGAATATGAACCGAGAAAAAAAACGCCTGTCAGTCTTCCATGCAACGAATGAAGAACCAGGTAAAAAAAGGGGAGGAGGTTCCAAAATTTCGTCGAGCTGCCACAAGCCTGTTGACAGCTACCTTTTAGTGGAATTGATATATTCTGTGGCGCGTGTTATTATTAGGTCGTAGCTTCAGTTATTTTAAAATACGGGGGCGTTTAATAGATTAATTGATTATTAATTGATTGATCAATTTATTTGTTTTTGTCGCATTAGAGGTTAAATATACTGAAACAATATAGAAAAAGATGGTGACGGGGAGGCCTGGGGATTATACTGGGTCCGGGATTCTCCCTGGATTAGTTTAAGTTGACATAACAGAGGAAAGACGACGCTATTTTACAAAATAAACTACAGTATCAACTAAGATACAGGAAAAAAGAGGAATAATACAACCTAATTACATACAAAAATTACGTACAAAATAGGAGGGTAAGGATGATGTCATATTTTAACTAGAATATTTCGATAAAAGTTCACATTTAAGGGAAAACTTAAGATTAGCTATATTAGTCATGGTCGTTAAATGTTTGTTTAGACGGTTCCAAAAGAGTGGGCCTTGGTAGGAAATACTAAACTGTTGAGTTTAAGGTTGTGCGAGACTTATGAGTGGAGTCGAAGATTCTGAGCAAATCGAGTATTGTAATCGAGTATTTTAATTATGTCATGAACAAGAGAAAAGATGTGAAAAGATTGTCGAAGGCCAAAGGCAGTAGATGGTTACAATACGAGAACATAAAAATACCGGTTTGTAAAGAATTGATCTCGAAGACCTTATACGCCTAAAGGATTTTAAAAAATACTTTAGGCGTATAAAAGAGAGGCGTTTATTTTCATGACTGTAACAAGCTCAACAAACTAACATACTTTGGGCAAATATGCAGAGAGCCAGTTTAAAGATAGCGGAATATCCATATCGCTCTCTCAAATGCCAACATCCATGTCAGAATCGTCGCTCAGGGTCATTGTGTTACCATGGTTAGTCTATCGCTAATCCTCACTGTGAACTTGACATTCACCAAGATGACATACGCAAAGCTTTGTTAATCAAGCAAGAAACTGAATGAATAGAGTGTTTTGAAATTGACGTTGAGCCCAAGATGAAACACTGAAACGGCGGCCATTTTGGTGTCCCAAACCAATTTGTTAATCAAGCAAGAAACTGAATGAATTGACTGATTTTGATCCTTTTTTCTTATTCCTAGCATTTAAGTAATGATCCATTTAATAGTACATAGAAATGTTTTCATTTTACGGGTCGTCTATTAAACAGGGGGCGTATTTAAAATAGTGATTGGACCAATCACAAGAGTTGCAAACAATGGCCAAGAAATGTTCACTATTTTTAACAGCGTAGAGAGGGATTTTGTTTGGATAGAAAAAAGGGATTAAGAGAAGATTTCGTAAAATTTGATGTTTCATTTCAGAACCATAGTAACAATAGGGCATTCCAACGTTTTGCGTTTTGGTCCTTTCCTTCTTATCTGGACCATTACTTAATAGTAATTCCCATAGGGTCGTCTATTAGACAGGGGGCGTATAACAGTGAGTGGCTTCTAATACAATTTTAACAGCGTAGAGGGGGCGTTTATTAGATAAGAGGCTTTTATTTGGAAGTGGGCGTTTATTGGGTCATTTACGGTATTTCTGAATTCACATGCAAATGCATCCCTACCTCTCACTCTATTTCTTGGGAAAGGATTAGCTATAACCTCAGCATGGAATAAACCAGTGCATGGGGTTTGTTGTGTGTGATGTTACGTGATGTGTAGGCCAAGTTCAGAGTTGAATGAGCGCTTACAAGAAAACGCTTTTCTTACAGGGTTTAAAAGGAAATTTAACACCCTCATAAAATTTCAATTGGATGCTTGGTTACGAGTGAGAAACAGGAATTTGATTACAAGAACATCAATGCATCCAATTCTTTCATGCACTCAATTATCATTGAATGACGAGAAAGTCCGCCAGTATCAGAAGGCATTTTTAGGGTGCGTATAATAGCACTGATGCGGCTTTCGAAGGAAGACATGTCTCCATTAACCTTTTGAGTTAGCATTACTGTAACAGTAAGTCCAGCCATAGCCCTGTAAAAAAGACTAAAACAATTCCTATTCGAAATCAACTTCGTCAATAAAACACTCTCGAGGAAACAAATGCATCTTTCTAATTCCTTTGCGAGTAATTCAATTAATCCTGTCTTGTGTTCTTTGTTGGTGAGAACAGCTAATACGTTATTCATCTCAATCCCTTGTTTTACAGTCTTGCAAGCTGCACGTGTTACAATACAATCTTCCGCGTAGAGGTTTAGAGGGCCTTTCTCGAACAATCGATCCACATCTGAATGTTCATCTGTCTGGTCATACGTCTGGCGGCTGAGGTCCCCCCGGATCCACTCCAGCATCCATGACACGCAAGCCAATGGTGATCGGTCAATAAAGATGCTCCAAACACAAAGCAAGGCAGATTCTAATGACAGGGGGGCCACCATAGCACAGCCTTCCAAAGATAAACCAACAACTACAAAAGCAAATGAAAGACAAATACAGATACGTGGTATTCCTAGTCACATAAACTAGTCTCCCAACAAGCCATAATTTGTGTCGTCTCGTCTCGTTCTTTATCGAGATCACATAACTTCGGAGAAGAGCGTTGCCTCACATTCCGAATAACAGCCCAAGTGATAGACTAGCCATTAACGGCAGAACCTAAGCCAAGACTTTCTGAATGTCCAAAGGAGTTTAATTACCCGCTCGGGCAATTACCAGCTTTTACAGGCCTGATGTCACGGCGGCCAGGCTGGTGGGAAGAACAAGAGTGTTTCCCTAAGCCGGGAACTAAACTCTTTTCCGTGAAAAATGGTTTGTTTTTTTAGCAACAGGGCCGCCTTCGCGTGGTAACATACCAAGGATAGATCTGCAAGCGCAGTATAACACACGTGAAAGAATTTTAATACAACTCATCCGCAGCTATGGTAATGAGATGAAAGTGAACATGACTCTTTTGAATTATCGGAGAAAACTGAAATGTCTGGCAAAAGTCCGACTGAAAAGCATCCCGCCAATTATGACCAAACAAGGTAATTAACGGTCGATAAATCATGAATAAGTATGCTTACCAAGCCACGACGACTGAATGCGGTTTAACAATGACGCGAATCCAAGCGCCATTCGCTCTCTCACCACAGGTTCATCATCGTAAAGGAGCTTAACCACTACAGACCATAGAACAAAAGGAACATCACCTGAAACAAAACACAGGAGGAATACCTCATCTTACTACAATACAATACACTACAATAACACTAGTTTGGTATATGCCGTGATAGCTAGACTCCGCTGATTCGCAGGTTTTAAGAGACAGTAGTATGAATGGGATGAAATTAACCCTTTTTTGAGTGGGAATCTCATTGTCCATAATTGATGGGCTTCGTCAAATGATTCCACCAACTAAAATAGTAAATCACCCACACAACTCACAGTATCAATGTAAAATTATCTAAAAACCAGTTAAAGCGGTTATACTGGCCACAATATAAAAGTAGGTAACATTGCCCATGCCTTATGAGGTGCTAATTCATGACGTCATTTTGCTGCGAAAATTGACCAAATATTCTACCCATAAAAGGTAAAATTCATCCCGATTATACTACTCTGCTTATTGAACCATTTGCCTCGCAAGTCATTTCTTAGATGCTTGCAATAATAATGCCGACGTCATGGTCTTAACGGTTGCTCAAATGTTATTTACCTACTCGTGAGTGAGTTTGTTAAGGTCACTTTGGAGCTCGATTTATTTTCTTTTGACTTGCAATTAGAAAAAAATTAAGCAAGGGACTCTCATATTGGTAAACTCCGTGGGATGTAATTGCCAGGTTGTTTTCTTAACTAATTGAATATTATCATTGTCGTTTGAATTCTACGCCCAAAAGTGTAATACAGAATCTTAGGATAGAATAAATGTAATGTACAGAATATGCTATGTCCTCCTGGCTGATGACTGATTTCGTGAGAGTCGTTTGTCCCCGTAAACGAAATAAGACCTCAGCCGTTTTTGAACACTAAAAAAAGAACAGGCACTATTCACTTATCAGGGACGAGTTTAAGCTTATTGATCGAGACCAACACTGGTACTTTGGTCTGGTACAGTAAAGAACAATTGTCACCTCCAAGGTCACCCAAACTACATATTAATAGAGAGAAAGGAACTGAGATATCAAAAGCCTGGATACCACAGAGGACCGCTACGGGAACCGAGTTAACGTAAGGCGGTAGGGTCTGTGTAAGAAAATTTGGTACGTACCTAATGTTCCTTGTCTATCAACCATCAGATCAGTAACATGAGCAGAACCCAAGACTTGTGCAGTACAAAGCCTTAGCTCCTCACTTTCACTTGGTGAACTGGTTTCAAGGGTTATTCGAGAGAAATCCGATAGCGCTTCCGTGGCTTGTGTAGCAGTGGCAGTGTCCTGAAAATATATACATACAAGGAGCCAATCAACATTGCTAGAAATCACGCTCTGCTCTGATTAGCTGAGTTTCTGTGCCTGACAGTTTATTCAATGAGAGAGAGAGGAAAGATTCAGAGCTTTAAAAGGGCTGCTTGGGGCATTACTTTGTCAGCAAAAGTTGCAATGAGCGTCACCTCAAGTTTAAGACTAAAAGGCTGCCGCGATTATATTCAGAGGTGGTGAATGCTGCTTCACTACGTCAGAATACCCTGCTTTCTTTTGGGAGATTGTAAATGGTGGTTCAACAATACGTAAGTACAGTTTAAGATACAGCTGGCAGCTTTACCGTTTGGCCAGTGCGACAAACTACAGCACTACGTCTCCCCGGGGCCTCTGCCAAAACAACTGACAGTAATAGTTACGGCTATATGACAAAGAAATAATTTTCAAAAACTGATTGATAATTCATGAAGAAAAAATAAAAAAGTTAATGTTTAATGAGTGTCTTTATATTTGATAAAGACACGGCTTAACTTAACGTCGAATTGCTTAGACCAAAATAACCTAAAATCTAAATATTAGTGGAAGGATGAGTTGATTTATATCAGAGATTTTGAAGCCGTTCAAAAAACTAACAGTCGTGCATACAATACACAATACACTATGCAATACACTCCTGCTCGTTTTTTAAACAGTACCTGTGGAATATCAAGCATATAGTACTATGATTAAATTTTTTTACCGACAATATTGCTCCAGCTTTTTCTTCACTATTCAAGTTCGCGGCACCGCTTTAAGTTAGTATTGGTATAGATTAGAAATGATCAATTTTGTGGTTGGCTATCAAAACCTTTCCAACTCGAGAACTAAAATCCCGTATTATATAATGTAGATGCATGGCAGAGATTAACCTAGAGCTGGTTCGAGCAAGTTTACAGCAGACTTTACCTGACCATTGCTGTTGATGATGCCGTACATTACAAAAGCTACACGTGACAGAAAGCTCAGCGATGCAGCCTTGAGGGAATCTCTGCATGAGAGATAAAGATTATAAGCAATTCAGAACAATCCTTTTCAATAGCATACTAACAAAATCAACAGTACCAACTCTAAGGGTGATGGATTTCGCGACACCAACAAAAATTCATTTTGTACACTTGGTTAAGGTGCGGGGAAACAGGAGTGTACATAAATTTGTACCTACGAATTTTACAAACAATTGGCAACAAAATTAGTTGTAACACTTTGTCCTGAACGTCGTTTCGCGTCCACATCATCTAGTTCACGAAGGAAAAAGCAAGCTTTCCTTACCCTTATTCCTTCTAAATAAGGTTGCGCCACTGCTCTAGCTACCTGCAGGGTGGAGAGGCTTCGATTGTTTTGTTTTCCTAATATAACAAATTGACGACAGTGTCTTAACAATTTTGTTGCCGACTGAAGCTTCTACTAGAACAAGTTTCTCTTGGAATTTTCTTACCTTTGACTAGGGGCAGAGACAAGGTCTGCTACAAACGTCCAGCACTATAGAACGAGAAAATATTGTTTGTGTTAAGGTTTGACGGCTGAACTGTAGAACTAAGTATAGACAATCAAGTGAAGTGGGTTTGTATGATACTTTGTTGTACCCCTGGTAAAGGAGTTGTGTGTCTCAGATCAACATAATATCAATCGAATAGTCTTAAAGTGCAACATCGTATTGGTTCAGTCAATTCCACGCGTGCCCACCCCCCTTTTGGCATTTGTCGTCTTGTCCGGTGTGGGGCATTTGCCAATTATTATACAAGGAGTTAACATCCTTCCTTTTAGATATTTCACTTCAAAATATGCCTGTTTTGATAACTACAGATTTTCTGTAAAGATTATTTTTAATCCGTATGCTTTAAAAATATTCGTGTGGTTTTCGCTCCATTGCCACCCTTCTCCACAGTATTTTTTGCATCCATCTAAGAAATTGCTTCCCGCCATCGTGATCAGTTCGCACATGGAGCAAAAGATCAGTGCATCGTTTGAGGAGTTTAAGGGAAAAGAAACTTTCTTGTTAGCCAATGGTTGAGACAGAAAGGACTAGAAAAAAACTAAGAGATATTTGAAAGCTAATATAAACTTCGTATATCGTACGATCAATGTGACAATTAATACGTTGACGGAAAGGTTCCATCGTGATGAATAAATACTCATAATTATAACTAGCGACTAGAAGCGATTTGTGTAAGGTGCTTCAGACGGGTTTTGATCAGATTATTTCACAGATTTCCTATGAAATGGCATTTGTAGCTTGATGACTGGAAAATGCAGTTTTGGTGTTGCCCCGGGGTAGGGCATTTGCGGCCTTGATTTAAGCTCCACATTGGGGTTTTGTACGAACCGCCCGGCCCCCACCGTGGGGCATTTGCTGCTTTTCCAAAACAAAATGACAAATGCCCGGGGGTCTAGGCATTCTTGGAATTGACTGAACCATAAAATTCCGAAACTAAACTCCTGGTATATATTTTACACATATCATATTAATATTGGAAGGAAATAAAGTGACAATGAACCTTAAAGTGACTCATCTTTAAGAATATCGGCAAACATGTTCCAAATTTGGTCAACGGTAGCTGCTCATGACGAAATGGCCGGGGGAATTAAGCCAATAAGAACAGGAAAAATATTTTGAATGCATAATAAAAGTATAAATGTACACACTTGGAATGCGGAAATTTGATTTCCCGATGAAAGTATCCAAGGGAAGGATAAAGCATCTGAAAGTAGGTATAAGGCTTGAAAAACCTGCAGGGAAGGGACAGTAGAAAAAATACAAGACAAAAAATATATTCAAAATATAAATTAGTTAAACAATTTGTATAATAGGGGATGGGGAGAAGACAACTAAACAGAAATCGTCTTAGACTACTGCAGCTTCATTATCATCGGCATCAAAAGCCCTGGACTGAACGCCAGTGCGACCCGGGTGCGGTGGGATTTCGTTACAAATATGCACCTAACGTGAACGTAAGCTACCTCGTGGATCGAGACGAGCTCGTCTCGATCTTACAATAAACTTTCACCACGAACATTTTATCGACCCGACTAACTGCCCTTGGGTCTCCGAGGATGCCCTTTGAATAAAACCTACACATCAGTTACGCTTAGTAATAGCAGCGCTTAAAAACTGAGACAAACCGCTGTTTGCAAGTCAAAGTACGGGTCCACAAAATCAGTTCTTAAGGAATGTATTATTGACTACTGATGTAAAGGAAGCTTCCCAGTGTTCCAAGGTGCTTTTGAATTTATTTAACGTAAAAGCATTGACAGCAGCGACTAGGACATGAAAATGCCTAATTATACGTTTTATGGAGGACGTAAACAACCGAAGACAACATTTTCTATCTCTTTCTGAACTTGGATATGGCTTTTAGGGATTTATCTCCAGGTGAGTTTGCTTACATTTGACAAAGAGAGTTGGGTTAATCGCGATGAAGATTGAGAGAACGTAAATTCATTTTTAAGTGACGTTTTCGCTGTCGTCGCCGTCCTGGTATCTTATACTCTCTGCTGTCACTGCTAAGAGACCGTAAAATCTGCACGATGAGCCAATGAGAAATCATAGCACCTGGGAGTACTGCTCTCTCCCTCCCCGTCGCCAGCTCCCCGGATGGAATGCTAGTCCATCGCAGGGTTACCCCCAGCAGTATGTTGCTGGTACTTATTTATACACCTGGATGCAAAGGGACAATGTGGAGCAAAGCTTCTCTTGTCTAAGGAAACAGGCGGCGATAACAACACCACAGCTCAAACCTGGAAAGTCAGACAAGGCGAAATCCGACGCGCAAAACACTGGAAACCACGTCTTTACCAACAGAAAAAAAAGAACAACTACAATCGAAAGTATAATTGTGTTGGATTGTCGGTCACTACTCGCCTTAATTTCTTCTTTGCTGTCCCTACGCCTTTAGAGCTTTAAGTGGAACGAACCTTTGTCAAATCATTTAATACCTCAAACGTTTTAAACGGTTAACAAGAATTGAGCTTTAATATTCACGATTCACTTGTTCCACATATTGTGTGGGGTTTTGTTTCCTTGTTGTTAACAGTTAACATAGAAAACTATGAGTTACCTTGACTAAGCACTCTGTATGGTGCTCCACTTCCATTGCCATTGTAAATAGCTCGCTCTTTACGCGTGAGTCCAGTTTGTCGAATACCCAAGAATCAGTTCTGCTGTATTCTGTACTCTGCCGAAGATCAACTTCATAGTCACGACCAATGTTCGTATCAGAGGCAAAGTGAATGATGATAAATTCGAGAACAGCCATTCGAACTTCATATTCTGAAGACCGCAATAGAGTTAATATGACGTCAGAGCAACTGGTAGTTTTTTCTGCTTCGTCTGGAGGTGTCAAGCACGTGGCATCTACTGGTGGAAATTCTTCACACACTTTTAGACATATTTCAGCTAATGCCTTCCTCGCAAATACCTCTCCAATGAGAGCAGGGCAATACTGTCCGTTTGTGGTTTCTTCAATTGCCATTCTTTCAAAGCTTTGTTTAAGAGACTGCAAATTGCGTTCTGCTAACACAATCAACTCTGAATTATCTGAAAAAAAAAAAACACAAACACAGAAAACATGACTCACATTTCAAACAACATGATCTTCGTAATTTAGAGAACACTGAGGTAAGAATGAAAATGTCCGAAAAGTGAGGTAAAAATGTTGCGATATATGAATTTTTACAACAAAACCAACAAGTCTCCATTTACGTTTAGTTCTTTGAGAACAGCACGTTAATTGACTTAATAAAATGGAACATCGGATATTTTGATACACAAATCCCTTCTTATAGAAACGTTTTGCATATTTGTAGGCTTTAGCCAAACGACTGGACAAGACTGACGCCGGAAAACCATAATTCCAACACTGAGAAACAAAGTTTTTGAGAACGTTGGTTTGCATCTGAAAAAACAGTTGATTGCAATGACCTTTATCCTGCCTGGCACAATAGATATGTAAGGGAGAGAAGCAAGATAATACGAAGGGGTAGTTAATGAACACTGGTATCAATTAATTTTTGTAATTGCGACCTTTCTCCTACTATCTATTGGATCTCTCGTATTCAAACAAGAATTTAAACTGTATGATAGGACAAGATACAATTAAAATTTAACATAGGAAATATATGGAAATACCTGTATGTCCGAGCCAAGACTGATCCACAACAAAATTTAGGACAATGTTTAGGAATACTGATCGAGAGAGCGCACACGGATTGGACCTAATTAGTAACATAGAACAAACATTCTAATCTTTACATGATTTTCAGTTGCGTTTAATGGGGCGCGAGGGACTATCATTGACAATATTTACAATTAAACCTTTTCCCCACATCAACTTCGACTGCATACTACGTCCAGTTCATTTCTGAAGAAAACAAATATGGTCTGTAGCTGCTGACCGTCCACATCAAATATGAGTTTATCTCTTACTCGATTGTTTTCATCCGGGTGCTCTTTTGTTTCAAAATGCATAATTTTCCGTATCCTGCAGACAAGCTCTATATTTGGCATTATAACTGAGGAGGTGCGCACTCAGACGTTTTCCATGTTAACTTTTCAGAAACTTTAGCTGCAATCAGATGACGGCCGACTCATGTCAGAAAGGCAGGACCGATCAAAAAACAGGGGGAGGGGGATTGGAGGTAACGTGTATGGAAAACCGTGGTGTGCTACATTGCTATCAGCGACTCCACTAAAACATAAAATGAACATCTCTAAACGATTATTTTCAGTGTCAAAATGAGTATTGGCTTTAGAGCTTAAACATGGCCTTTGTAACAAGAGGTACAACTAAACTTGTACTGAGAACGGCACGGGAATTGTGCGTGAGTGCACAAATTTAGTTCTAGCGACTTCTGATACAATAAAACTTCATCCATCAAATCCAAATGTTTTCCTCGAATGATGTATAAATAAGAATCATACCTTGTGCCAATCCACGCTGATTGGCTGAGCAGTGGAATCACCTCGGTTACAATCTGTTTGATGACAGCACTTGACATAGTTGTGTCACGCACATGGCCATTCAGCAAATGATAAATCTATAACAATAATTACAAATCTCCTTAGCCTCCCAAATAAATAAAAAAGATCGCATTTCTTATCAATCATTTGGAGATCCAAAAAGTAAATCATTTTCCCTATTACTTAGAAAGTTACGGCACATAATGTCATGCCAGTTATCATATGTCTTTCATAGATTCACTTCTACTAGATAATAAATCTCTCATCAACGGAAGTAACCATTCCATTATCCTAACAGTACTCACCATAATAACAAGAAATAAACCCTCTCGAGAAAAGATTTCTACCTCCATTTTATTGAAATTGCTGTAATCGTGTATACTTACATGAAGTAAAGTCCCGTGGATCTCATTTTGTCTAACTTCATTTGATGAGCTGCAAGTTTGAGAAAACCAAAATCAGTGACATCCTACATACCGGCAGAAATTTCTCAAAATCTACTCTTCTAGGTGTCACGTGATAAAAAAAGGCCTAACGAACCACGGGGGCTACGTTTAGTCTACATCACTGCTGGTCTTTTTATAGCCTGTTAGCAGGTTCACTCGCGGGAGTCTAGACTAGATGGGGATATCAAATTGCAGATGGCAGCTCATAAACCATTTACGGTTAAATGAATGGAATATGTGTCCTAGAAGGTTCTCCAATTGCTATAGGATTTACATGTGTAATACAGCCGAAACAAATTCTGGAAATAAAGACAGTTTAGCATAATACTGATAAACAGGTACAACTTAAAGATATTTCCAGAAACCTGAACAATCTGCTGTCTGTCCCATTCAAATTAAATGAATATAGAAGGAGACTCTCAAAGTTTGCACATTCAGACGTGCATATAACACATGCTTGCTACACCATAGCATGCTCATTTGATTCACCTGACGGGAAGAGACTGCAGTAACTTCTGAAGAGTTTGAATAAGAGAATCACCCGTCACAAGAGGAACAACAGCACGTGCAGACATCATTCGAGTCTTCATCACCATGCTTTTTCTACAGCTGAAAATTAAACAAAGAAAAAAGGAACAGCTGTAAAACAGGATTTGCTCTTTTTTTGCCATGGACTATAAAACACAGTTCGTCTGACAAAAAAGAGTATTTGAGCAGGATATTTAAACAATGCGAAGTGAACTGCGCAAGGGACACCCACAAAAATTTGATATAGTTTTCCAAAAGTACTAATAACTAAATGTACACAACAAATGATAAAAAAGTTACCTGATAACAAATGGCACAAACGCTGCAATATTGAGTGCTGAGTCAACTCCGTCCATTGTTGAAGGGTAGAGACGGCAAAGTATTACTAACACAGGGTACAGACTTGGGTCAGGGGTGGTATTCTCTCTGTAAAGATATGAATAATCATCAGCAAAATACAAATAATCTTAGAAATTCCCTCTAAAGGCGTGTAAAACTAGCGGCACTGGAGTAAGAAAGTTAAAAAAAAAAACAAACAAAAAAAACAGGGAATACAACTCCAGAGCAGTGTGTGATGGTAGATCATTGCCAGTAAAGAAAAAAATAAATGTTAATGGCCTGCAGTAGCAGAGTTTAAAGATGTAAATCGAAGTCCAAGGAAGGTACTTGGTTACAGTTGCCAGAGAAGCACATCTATTAGGGATTTAACGATTAACCTGAGGAAATACACGAAAGAAATGGTGAACATTCCAAAAAATCAGATTAACCTGTCAATTTCTTGACATGCAGCCTGCAGTTGACTTAAGAGGAATGAGTGAAGTTCCGGAAATCTGGAGAAGAATTCTCTTCCTGTCATGCTGCGAAAAAAATTATCAAGGAAAATGAGTTGGGCGAAAACACAAAAAAACCGACTGTGTTGTATTCGGAAAGGTTATAGATGCAATAATTTCCTTAAAATAACTCACAGAGACATGGTTTCAGCATTTTCAATTTGTTATTTTGAGAGCATATTCTTCTGTCATGGGAAATGAAAACAATGATAGCCAATTTTCCACTGTCAGTAAAGCAAGACGAACGAATGATTGTTTTAAGCCTACATGTTACCATAACACGTGAGTATTCGGAAGATCGCCGCAGATCAGTGCAGTACTGTTCGGCAGTAACAAAAGCTTATGGAAGTTGTTACCAGTTGCTCTTGGAATGTTCGTCCTTTGTTCGCTTGACTCCAAAGACTCTTGTTACCAATGCACTGAACAGCAGCGTAGACGAGTTGCGCATCTGATGTACAGCCACAAACAACAATCATTTACGATGTTATTTTCATTATAAATAAATTTAGATATTAGCTGGAAAGCTGGCTTCAGATGTAATAATAAGGGAAAGCTCTGTCCCATAAAGGTACAATTTTTGCCAGAGAATCTGAGGCTGATCTAACATAAGATCATTAAAAATCATCACAAAAACTTATTAATAATTCATAGAGAAAACACAGCAGAAGTTAATGTTTAATGATTGTCTTTTTATCTGATAAAGACACAGCTAAACTTTACGTCCAATTTTTGAGATCAAAATAGCCCCAAATCTAAATCTTAGTGCAAGAATGAGTTGATCTATATCAGAGATTTTGAAGCCGTTCCAAAAAACTCGCAGTCGAGTATTACCTTGTAAAAGAACCCTCGGCTTCGCCTCGAGTTTTTACACCTGATAATACACTCCTGCTCTTTTTTTAAACAGTACAACTTTCTCGCACTTACGTTAAGACGACTGGGGGGAGCCGACACCCTCTATTATAGGACCTAACAGGGGAGCGAGCTGAACAGAGAGTTTGGACTAAAACGATTCATTCTGGTAGAAATGATATTGAGGTAGCTGATGAGTTTGTAGAATGGCTGAATATATAGTTTACCCAAGAATTGGCTACTTACTGCCCAGCTGTTGGAATGGAATCCAGTAATAGCCACAACTACTCCATCAGAAACAAAAGGAAAGACATCTTCACCAAGTTTGGTTTCACGGTACAAGGCACGAAGAATGTTACACGCATGAACCTGTACAAGACCAAAACATAGTTTTATTATAACTGGCTTAGTCCGCACACGCACAACACGCGATTCGTTAATTTAATGATTCGTACTTTAGTGGAGAGTCTAACTGTGTTCGTTTTGCCCAATTCAAACGAAGTAATAACCTCGACAGATATTTGAAAGAATATCTATACCCCTTATAAACCTGGGTTTTTCAGTCAGACCGTAAGTTATGGAAACTAAAAAAACTTTTCTCCTTCTGATTTACCGAAAAAAACTTGATAAGTAAGAGGTGTGGTTATACTTCACAGCCCATGAACATGTCTATCAATTGAAGGCGAAAAGTTCACTATTCCTGCACATGACGAGAAGTCATCTGCCTGCAGTGATGCTAATGATCAGGCTGCAGCTGATGGTGGTCCACTGTTTCTATTGTTTATTGTTTTCTCACCTAATCCTCTTAGCTGGTTTGGGGGCTTTCAGGAGGCCTGATTGAGGATACTGTTTTAAGTCTCCTAATGGAGGCAGGACCGCCTACCTGCCATGTGCAGGTCAATCCCTTTTCTGGGCAAAGGCAAAGTAAATTCTTCCTCCACAGTAATTGTAAGGCCCTGAGGATTGGTCTGGTCCCGGAAATCAAACCAGTGACCTCTCGCTCTAGAGGCCAGTGCTGTACCTAATAACCTAACCCTTCCATTATGTGTCCCGCTTAACCTTATTCTACAAATTCATACCTGAGGTAGAGTCGAATCACGGATCCTGGTTTCCTCGATAGGTTGAGAAGCAATTTCCAGTAGCTCTAATAGATAATAACAAAAACGAACTTCATGTACCCTCTTCCGTTTTATCCTCCTTTTTATAGGCTAATGGGGCTGAGCAAATAAACCAAACATAACAGGTCTAAATATCCCAGCTGGTATTATGTAGGAAGCAAGTCATTTTTGCTATTTACAAGTCACGCCAAGGAGCTGAACTAGGAACTACCAAGGAACAAAGTCAGAGAGTGGTCAGAGCGGATTTTGAATTTGGGTACTCCGGTCACAAAATCCAGCACTTTGACACACTGTTCCACACCCAAGAAAGGTTACAAAATATTTTTCCCTTTGATGATAATAAAACCTAAATATGTTTACTATTACCAAAAATATATATATATATTTAATTTGCTTTCCCTTTATTCCTTATATCTTTACTAATTTCATTTATAACAGGTTTCACGGTGACAGACTTTGGTTTGCCAGTGGATATTGTAAAATGTAAAATTTCATCTTCGTTAACATTTGGTCTGGGCACTTTTTTTGAAGGGAATTCCTACTATGGAACTGAAACTTTTCTTCTTTCTTAATTCAGGGAGTTAGTAGATAGCTCACACTGGGGTTTCTTACTTTTCATGACTTGTTTAAAACACGCTCTTCCAGCAGCAGGCGGTTCAGTTGTAACAATAGCCTATGGAAGAATGACACAACAGTTACATAGGTCCAACTCCAATTAAAATTTTAAAACACTGTTGCGCTTTGCTTGAGTCCTCAGAACACTGTTTGCCTCTCAATTAACTGCGCGGTCAATTTTCCAAGAACAATTTGCAGGACAAAAAATCGTAGACTTAGAACCACAAATATTTTGTACAAACATGGGAATTTATAAGGCTTCAGGAGCAATATAGAGCCTGGATGCAATCAACAATTTGGTTACCCTAAACGAGGCCTTATATTGGTGTGGTGAAGGAAACCGCAAAAAAATTGTTTCTGAGAATAAGACGAAGCTAATTTTTTATTGTAAATGGTACAAAAGACAGAGTGGAAAGTTGTTTCAGCAAAACCAAGGCAACACTCATCTTAAAGCTGTGTTTTTTTTTTCCTGAATAAATTGACAGATTTAAGTTAACCTGAATGAAGAAAGGAACACCGGCGCTCCTTCTTGTGCCGCACAATTGCTCTGATGGGTTGTCACTTGTGAGGTCATCTAACAGAGAATGCAGCCACTTCTCTGGTAACTGACGGAAATCTTTATCTACACTTCTGAAAGAGAAAAAAGAAGAACTCAAGCAATGACGATTTTCTAATCGAAAATTTCAAGTGACACCTAAAGCTGTAGCCTGATCATCAGTATCACTGCTAAATGTAGCAATCTCCTCATTATACGTCTCATCATCAGCAACATTACCATAACCATCAAATCATCAGTCTTATCATCAGCTTCATCTCTAACCGTTGATAACTTGTTCCCGCCACAAAGACATCTAAACCGTAATAGAATGGCGACAGTACGTTTCCCCGCCAAACTTAAGCTGGTTCCTGCGCGCGCACTACTTAGTACAGTCAAACCCCGTCGATACAGACAATGAGGGGGCCATAGAAAGTGTCCATATTAACGGGGTGTCCGTTTAAAGCGGGTCATGTTATTAAAGTAAAAAGAAAAACACTATTTATTAGACCAAAATACTAAAGAAATAAAACAGGACATAAGCATCGTCAAATTAAACATCTCCATCCTACACAAAGCCGTCGTTCGGCGGACTGGCGAACTAAATCCTGTGGAAACACTCTCAAAAAGCGCCGCCGACCTGTTAGCTCAATTGGATGAGCGCCGGTCTGCTGAGCGGAAGGTCGCGGGATCAAACCCCGGCCGGACCAACACTCAGGATCTTAAAATGACTGAGGGTTAAGCGGGTTAAATTTAGAAAAAATTTCAGGGCTTTCCCGAGGGACAAAAGGAAACTGTCAGTATAAAGTGGGTGCCCGTAAAGCGGGGTTTAAACTGTATAGAAAAAATCTTGTCCCTGCAGTCGTCCTCGCCTTAGAATTTAAGGGTCTCTTATATCATTAATATCACCACCAGTGGCTTCATCGTCAGCATCACATTTGCATTCATTCATTCATATTTGCATGGAAAAGGCGCGTTATAAATTTCTAATTATTAATTATTATTAATCACCGGCCGTCATTACCATGACGATCACCAGAGCAGCCTCATCATCGCTATCATGCATTATTATAAGCATCACCATCAACACAACACCGTCCCTAACGGCAGTTTTGCCATTGCCATCATTTTATTACTAGAAATACGTTTATCGCAAAAACCTCGCGAAGGTGTAATAAACATCATCACTATCGGCAGCAGCATTGTCTTAATTATTGCTCGTACTTTTGACAGTAATTAAGTGCAATGGTCGAGTGGTATTGGTAGACAGTAAGTGAACCACCTGAGTACTAATGCTTTTGAGTAAACATCCCAACCTAAAAAAGACAAATGGGCCATTGGCGTCGTACCTCCACATAACAGCACAAAGTTTAGCAAATCCAGTGTATGCTAGCTCGAAAGCACCTCTATGTTTCGAATTAAGCAGTACTTTGGTGAAGAATGCACCGATGTTATGTAACTGAAAACGAAAAAAACAGCCAGCTACGAGTTTGAATTATAAGAGCTAATTTACACTTTTTAAAGGTGTTTACGTGTAGATTAAATGTTTAACCTAAAGGGAAGGTTTCAAACTTTGTCAGTGGAAAATGAGTAAATGCAATCTAAATTCATGTCGCTCTTGACACTCCAAACATAAATGATGTTTCATTAAACAGTTGAAAGTTGTGGCCACTTCTATTATTTTATTTATTTAAAGTTATAGTACCTCCAGGTAATTATTACTCTCGTTAGTGGTCACAAATACTTTTAGTTCAACCTGGACAACTTTAATTTGTTGGGTGAACATTTATGATTTAAACTATTTGCTGACACTGAGGTATTTAAGCCTCAATTTCCGGACAATATGGATCAAGATACATTACATCATTCGGCCATAGCTGTGTTCTTATCAATTTATAACCACGCCAACAACTGACTGATTAAGGATGCAGTTTAAGGTGAAAACGTTTCTTTATTGTGCATCATATCACCATAAAATAAAGGACTTATCTTCTCAACAGTGTTTATAACGGGAAGGGAGAATTTGTACAGCACCATTACCTGTTTGGCAGTTAACAAACCATGTTTGCTGTTGCCAACTTGCAATGGAGCGTTCTCAGATAGCTCTCCTAACAACAGCGCCACCTCTTTCATAGTCCTCCAACAACACACTAGCAGCAGCTGAGAGGCAGGCGCCTTGATGACATCATCTAAAGTATCAGGGATCTCAAGCATGTCTTCTTCTGCTCCTACAATTTATAAAGGTGTCTGTTGTAAACAACACAATAAAACTCGGATATTCTTGGGCCTTGAACAATCAACTTACCTTGAATATCATCTGCCATACAGCCTTCAGGAGAATCACTAGTTATCACCGGAGCAACAATGTCTGCTGTGCAAAGACACTCAGTCACAAGAATCGACATTAGATTCTGCCAATGTTCATCATCAGCGACAGAGCTAAGGATTAAGAAACACACCATAAGAATTGCATGCTACGGTTATGACGATTATTGACGGGATTTAAGTATTCATTTTATCCATTTTCAAATCATTGATGATCCCTGCAGTCTGATTGACTCTCAAGAGTGTGATTTATTCACGAATCACACTATTTTTTTTATCTAAATCAAATCTGTTCTATATCGCGTCATTCATGTTCTAAATTACGTAATTTCTGTTGTAAATCGCACCATTTTCATGTTGCATCATTTTCTGTTTGGTGTACAAAATGAGATGTAAAAGCCTTTTTTTGTTTCTGCTCATCAACAAACCAGCTACTAGATCAAATAAATATTGGTACTGACGGAATTCTGCAATTTCAAAATGGTTGTAATAAAGTGGTAATTGAACTTCGTGTCGTGCCATTTTGGTCTGAAATCATACTTGTGATTTAAAAATCGAACTCGCTTAAATCGCGCATATGATTTCAGACAAAATTGCACTCCACTCAGTTCAGTTACCATTACAAATAGAACCATTAGACAAGGCCACCATTTAATACATAGGGAGTATAGCACGACGATTAGTATGTCAGGTGCCTACAATTGCGAGACGCGAGACTTTCTCTGCTCCACGTCTCCTCTAGTGGAGTGCTGATCGTCGATTATAAAAGATGATTGATCGAAAACGATGCGATGCGATGCGATAATAGTTTTGACTGTACCTGAGAGAAGTGTGGCTGATGATAGATCGCAGACAATACAGGACACCATGCATTGGGGCTTGGATACCAATCAAGGATAAATTCCTTGAAGCAGTTGAGGAATGCGCCTGGAGTAAATCAACTAAGTGACTTAAAACTCTGAAGGACTGAGTACAAGGTACATGATCAAACTTGAAGGAATTGCACAGTGGTTCACTTTCCTGATCGTCATTCGACGGTATAGCACCATTAGGCTTTTGAAATGTCAATGGCAAGCGGCATCGCTCCACAAACAATCTAAGAAACATGGCAGCACTTGACGAATCAACTGCTCGAGGGCTTGAAACTAATCTCTCAATCATGTTGAGCCAATGTAGACAGCTAGCCTCTTCCTATGCCACATAAGTTACAAAATTACAGAAGCTTTTAAATAAAACAAATTGTAGTGGAATCTTATGCACATAAAAGCCTAGTGTCATCCGCATTGAGGCACATTGAAAATTCACGGACACTTCATCATCAGCGGTACGGAAAAATAAAAAGTTACACCAATTAACAAAATCTTTAGCCTAAAGCAACAATGGCCGTTTTAAAACTAGAGGACGCATTACCCGTCTGGACGAACTTGGGCAAACATTTGTAGTTCATCTGGTTATGCGTCTAAAGTATAAAGACGGGCACAAGACGCATTATGCGTCTGGACCCCGGGGGGGGGCACTTGGGTATTTTTTGGGTGGGTATGTGCCGCCTGGGACTCCAAATTGGCACCCCGTTCTAGAAAAAATTTCCCCTAAAATTGATACCCCGTTTTAAAAATGGGCCAATTTTTTATACCCCGTTCTAGAATTCGCCCTAAAACTGATACCCCGTTCTAGAAATGGGCCAATTTTCTATACTCCGTTCCAGGGTGCAACAAAGAGTACAACGGTTTGCTTGTTAACGCATTGAACCGTATTTTTAAAAGCAATCTGTCCTCAGTGTGTCCTTGAATACTTTCAAATGGCTGCTTGCAAAAGTGGAGCTTTCGTGCGTTCGAAATATTATACCCCGTTCTAGAAAACGCCTCTGAAATGGATACCCCGTTTTAAATCAGGAGCTTCAAAATCACAACCCCTTTGGGCGGCACATACCTGTATAGGGAATGTATGGGAGTACCCCGGGGTCTGGACGAACATCCCTTCGAAATACGTCTTGGACGACGCACTACGAAAGGTAGTTCGTCTGGAAGCAGAATGCGTCTCGTACCCGTCTTTATACTTGAGACGAATAACCCAGACAAACTACAATTTTTGCTCAAGTTCGTCTAGACGGATAATGCGTCCTTAGAATAAAAACGGCCAATGCGATGGTCGTGGATGGCTATAATGGACAAAGACGCCGTCTTATCTTTTTTGGGCCAAGTCTTTTAAGTTCTTTCAAGTTCCGGTTTCCTTGTACCTGACATGAACTCAGATAGTAATTTATTCCACCTCAATATTTCTTTCAAAAATTCATTAATAATTCATACAGAAAAAAACAAAAGAAATAAATGTTTAATGAGTGTCTTTATGTCTGATAAAGGAAGATAAAGGCACGGCTTAACTTCATGTCCATTTTTTTAGACCAAAATAACCCTAAATCTAAATATTAGTGCAAGAATGAGTTGATCTATATCAGAGATTTTGAAGCCGTTCAAAAAACTCGCAGTCGTGTATTATCAGGTGTAAAAACTCTCGGCTTCGCATCTATCCATCCATCTTCAAAATCTGTCAAAATTGACGAATAGACAGATGGATAAGGTCAGGCGGATTTTTCATTTGAAATTAAAACCGCTCCATTTTCAAATTAAGACGTATTATTTGTCTGACATGAATTATCCAACCGATAATCCGTCTCTTGTGTGAATACGGCCATTGTTGCACATACGAGGCAGCTGTATCTGACGGATGCACATTAGTGTAAACACGGAGGTTACTTTACCTGGAATGGAAGTTGTTCAGAAGGTAGAGCCAACATAATGTCATATGCCATTGTCTTGTTAACATCATATGAATCACTCAAACAATCCAAAAGAATAAACACGTTATCTGTTGTTATGGCTTCACTGCAATTAAACCTGTCCACGTCAGGAATAGCAGCTGGAAAAGTAATTTTTATTGTTATTAAATTTCAGCCTAACCTGTTAAAGAGGTTCCTATTGACCATTTTCTTACTGTGTTAGAAGATGATTTAAGGCAGGGGACAATTTAATAAAACTTTTACAAGTGTGAGCTTCTCTCATCAGAGAATATCACTTTATCTGATGAAAAACAAAAGACCAATGGGCATTGATGAGAACGCACATACCACTGTTTGAATCAAAGCCAAAAACCTGCTTCATCAACATCAGATTGCACAGAGCTGTTGTACGACGGGTAATTGATGCACCAGGAAACAATGAGTCAAACTGAGACGAACAAAACCATCGCAGAAATTCCTGAAAGAAACAGATAAATTACTGGCACAACTATACCAAAACTAATTAAGTATAAAGTACTCAAGTATACCATAATTACGATATACAAGATTTTCCAACATCGAAATGAAATATCCATTCCACATCCTTTTTTGAATAACTTGACACCATTTAAAACGAGGGCTACCTCATTGGTTTGCAGGAAACAATGGAGAAAGGATCTAACACTACGTTCCTATTAACAACAGGAGATGCAGGTGAAAAAGGGACCAACTAGAAAAGCGATCACCCCCATCTTCTTTTAATTCGCGCAGACGTTGGAAACTTCGTTTTAATTATGCAATTTCGTTGGGTAATCAATAAACTTTATGGGTTATATGGAGAAGAAAAAGCCGTCAGGCCATCGGTCGGTACATAACGACAAAATCAGGCCTTTGGTGGATATGCGAAGACTGAAACATTGGTAGAAAACTTGAGTTTCTCACACCTACAAACCCAAAGTGTCTCAAAAGAGTTGAAATATGCACAGTTAATAATGACCTGTTTCGTTATTTTCTACTGAAACATGGATGTTAGAAAAAAAAAACAGATATGAAGTACTCTTGATGCTACAATAGAGATAAAAAATGATGACTTACCCTATAAAGAGTAAGTTGGTGTTGATAAAACGGAATGTCTGTATTCCTTTTGTCTTGTTTGAGATTTTTGATGGATATCCGAAGGCATTCCCTTAATCTTAATAAGAACTATAAAAAAACGCAAAATATTAGTAAAACCTTGGGTGGCGCGATAAGACAGTTATTAAATAATGTAGTACTAAAGGTATATAAAACAAGTTTTCCTTCGTATTTTCGCTCTTAAAAACATTGATGATTTTGTTACAAACAGTTATGTTGAATCCTGGGCCTCATCTTGAACAAATCCGTCGTAAATGGAAAACGTTTGAGCCTTGATATAACCAGACAGTTTTTAACACCAAAACTCGGCATTACAGTATTCTGGAATCAAAATACAGTCCTTCTTTTCTAACATTTTCAGATCAATCGCTCAATCTTTGCATCGCACATGACGCACGCCATGGACTATTTTGCATCTTGGGGGATTTTTGTGACGTCAGGGATGCAGGAATTATAGGTCACAGAAATGTTGGTTAAATTCTACTTAACTCAATTTGGAAGTAAAAGTGTATCTTTACAAAAATTAATATAACAACGAATACCACATTTCCAAGTACAAGCTAAAAATAGTTTTCTAAATTCAAAATCCTAATATCTGATATCTTGAACAGAGGCCGAAGAATCACCCGTATTAATAACAGGAGCATCTAAAAATTGTTATTAGCTAACAAGTGCCCTAAGTAAACCTACCGCACACCTGTGCTGCATTTCCCACACATTCTCAACAGGGAAGCCCTAAAATAAAAGTCAGTCGGAAAGGGCTTTTTTTACGCAATACCTTTTTAAAATGTGCTCCCGCTTGCTGTCGAAACGAGGGAGACTGATTATTCATATTTAAAGGCCAAAATAATTGTAACAGTTGTAAATCCACTTCGGTGACTGATTCGGTAGTTTTTGTAGAATCACAAAGTAACCCAAAGGCAGCGAGTCGAATCTGCAAATCATAGCAAAGTTACGTATTAAAAGAGAGGATAAAAGTTAACTTAACATTCGGAAGGAAATAACAAAGATGGTTCACCCGTGTTGTCTCATCTTTCACGACATTAGGTTGGAAAAAAAGAAATTAGCAGTATTTTAAGGTAAAAGTAAAGCTAGTTTTCACGTTGTTTGATATTAAGGAAAAAAAGGCCAATTTTGTTTTCAAAGAGGAAACTTTTTCCCGAAGGATCGCACACTAGATTTTCTGGGACAGAAGACAACTTCAACACACTGTGTTTCGTGTGAGCAACAGTTGCACGGAATCGTATACCGGTAATGCGGGATACAATTCAATCAAGCTGCCACAATGCTGTGTACACTATTCAGCCTTGACAGTCGTAGTTAGGATCTAAGGACCATGCAAGTGTATAAAAACCTGCAAATGATAATAACGGTTTGTCGGAGTCCCTATCGAGATTCCAGAACCCACTCGAGCGCTTAGAAGCCAATGCGCTTCTCGGGACACATTCAGGGGCAACTAAGCCATTGACTACGTTTAAGTGTGATACGCGTCCCGCACGTCTTTAGGACCCCCAATGTTCAGAGCGTGCTGTGTGGAGATGAATATTCTAAAACAATGAAGTTTACCTGATCATCCAAATGACACAGTGCTTTCTTCATCAGTTCCACAGGCACCACTCCACACCACATACACACATTTTCTCCAGTACTAAGAGTGTTCTTATTCAAGCTCATTAATCCTGCGGAACGAGCTGTCTTTAAACATGTAATTAATGTTCCAAGGTCTCTTGAGTTTGGTACTGTAACACCATCAATGCAAACCAAAAAAGAACAATTAAAACTTGCCAGGAAGGAGAATAGAACATTCCTACTCTTTTTCTTATCTACACAGGGCTGAGGTCACAAGGCTGTTTGGAGGGCGCTATCCTCTTTCTTCCACTTAAACAATTATGTTCAGATAAACACTGTTGACTATCTTGAGTTACAATCCAAGTAATCTACAGGCCCAAACAAGTTTCTATTTAGTCTGCTAACAGTCCCCCGGGTTCTGAAAGAGAAACACCTTAATAAACACCTTACGATTAATGCCACCTCACATCTTAGAATGATACTGTTACAGTACGGAGGGGATTTTCTCAGACAAAAATTCTGCTATGTCTAATTGATGTGAATGGTTCAGTGAGGCAAACACAAAACTAGCAAAAACAACGCTCACCATTGCTGCCTTGAAGATTCTTTATAAGATACTGAAGGCTTTTCGGACAACATTTAAGAAGCTTTGGAAGACAATACTGTAAAAACAACAAGGAGAAAAGGTTTGCATTAAATGGGAATTGGCATGGGATTTTTTGCAAGAAGTTTGTTATGGCTACAAACAGGTTAAGAAGCACATTTTACGTTTATAATTGGAATGGAAGCAAACAAGTATTGTTTTAGCGAGTTTCAGGGCGCTGCTTGCCCTCTCAGTCATTGATATGATCGCTATTTGCACCTTAAGAATCAGTAATTCGGAAACAGAACAATTATTTATCTGCAAAGTACAACGAAAGCAGAAAAAAACAAAACAGGCGACGTTACATTAAACCCTGTCAAACCGTTTACACCAGGCACAACCTAAACCTATCATAAGATACCTATTTATGACGTTAACTTTTTCCCCCGAAAATTTTTTGAGATTTCACCGCCAAAACGGTTAATGCTGTCCCTATTATACTACTAATGTAGTCAGCTGGAAATTCTTTGTTCATATTGTTGCAGTAACAGCTTGGGTTTCGCAAACTTAGGTTACAATAGCCCTTCAAATGAAACTTTGGTCAATCATTCTTTACGAAGGATGAGCTAATTGTAAAAATGAACAGAAGCAGTTTATTATATTATAATTAGTACAAACAAACAACATAATGCATCATGTCAGAAATGATTCAATGTCATTGCCTAACGTTCTCAGTATGCATTGGGCGATAGAAAGTGTGTAGCAAGCCGGTGTTCGGAAAAAATAACATTTAAGACAATTCCAGCTTCTTCAACAAATCCTTTTTGCAGTACTTCTGGGGAAGAATTATATAACCCAGTTAATGATGCTATCCCAGAGAAAAACTAAGATTGTCATAAACATGGTATTAAAGAGGTAAAAATTGAGTTGTTTGTTTGCGACAAACAACATTCTCGTGAATTCGAGTTGTGCAAACAAGATCTAAAACGTGCTAGAAATAAATCAACACTGCCTGGAAACAATAACAAGATCATATTCATTTAGTCGATTTATCAGTAAGGTATGTCTCATGCACTATCCTAAGTTAGTGTCCAATTTGGATGAAATGAAAAATAATTGCGATATTACCGCTAAAAACAAACGACGTTTTGGAGTCGTCAGTAGTATTGATCGTCTATCCAGCACTCAAAGTATGCCGCCGCCTGTCAATCAAAAAATCCAGGATGGCGGCCGGAGGCCGCCAGTCCTCAAAGGAAGTCGCCTGTCAATCATGTGACGTCACCATCCAATATGGCGGCCATCCAAGACTCAAAGATGGCGGATTCAAAATGGCGGACGATCTCAGTCGCTAAGGGGAGAACAGATACTAAGGGACTAGTAGAAGGTGACTTTATATAGGAGAACAACAAAACGTTTAAAAACGTTTTCTAAGGGTTCATCGAGTGTGTAGAATGTATACAAAGTATAATCATACCATAGTTATAATAAAACAATTTGTTTTCTTTTTATTGTAATATAAATGTTTAGAAATTCTCTCGCGTCACTTTATTGTACTGGAAGAAAGGAGAGCAGTCTCACTATGCCTGGGTGAAAAATCTCAACCGACTACTTTCCAGAAGCAAGTCTCATCAAAGTCAAACTTATTTCTGCGAACGCTGTTTCCAAGGATTTATCTCTCACTCGAGCTCACAAAGTCACTGACTAAGAAAAGCAAAGAAAGATGTTGAAATTACAGTCACTTAAAGTTTTAAACTAAAAGAAAATGTCTTAGACAGATCCTTTACTTCTTCTCAGTTTGCTTGAGGCAGGTTTAAACTCCGTTTAAAAGTCTCTTGCAATTCCAGTAAAGCATCAGGGTACATGTAATCATAAATGTTCCTTACACCCACAATAGCAGTTTGCGGGGACAAGGGTTGGTACAGCAATCTGTTCCTCGGTCATTTGATCACATGCGTAAAACACAAAATGCTCAGGGTTATACCAGAACCAACTATGTCGCTGCACATCGTAGACATACAAGACTTTCTTTAACAATTTGGCCATCTCCACCGCCCAGCCAGTGCCTCCAAAGCATAGGTTACTTTCAGGTTGAAAGGATGTAAACGCCAGCACCATGTCTGCTTGTTTCACCACATGATAGTTGCGATGAATATACTGTAAACTGATAGGATTTTCTAATTGCTTGTTCAGGCGAGCAGCGGCTTGCTTGGTAATAGGAATCGCTTCTCCCAGTTGTTGATGTGTTAATGGCTTAACAGTAGTGCTTCTCGGATGACAAGGAGGAATCAGTACTTCCACATTCAAACCATAATGTTTGCTAACTTTTCTGCTTCTAAATCAACGCCAAGCGCACCGCCTGAAATCACCGTCAAGGTTGTGGAGCGAAGCATCTTGATGTGTGTTCACTTGCAGAGTGCAGCGTTTGTTAAATAGAGAACCAATGACGTCATTGCCCGGACATGTTTAAATCCCACAGGCGATTTGGACATGAAATCGAGTGTGTGAAGTGTTTGACAGTTATGATTTACTACTCTCTGGCTACAAAAACCCCACCTTACAAGCTTGGTTTAAACAATGGAAAGAAGTGATTACCAGCGATCAAACCTTGCAAGCCATGGATAGTTATACCTGCGGGCATTATGCTCTTTTGTTTCTAAAAGCCAAAGCCAGGAATGTCTCTTTTCAAGATTTCTTAGCGCAATGGCATTCGCACAATTTAATGTTGAATGATAGACGAGTCGGTGAAAAGATTCAACATTTAATTAAAACAAAGCTCACAAGGAGCGACTTGAGTTGTCAACAATACAATGTAAGCCACAGCACCTTTTGCTATTTTTATCAATAAAAATGTGTGTCACTGGTAACTGTGTGGTTTATTTCAATCATGTTAACGCAGGGTGATGTTTAAAACGTACTGAAAGCTTTAGTGGAACAAGAATGGTGTTATTGGCAAGACAACTTTCACAAGTGGGTAACTCACTGTCTTGATCCAGCGGTCATGTGGGATGGGTATCATTGCCATTTTGTGCAATGTCTAGCGCAAGCGAGGAGGTGGGAGGACCTAAAACAACATATAGACACCATGGGGGAAACATATTTAAGGGAACAGATGCAAACGCTTATTCAGTCTGTTGCACGTGTACCCTGTAAAATGTCGCTTCGATTATTTTTAAAACTCAGCACTCGTCCCTTTGGCTATTTTATGTTAGATTTACATCCTGCTTCCGATGACCATTTTCGGATTTGGAGTCATTTAACCAAACGTGAAGGTAGACCTCTGCTACACATGTTTGACGAGGATATAAAAAGGCAGTCTATTCGTGCATCCTGTAGTTCAAAATGAAAAAGCACGACACGGTACCACCAGAAAGCGCAAACCCGCAGTGGGAAGACACAGCACAGGGGCATTGCACACTTCTTAGCCGAAGCCATTCCTGCTTTAGTGGTAGGAGGAAAAGACGCAGCTATGGGTGGATTAGGAGCAGCTGCGAATTATGGGACTATGAAAGCATTAAAATCCTTAGAGAAAAAGAAGTATAAAAGGACACGTCGACCTAAAGCAACATGACGGGGCGTATGACAAGACAAAGTCACTTTTTAAACGATGTCTTAAAGGAAGCCAACCAACAAAAATTACGCTATGCCAATGCAGATCAAATTAATGCTGTGAGTGAACTGGTCATGAATAAGTTGCGAGGGGCTATTTGTCCTGGCAGACATACCGTGACTCGATTAAAACCCTATAGTCAGCAGCTCCGCTTAATTGCGAATCCTCGTCAGAGTATAAAAAGGCGCAGGCAACTGATGAGTCAACAGATAGGAGCCGGTGCTTGGAAAGAATTAAACTGTGCCAAAACTCAATTCCACTACTAGACATGAAACGCGTGTTGCTACAACGATTGATGTGTCTGTTAAACCACTTTCTTCTCTTAGCTGAAATGATCAAGGAGTTTAGGCAGAAAATAAAAGAGAGGTGTCGACCCAAAAACCTATAAGTACCCCTTGTTTACAACCGAGAGGTCACATTAGAAAGATGGACGGGATATCCAGTACACCGGTCGAAAACTCTGTGCAATTCTTAAAGTTACGTGATCGATATAAATCAGATCTCTTAGAGGATAGTCATTTGACCAAAGCAGCAGGGTTAGCGGCTCAACAAGAACTATTCCTTGAAAGTCCAGCCCCTGATACTTGGAAAGAACTGCGTTTAAAATCCGTGAACCAACAATTATGACAATGGACGAAACAAATCTGTCAAACTGGAGGGACACATGCTGTAGGGCGTGATGATGATTCAGAAGAGGATGACGATGAACATAATTTAGCGGTAGGTCCTTTTTTAACAATTCATGGGAAATATCGCGAAAATTCAAAAAGGTATAAAAAGGAAGGCAGTGGCTGCTACTCCGCAAATACCCATTACACCAACTCTAAAACAGTCTCCAAGACTCCGGAAAGCAGATAAATACCCAAGTTTTCCTTTAAAACTGGGTCGAAAGGAACGCGTTTGTTACCCAAGACACCTAAAAAGAAAAAGTCTCCTTCGTCTGCCTACAAGACCCCTCAAAAGACAGCTGAAAAATCTTCACAAGAATTAGCCACAGAATTACCGTTTTCAGACCAGGTAGGCAAATCTCCTTGGAAAAGTGCAGGTGAATTAGCCAGAGACAGTCTCAGAGCCATAAGAAGACGTACACGCAAATTCCAGAGTGAGGAACGAAAAAAAGAAGGTTTAACAAAAACTGTGTTGAAAAAGGCCACCGGAAAAGCTTTGAAATAGTTAGCACCAGCCCCTGGTTGGAAACCCTTTGGCACCCCCGCCAAACGTAAACTCGATGGCCAAGACTGGTAAGAGGACACATACTAAAACTTGCCGCAGAAAGCGACGACAGAGAGAGGGAAAATTTGACTTTCAAAACGCCATTGAAAAAACTGGCATAGAGTTTCACATTCCGACTTACAGTTATGCTCGTCCTGGCAACATTTAGCCTAACGCTTAAAGCGCGGAGACAAGCCAAAGAATCGGTTAGACTTAATTGCCCAAAAACATGACATTGCGTATAGCAAGGCCAAAAATATGCAAGATAAGTGGAAAGCCGATGACAAGATGATCCAAGCTATTACCAAGTTACCTGGTAAGAAAACCATGACAGAACACATGGTGAAGAAAATTATGCAAGCAAAGAGAAAACTCAAATTGTAATGCCTTTTTTATTGAATAAAACATGCTTTTTCTTAAACTTCAGTGTCTTAATGTTTAGTAAAATGTAACTGAAGCACACATTGGCTATCCGATTGAAATTGAACTAGACTGCCATCCAATTCTTTGAGAGTGATTTCTACTTCATCCCAATGATTGTCTTGTACGTCCTGAAAGGTTTCTTGAATGGGAGTAAACGCATAGCGCTGTCTTCCTTGAGGAGCATAGTACACTTGACCCAAGGATTGCGTGACGGTCACGCGGTTGGCGGTCACTTTGGCTGTGACTTCCAGGGGTCTGGGGTGAAGGTTTAAGGCGTCTTCAAAACTTTGATTGAGGTTAATAAAACGCCAATTGGAGAGAGTACTTAAATGAAGCCAATTGCCTAGAATTTTGGTAGGTTTTCCCGTATCCAAGGAACTGACTCCTTTAGTGTGATTCGGGTAGCTATGCACCATATTGGGTCCCATGCTATCGGCTTGATTGGTCTGGGGGTTAAGACGAGTTAAGATGAGTTAAGACGAGTTCCGGTTGCACTCCGTCTTTGTTCCACGCTAAGGTATGTCAACGGGCTGAACTAAACTTAAAACCATCATCCAAAAGCAGCATGCGCTGTTTCTTCTATTCTGTGTTTCACTGTATTAAAAATATCCACCCCTTCATGACAGGCCCCTGCTTTCTCCCATTCACGTAAATCGTCTGCATTGACATAACCATTTTGCCACACATCAGATTGACCTGCTTTTTCAGTCGCGCTTGCATTCGGTTTTACCGCTGCGGGTAAGGTAGCCGTAATTCTTTGCGCCACCACTGACAAATTCCACAATAGGGTCCCCACCAATTTCGTCTCTGAATTGACCTAAATATCGGCCCAGAGGTAGCTTCTCTTGCCCTGGTTTCCAACGATAAATCACGCTGTCAGTGTCGTAATACAGCACGCGTTCTTTCAGGGTGTCCAAGGCACTGTACAGCTTCAATCTAGCATGCGAGGTCGTGAAGGCCGCGATAAACACATTGGCCTTAAAGCTGCTCTCACATTTTTCCTGTGCCATCGTCGTGACGAGCTCCATCACGTCTTCACTGCATATGCGTACAGCGGAAATCTCATAGACAGGATCGTCGAGAATGTTGAACAGCTGATGGGGAGAGGTGATGACATGAGTCTGTGGCTTGTTTTGATGCTCGCCAAATTTTCCCCATAGGCTGCAAGACAGAAAGACAAAATTATAAGTTTGTTTTTGTTTTCTCAGAGGTCCGCAGATTATAATTTTTTCCTTCGTTGCGGTAAAACACGACAAGTTACATTTCATAAGTGCAGACTTTTTACGCAAATTATAAGTTTGTTTTCGTTTTCTCAGTGGTCCACAGATTAACATTTTTTCCTTCGTTGCGGTAAAACACGCAAGTTACATTTCAAAAGTGCAGACTTTTTACGCAAATTATAAGTTTGTTTTCGTTTTCTCAGTGGTCCGCAGATTATAACTTTTTCTTCATTGCAGTAAAACTTGACAGACTTACCTGTTCAAAAGCATTTTCGCAATCACTTTCTGTCCTGGATTGTCTGCAACATTCTTCAGCTTAATTCCTTCATGTGCTTCATAGTCTGCTAGGTAAGCCTCTTGTTGCTCTGGTGTCACACAGTCTGCTGGCCATCCCGCGCTTTCTTGCTTGAGTTTCAACCAAGTGTTGACATACTCTTTAAACAGTCCAACCCGTCAGTTCTCTGGAGTAAAGTGCCACACCTCATGGATCTTGAGTATCTGGTAGCCTTTCTCTACCGCTTTCTGCAATTCAGGCGTACACCACGTACCACAGAGAGCTCTTTCTTGGGCGTTGTGACCACACGTTACTTCTTTCCAGCCACGGCTTTTGCTGCTCTTCTTTGACACAGCCACTGCACAGCGGGAACGTTTATTTTCCCCCTTCTCGGACTGGTAAAACCGGGTGGAACAGTCGTTCGGGTGCAAGGACATCAATGAGTACAACTCCAAAATAGCTGTGGATATCCTGGTTGGAGGCATTCAGGTGCGCCTCGGGAAAGCCAACGGGATACTTGCAGTGCTTATTTACCCATGGGTAAAGGGACGTGAAATCTTGATAGAGAATTTCTTTATCAGGTTCTGCTTTAGCGTACAATGTAGTCGCACCTGTGCGTCCTCCAAAGAAGCCATCTCGTGGCTGTAAGGGTGGTATGGCTTCATGGTTGTTCAGGAAGGATTTCAGCTCAGCATTCGTTTTCTTGTCTTCTTTGTATTCACACCCCCACTTTTCAATCACCGTGTAGCCTACCGCTCTCAACATCAGGGTTTTTCGCTGCATTGCCTCATAGACCTCATCGACTGTTTGATCTGGATGAGCATTCCTCTCAACATCGCACTGCTGGGAAAACACTGCTTGCATCCGTGATAGAGACAACCCTGATACTCATACACCGTCCGAGTTTCAGCATTAAACCCATCCACAAAATAATCCTGCGCAGGTGTCGGGACTTTCACTTCACCATTCAAAGAATTTCTCTTATGCCGAATGCGCCCCATCCCTCCGAGCTTCGAATTTTCGAACTCCAACCATTCAATGGCTTCGTTACTGGAAGTCAAAGATAGCAGCACTTTCCACTTTCTCTCTATGCCAGGTGAGAAAGGCTTTGCATTTCTTCTCATGCATACGATCAGGATTATACGCATCAGCAGTTGGTTACGGGCCACAGTAGCTGTAATACTTACTGAGTGGATACTGAGTGGATCCATTAGTAGGGAAAGTACCCCTTGTGCAACTATAGCAGCTTGTCTTTGAACACAATCGTTCCTCTAGGCCCTTCCAATACAATCACTTGATACTCGGCTCCAAGGAACTTTTGAAATTTCTTTAACTCGTCCCATCTGCACGGACCTTCCGCAACACCTACTTCGTGATGTAATTTTCCAGCCTTGCACACCACGACCTTGCATGATATTTTGATACTCAGGGTCCTTATCCACTCTGGCTTTGAGGGTCACTATTGCACGAGCACAACACAGTTCATCCCTGTTCTTGATCTGAATAATGCAACCTCTTTTCTTCAGCAACTTTTCATACGACATCCACCCAGGATTACCCTTCTTCCCACCATTCTTTCCACCACATCCAGAACTAAACGTCATCTCTACATAAAATTCACCCTTGGTGGCATCCAAATCCTCAGCTGAATTCAGCTGTTTCGCCAGTTTCTCCAACCATTATCGAGACCTCTGGTTATTATCAAGCCAATCTGTTAGTGGAATGTTGGGACTTCGAGTCCACACATGATTACCACTGCTGTGATGAACCGCAAATTGCATCGAATAATCAGCAGGCACATAACCCCGTTCACGTACCACATCATGGTAACCTTGTCTAAACGCCTCAGCAATGGCCTCCCCCAACAAATCGTCCTCGGGCACTCTCAATTGCCGAAGTCTCAACCGCATTCGTTCCTGCTCTACCGTTCCATCACCACACAGTCGTGGAGCCCCAACCCTCTCTACATCGACATCAAATAACAGGTTTCCTCCTTGTTGTTCCGACCTACACGCCCCGATTAAACACACCTCTTCTTGGCTACTTGTCATGAGCTCATTGCCCTGGCTAGCGGACCACTCAGTCATATCATCTAAAATAAATTTACCCCGAAAATTATAAGTTTGTTCTTGTTTTCTCAGGGGTCCGCATATTATAATTTTTCCTTCGTTGCAGTAAAACACTGCAAGTTACATTTCTTAAATGCAGACTTTTTATGCAACATTCCCATACATTTGTTTGTAAATGCAAGTCAAACCGCTCCATCGTAAAAGATTCCATTATAGTTCACTTACCGTTACTTCAAATAGTTTGTTCGAATAACGCTTCATCTATAGAGTCATTCATCAAGTCATTTCCATCCATTGACGACCAAGGACTTTCTTCCATAGAGCCCGAAGACTCCATTGCGGACAAACAGTAAAGACTGAATGAATCTCAAACGCTAATATGCTATACTAAGACACGTTGAACCTGGTTGAAACCGCTTCAAACCGGTTCACCACGTGTACAGCATGACTCAATATAGGTTTAGATCAAGGTCAGTGCAGGTCATCACGTGCGCAGATAAAATCGTACGTGCTTGGGTTAAGGTTGTTCAAGGTTGCCTGACCTTGTTTTTGCTGACTCAGCAGAATTTGCATGTGTTTTCTAGTGAACGTTATTAGCATACGAAACCACTGACTAGAACAATTAATTTTAGTCTGAGTGTTCATTCGATTACTAAACTAATTTCCCACCCGTCTGAGTGTTCATTTGACAACACAGCTCATAAAATTATTTCCCAGGACACAATAAATATAACACGCAACGTTTCTTTATTAATAAACCTTTTCGTCTGCTTTTTCAAAAACCTAATTTACAAAGTAGGACATGTGAGAATCGTTATTCGATCTTGCCTAACCAGTCAAACATATCAAACAATTCCACATACACTTCTCTACATTGTTCTCTCGCTTGCAGTCGATATCTTGGTGTGGCATGCAAAAAGCAAAAATAACCTGAATTGTGATAATGGTCAATGAGTTCAGTTGAGCCAAACCCAAACAGTGCGCGCATAAAAATTCATTGTAATAGGTATTGACCCACTTTACAAAGTTACAGATTGGTCTTTGCTGTAATTGAGCCAAACAAGATCTGAAACATAAACAATAAAAAATCCAATCATCAGCTATCCAAAATTTAAGATCGACATAGCGGGTAAACGCATTTCCATGACCACGCCAAAAATATAATAAGTCTTCAATCCAACGTATCTCAAATCCTGGAACTTTTCCGATTTCTTTTGTCACACCAAGACAGCATCTACAATAAAAAATCATAGAATTCATGATCACGAAACAGAAACGGCATGTCTTCTCTTAAATGTGCGTATGTACGTTCAAAACGATCAAGTACTTCCTCAATGTTTTCAATAAACGGTTGTTGTAATAAACATAAATCAATCATTACATGAGGTAAACCAATTCACGTCCTACAGGTACACTGTTCCTCAGAATATATCCATTTTGTGAACCCACAGATAGGTAAAGATCGAATATCTTGCAGACATTTTCTAAAATTGAAAGGAAATTTTACGTAACACACTTTTACCCGCAAACAAATGAAAAATTCGCTGTCTTTCAAGTTCAAAATCTACTTCGAGATATCTCTCTAACCACGACTGTCCCTCAACGGTAACCCCTTCCACCGTGAGTCTCATGCAATGGCTACATACAGCATGTTCGTTAAATGTAACCCACAAAGCAGAATGGCACACCTTGCGAATTTTAATCGCTCGTAAGGTTTTTCTATAACAAAGTAAAAATAAAAACAAGTGGGTCTAAGTTTTTAACTAAAACTGTAAATGACAGCGGGATCGGCTAAAATATAATTGCCTCATCTTCGCTTCCTCTTGATTCTTATCAACAAACCGTCGCTTCATTTTTAACCTAATTCCGTCGAGAGTCAAATTTGTACGAATTCTTGGACACTGAAGACAGGAATACTTTTCATACTGAACATGCACCCATTTGGTTTTTCGGCAATATGATAATTCTTTTAGCTGCTTGATTTGGTTTACAACATTTCTAAACGCAAGAAAAGATATGTCTAAGACTAACATTCAACAAGCGTGTCTAAAAACACGTTTACAACAACATAAGATAAACTTTGGTCTTAACACTCAACCACTCTATATCTTTGATCCAAAACAGCTTGTCCAATACTTGTCCAAAAACGAAACATTGCTTGGGTAAATGTTTTGGTCAGAATGCCATGCTTGAATAAAACGAAATTCTTCACAAACATACCTGAAATGGACGCGATGTTGTTCACGAAACTAGTTTCGTTGTTCTTCGTAATTGCGAGCTTCAAGCTTCTGAGCAAGCGGGTGCCACGGAACTAAGAAGGTTCTTCCCATCAGTGCGGGATTGGGAACGGTTTGTAGCGCAAGGTCTTGTAGAGTCTTCATTGTAAAATCGGCTGGCTAGAAAGTGCTTCTGCTTCGTTCGAAGGTTGTCGAATGACTGGTGAAAAAGCACGTGTAAAGTCTTACCTTAAACATGACGCAATAAGCGGTGATTGGTGCGGTTCGAGGTAGGACTAATCTAATTGCAAATTAGCCGCTTTTCGCTCCCTCATTGCCGACTTCCAATTAACTTCTTCGCTCCCTCATTGTCGGCTTCAAATTAATTACTTCGCTACCTTTTGACTTTGATGAAACATGTTCGCAGGTTTCATGTTTTGCGAAAGCACGGTTTTTAAAATGTTGAAAAAATTTTTTCATTTTCAACGATGGCTACCCCATTTGAAACAGAGGATACGATCCTCACTCAAGAGCAAGCTGATCATATTAACGAGAGACATGTTTGCATTACCGAACATCCGCGAGCGTCAAAATTTTGGTTGACATTTAACTTATTGTCAACTTTGTCTGATTTATCGCAGCGAACCTGGGAAGAAGAAGATGAAGATGTCCAACTGTTAGAGTCAGGTTGGAAAGAAGGTCACCGAAATTATTACCTGTACGTGTTTGCTGTCCACGAGATTGGTAGGGACCCTCACGGTTTTAGTCGAAGTTGTGTATGTTATTGAATATCATACACTTCTTTGACTTTTTTTAATTTCCCTTCTTTCGGCACGTCGAATTTACATCCGCTTTGTCTTTTTCTAGTGAACATCATTAGCATACAAAACCATTGACTGGAACGGTGAGCATATAAAAGTTGAACGCTTCTAACGCACTTTATTTTATTGTACAGATACAAACTGAATATGTCTCAAGTTCTTTACACCGCTAAAGGAAAAGCTTTCAACCACTGATGATGCCTGAAGAGTCTACCACTAATTGTTGACAATGTCCAAGTCGATTCTGGGGCAAAGTATTTCCAGTGACAAAAGCAATGATAATCAGGTTATACCTGGATTCTGACATAGAGATTGGACAAATTCTACAAGACGGTGTGGTTCCACCCTTGGTTCCAATGACAGTCGTCAAAGCCAAAGATACACATTGGTTCCAAACACCATCCAGAGTTATATTACAAAAGGTTCGAACAATGACAGTCAAAGGGGTCGTGATTTTGAAGCTCCTGAAATCCATTTCAGAGGCGTTTTCTAGAACGGGGGTATATATTTCGAACATTCAAACCGAAGGACAGATTGTTTTTTACGGTTCAATGCGTTAACAACAAACACTTGTTATAGAACGTACAAATTGGCCCACATCCAGAGTTTTATCTAGAACGGGGTATAAAAAGAGCCTTCTAGAATGGGGTCGAGGGGACATTTTTCTAGAACGGGGTGGTTTGATGCATCCAAAAAATACCTAAGTGCCCCCCACCCCCGGGATGCCTGCTGCTGCCGATTTTGCACTCAGAAATAGTTCTTTGAAGAACTTACACAAACCAAACGGCTCTTTTAGGAGCCACCACCTGAATAAAAGTCATGACCATTATTACTGTTTAGTCGAGGATTCTTCCTTGATCATTTTTTAATTTTATTTTTCCCTTCTTCTTTTGCCGCAAACGTGTTTAGCGCAAAGCGTTGACATAGTAGTGTCACAATTTATTTAAATTCGAAGCTAACTGGTTCAAATCCTCTCGTTTCTCTTTCAGGTAAAAGTTTTTATTTTCTTTTTAATATCATGGCACGGTAGCGAAGTGAATATCACGTCGGTCTCATAAACCGAAGGTTCGAGGATCAAAACCTCGCTATGCCTTCTTCTTAACATGACAATGACTCTATGGCCGAATGGATAAGGTGCCTGACTACGAATCAGGAGATTTCAGGTTCAACTCTTGATAGAGTCGATTCTTTTTTTTTTCTTTTCTTCGTCCACCATTTTGAACCCACCATCTTGGATGGTGACGTAACATGATTGACAAGTGACTTCCTTTGAGGACTGCCTGCCTTCCGCCGCCATCTTGGATTCTTTGATTGACAGGTGGTGGCATCCTTTGAGTGCTGGATAGACGATCAATACTACCGTCGTCATCACACCTTTTATCAGGCTCAAAATAATTAGCGTAAATTGTGAGATTATGAAATAGTTCGCTGAAGATTTACATAATAATTCTGGAATATTTCATAATCTCACAGTCATTCTAATCATTTTGAATTTGATGACTAAGTCAAGACGATTCTGAAACGTCGCTCGTTTTTAGCGTAAATTTTTTCTTGCTAATGTATTAGTAAACCTCTGGGCCGGGTTGTTCAAAGCTGGGTTAAGATATCCCAGGGTTAATGTGCAATTTGAATTCAGTTTAATTATGTTTGTCTACACACTAATGATCACATACTCTAAAAAGAATTGACAAAAATTATCTGAGAAATGCGTTTGAAAAAAAAAAAAAGAAACCCAGATGAAAATTGAATCCCGAGTTTGCGTTGATCAACCTTCGAACAACTGGGCCATGCTTATAATTACTGATAATTAGCTGACCTGAGCTAGGTGTTCTCTCATCAGTTTACAGCCATGATGAACATGGTAAAGCAGTGGAGCCATCCAAGTCTACCCAAAGCACGAGAAACAAGGCAATATTAAAACAAAACATTGTTCACAGAAGTAGAAAAAAAATTAAATAACACGATGACAAACCTTTTCCCATGCTTCAATATCTTCCCCAGCGTCTTTTAGCTCCTGTTTGTGGCAATTTGCCATTTTCTCCACCAAGTCCATCACCTAAAATGTGCATCAATCAAACAGAATAACCTATAATTTTTGGTAATTACAATCTTTATTTTCAATGGAAAATACCATCAAGAATAATCCCAATTTATCCTCAGGTACATGTAAATCAAGGAGGGTTCTTGAAGGTGCAGGTACCAGACTTGACTATGATCCCCCCCATGTAGTCTCCAATACCAAATTTCAAATGCTCCTTGTTCAGCAATGTAGCTTTTTAATAAAAACAACAACAGCTAACTTACAAAGTCTCTCACGAGAAAGATGCAACCAACCCTCCTCTACTCTTGGTCTTTAGGTTAAAACAGATTTTGTTGTTTCAAAGGGTCCAACATCAATAGTTGGTGCAATTCCACTTCAGGGAATTTACCTAATATTCTATTTCTCATCAAGATGTTAGGACCTTAGTGAAATTACCATAAACAAGACTGATTACTTCAAAAGAAAAACGGTGGGGTGCAAGACGACTGACTGACTGTAATGTATATGTTGCCACAGTTTTTTCTCCTGGACTTGGTGTCTAGCGCATGATCTTATACGATCTGATAGAATTCCTTTCACGGGTGCAGGTAAAGTGACAGTCACACCTCACAAAGAACTTGATCATGCATAAACTATAGTAAACAGTTTTGGCTTACATGTGGTACAAGGCATCTATCTCTCATCAAAGGATAAATTTCCTGAGGAACTGTTGGAAACCAAAGCAGTATCTTTTTAGCTCCCACAACTGACGCTATGCAGCACAATCCAGCATACTTTCCCCTCACATGCCAGCCAACTTTGAGAAGAGACTCGGTCAGATCCTTCAAAAATGCTTCTTTATGGGAATCTAGAAGATGTGGACACAGTTTACACTTTACGGTGTTTCACAATTTTGTCAGTAAGTATTCTTATAAGTTTGCTGGGTGTTACACTGATAAGAGATTACCAAAATACATCAGTTTCCCCTAAAGCGATTAATCAGTGGGCACAAAAGTAGAGATGTGTGTTGAGGTCATTTTCTTAGCATCTAGACTTAAAGGTAATGAGAGAGGTTGTCAAGCCAAAGCTACATGTGCAGTCCATAGTTTTGCTCTACACAATACTGCAAATGGAATGCACACAACTAGCCCCAAACCAGCAAAGTCTTAATAACAATACGTATGTTTAGTTATACATTATTAACACTTCTACAAACCATTTTGGGAAACTATTAAGTGGAGGTTGACAACATGCTCACAAATGACTTTGGTTTGGTATCGTACTCCCTGTAAATAGTAATACGCATAAATTGAGTAACTCACAGCTTACTCAGACAAGTACATCAATGAAGTAATGTTCGAAAGACAAAAATTGTTGTGTAATGGGAAACGCAAAGTAGCATGGGGAAAGAGTTGTACTAATGGAAAAGCAGAAACCTGTGGACAAATATAAACTATGAAAATACCAATATCTGATAAATGAACATAAACGGATAAATACTGGTGGAAATAGCAAAGAAGACCGTTTGGCTTCGTACGGCAAGTAACAATCACAATCACCTCTATGGGATGGTCCCAGTGACTCCACACATAGCTTAGAAGTTTGGTTGGAATAGGTGAGGATCCATTCAATTTATCTTTCAACCAACAACTATCATAACGGCCAGTTGAAGCAATTTGCCTGAAAGGAAACAGAACAAGCTGTACACAATTCGGCAAACATATTTGTTTGCTGTGCAAGGCAATAACAAAATCAAAAATTCCTCTTATCAACAGCAATGGAAAAAAAACTAGCAACAGTGAATTCCAAATTTTTGACGGCAAATGTCCTTCTCGTTCACAGAATCTCCTTGGCTTCAAGGGACATGGCCAAGAAAACAAAGTGACCTTGACCTTGGAAACAGTGGCCTAGGTGAAAATAAAGCGATTCCATTATTGAAGATCCTCAAACAAAGGACAAGAGAGGTACTTAGTGAACGTGGTGACCTCAAATGGTCCCTCACTGAGTGTGAAACCACAGACAAGGCGGATAGGCAATGACATGCAAGGCAAGGAAAAAATTAACCGTCCCTCCCAAGGCTTTGAGGCACTGCCCTATTTGCAGGGGCTTACAGAAGAGATTGAAGAAAACATTTGCAAAACACTGAGTTTAGGTCCAAGCTACACCATTTGCAATGCCTCAATAAACGGAATAAGACCCAAAGACCCTTTGGATCCAAGTGAAAAATACGCTGTGGTCTATAAAGTGGCCTGCAAGCAATGTGACCAAGCATATCTAGCAGAAACGGAACGATCGTTAAGGAAAAGGGTTGAACAGGGCCGTAGCAAAGTATTTTTCTAACGGGGGGGGCTTATCGACAGTGCCAAAGACAGGAAGCTTGTAGGGGGGTCTGGGGGTATCCTGCCCCAGAAAATTTTCAAATTTGGAGGTTCCAAAACGTTATTTTCAATTAAGCACTTGCCATGACATATGTCTCCGAAAATCGACCTAAAAGCAAGCGGGTGCTCTTCTAAGAAGAACACCAGATTGCTTTGTGGCATATATCTTCTGCAATCAGGCTGTGTGAAAACAAGGACCACATTGGACACCGCCCAGTAATTTATGAAGAGCCCAATAAGATTCAAGGAAAGAAGAAACAAGAATGAATTTATAGACAGTTAATCAACGCTGGTTTGAACTGTATTGAGGGATGGGGCATCCTTGACACGCTTTTCCCCTAATCAGACGGGAGGCAAGAATGATGACACGTAGCCTTGTCTTCACCTTGGCTCCAGTTCCCAAGGTCGAGATCACTTTGCGATCACTGAGGTGATCCTGTGAACAAGACGGGCAGTTGCTGACAAAAAATTTGGGATTACGGTCAAACCCGTTTTACAGAGACTTGCTTAATGTGGACACTTCGTGAACAGTTTTCCTTGTCCCTGGAGAAAGCCCTCCCATTTCCTCTGAATCCAACCCACTTAATACGGACACCATTAATGCAAACAACAGACACTTGTTTCTTGACCAATCAACAGATTCTCACAGAAAGTCAACCTCACTAATGCAGACTGTTGTAGTAGTAGTAGTATTTATTTATTTCTCCATAGATTAAACAAGTTTAGAGAAACGAATAATTAAGAAATAACTTAAATATTTAAGAGCAAAAGGGCAAAAATGGTAAAACTAATACATTAAGTGGATACAACGAAAAAATGCTAATAGAGAAAAACAAACAAGATAACATACAATAAGCAAATAAGATATAACTGGTCAGAACATAAGCACACACATACACACACGTGAAAGCAATCTATACATGAAGTATGAATGGATAGAGCAACCAAGTCAATCTAGCATTTATTTGGTATTGGGATAAGTAATGACAGTAGAGGGAATTCTTAAATAGTGCCGTGATAAGCCTTTCCTTTTAGAACGTGAAAAAAACTTTGGGTGAGAACATGTCGATATTTCCAACGCTACAGTACACCAGAAAGGATGAGTTGTAGACGTCAATTTCAGACCATTCTGGCATCAAACGAGTTATGCAGGTAACGGTTATTGATTGAGTAACAAAAAAATGGGTGGCTTTGAAGTGCTTCCACAGACAAAGTCCGCAGAATGACAGCTTTTATGACAGTTATATTGGTTCAATTGGACAATGCTAATGTCCCGATTTATTTATTATTTGCCCCCACAGTGTCCGCATCAACAGGGTGTGGCTGTAACTATTATGCTGAGCTATTACGCTCCATTATAATGAAACATAAAACTGCACTTTTTGCAATTTTTCCCACACGACTGTTGAATAAGGAGGAAGTTGATAATGTTGTAGAACTGGAGCTGCTGAAAGTATTGTATTTGTAACCAGGCGTTCTTAAAAGTTGGTACACTGATCGGTAGGTTTTATAAGACCCAAAGGTTCCAAGAAATGATGCAGTATTATTCCAACACAATGCTCTATTCTTTCCGTACTATTATTCTCAAAATTATGCCTGCACAATGTGGAACCCTACAGAAGTGACGTGATCTGTTGTGTTCCCATTCTATGGGTGTGGTGAGTGATGTGGGCAGCATATGTGTTCACGTGCGGAAATGCCCAGATTTGATCCATCACATTGAACTAGGAAACTTAACGTCTAAAAAGTGAAACCTTAACAGAACATTTGTTCTTAAACAGCTACAGTGCTGCTGTTTGTTTTTTTTTTTTAAATCTTACCTTAACATTTCTTGACCCTAGTGAACATTGCGAAAAATAGCTACAGACTAGAACTTGGCTTTTTTACTAGCAACATCATTGTCACGTCACTTAAACTATCATAGAATATCCATTTTCTATATAAATTTACCAATCCGAGATACCCAGGCATACCTTGCTTGACTTGCCCATAACGTCAGAGTGCGAAAGGCGAAAAGACATGAACTTGAATCCTTCAGGCTTAAAGAGTAGAAAATATTGTCAAAGTACAATCAACTTATGACTAACTAATAAGATATAATAATTATGGCGAATTGCCAGGGTACCGCAAGGCATGCACAATCATAAGTTCATTTGTCTTACAAAATACTGACCTGAGGATTCATGCAACACAGTAGGTTCTTGCTTGTATTGAAAAAATCACATAATAAGGTATCTTTGTCCTAAATGCAACATACTTTATCCCGATAATGGAATAATGTGACACGATGTGGTGCCAAGTTAAAATCTGAAACTAGTCATTGTAATAACAATGGTTTCACGGGTAGCCAATAGGTGAGCTACATTAATTTATGCTGCCGCAGACCTACCGATCACAAAGACAACACAAATCTGGAAACAATGCATCAAACATCAACGTGCCATTTGTTAGTTTGCCATTTACAATTATCTGTTGAGATAAAACAGTAACAACCATTTCAAGGAAAAACATTTAACAGTGCTTTTTATGCCCTCTTTCTCTCTAATACGGAAACAAGAAAATGTTCAGAAGGCATATAACTAAAGTACATCAATGAACTAAATAGTCATGTTTCTTCACTGGCAGACGAGGAAACTTATGACCGAGCAGACGCATTAATGCTACGTTCTTCGGCATTTGTGCAAAAACCCATTCAACAGAAATGAAGCCTAGGAAAGCCCAAAGAAAACGGATCAAAACATGGGGATGAGCAGCAAGGTAAAGTAAGGAAAGAAGGCAAGGGGAGTTTCAGAATGTAACAAAAGATTGGGATAAAATGTTTAAGCAACTTCAGACAGCTCTTTTCGGCAGAAAGGTTAAGGGAAATGAGTTAATGTATTATATTTCACTGCTTTCAAGTAGCTTAAAGAATCCATATGGTTTTAATGCTAAAATTGTTCTCTAAAATACGGATGCCAGGCTAATGTGGAGACAAAATATCTCTGGATACTTCATTAATTTTAACTCAAATAAGTCTTCAAGGGAACCTTCAGGTCCTTACTGTTTGTGTAATTTGCTTGAGGCCAGTGCATTATGTTAAGTGATATTCAATGGTTATACCTCTGTTGATTGAATCAAAGCCTGTGGTGATACCATCGTCAACACTCCATTGCAAAGACACAAATGAGAAAAGCTCACTTCGTCTGTAACAAAATGCAAGGATATAAAATAACCATTAATAAAACTTTTTGTCTTTGCTTACCAAAGCTACGGAACTGACGGGAACATATGGGGGACTTTCCACACAACTGTTTGGTGGAGATGGTATTTGAATTTGGGAATGACGGTTTAAGTGACTTATTAAGACTGTCAGTCTGAGAGCAAAGGGCTCCATCAAAACCAGTGATTGGCACAATTTGCATTCATTAATATGGGTCAGGTTAAGTGGTGAATTAGTTACAAAATAGAAAGTAGACAGGAAAATTTCCATAGAGCATTTACATGCCAAGTCATTTAAAGACATTAAGGTATCAATTTAAATTTTATGTAACATTCAACATGGTTTTTGACACGCTAGTCTTAGTTTCAGTCTAGTTAGTTTCAGCTTCAAACGGTGCAGTTCAATGTTAAAAAACAGTCAAAGATGATAAGGGTGGATTTACTAGCATTTGCAGCAGTTTGCATTTTACCTCATATTCTGTTTCATATAAAATGCATTGCCAAAACCCCAGAAACTACCCGTTTGAGATGCCCATTGTACTCTGACTTTGGTAACATGCACCATCATGGTGAGATGAGCAGCATTGAGTGGAGCAGCTTTCATCCCCTTGCTGTAGCATTAATATTTATGCTGGATGAAGTGAATATTGTCGTTATAACTTTTTTATTTCAGGTGCTTTTTTTTTTCTTTTGTTTTTGGGTATCGTAATGCTAATGAGGTTGAAACAAAAGAAAATAAAATTTACCTGAGATAAAAAAATAACTACAAACATAACCCAAGTCATATTTGTTTGTAGCCTCCCACCAAGCTCCCCTAAAAACGCCTGCGTGGGAGGCTAATTTGTTTGTATTGCATTTGGGTCATGGATTTAGGGTAAAATATTAGTCAACAGGCTATCAATTAATCACATTCAGTGACAGGATAATCAGTGACTTGCAGCAGTCGCAAGATGTCACGTTTTCAAATTCTCTGACAGCAGACAAATGGCAAGCCATTTGTACAAACTTGACAAGTTCTCTCATCAACAAGATCCCGCAAAATAACCATGTGCATGCACTGGCTTTTTCTTTGTAGTGAGGCTTCTATGAGACTTTGGTCTAAATGGCAGAGTTTTTGAGTCAAGACATCATAACGGCCTTTATAGAAATATTGCTAATAAGCTTTTCCTCCGGTCCTACAGAAGCTGGGTTAAGCTGATTGTCATGTGGGTGTGTGCTCCTTCATTTTATCTTTACGTTAAATAGATTGTCTGAGCCGTTTGAAGGTGGCTGTCATCTTTTAGTCGGTCATCACATCAGTTGAGGAGTTTTTTAATCATAAAGGCTAAGCTTGAAAAACACGATGTCTTAGGTTAAGTTCATTACGTTGGTACGAGTAAAAAAGGCTTGGGACTTAAAGGAGGTAAACTAATTAAGAAGTCAAGCGACAATTCTTGGATGGAAGAGTTGTTAAATTCAAAAGGTGTCTAATGGCTACACAGACAAGTGCACACTAAGAATTGTTTCATTGCTCCAACGGTAAACTACTACACTGAGCAAGCTAGATGAAGGGCCATCACTATTCTGTGCAGTGTCTTCAGTAGTGCAACTTGCCGGTAAAGCTGACTCCTTTCTACTGAGGCAGGCAATTAAAGGTTGTGGGAAGAATAGACAGAAGTAGACGGAGAGCTGTTCGGCTGGTTGAACAGATTGAAGAAAGAGAGAAATGGATATCGGTAGGTGGTGCAAAACTCAAGGAGAAGCCGTAATTATATGGTTTACAATAGTAATGAACTCTCACTGGGAGCCCCCACTTCCAAACGCCCCAAGGTTGGGATGAGTTATGGGAAGAGGCGAGCCCTACGGCCGCCACTTCCCGAGAGCTTAGGGCAAAATATCAACTCCAAGCTACCACAATAAACCAAAAACACGCAACTCTCCCCAAAACTCAAAAGACATATAACAGTCCCCCAAGACACCAGCAAGCGGTAAAAAACCCAAGTTTTCCTTTAAAACGGGGTCCAAGGGAAAGCGTTTATTGCCCAAGACACCGCGAAAAACGTCCAGTGTTAAAAAGTCGACTCCTCCTGTAACGGCTACCACGCGTTATTCCCGAATATTGATTCGTTATTGATTTAATTTGTATTGTATTGCGTTAAACCGCAAGATGACGTTATTCATTGTCCATTAGGGACGTGATTACTTAAGTTCCGCTCAAACCGCATTTTTGTTAGTTGGCTTGTTTGGGCAAACGATAAGTCGTGTTCGTCATTAGTACAGTCAGTCCAGTTTATCTTTGAAGTTGTTTGGTCAAGCTCTTACAAGCGAGACTGTTATGTAAGTGATTAAGTTTCCTTTTTACACCTAACCTTTTCGATAAGACTCCTTTAGCTTACACCAGTTTTTTCATCGCATGTTTTCCTCAGCCATGTTACCACGTGGCATAGGTTGGCTGATGTTACTTTTAAAAATGTTACTCACCTTTCACTTGGTTATTAGTACGTTTTAGAGTTTGTTTTTCAGAATCTTTTGAGTAGTTTGTCTCTTCTGCTTTTATATAGTTTCATTATTTGTTTGTATTTCGACCTTATGGTTCTACGGATCTTTATAGTACATCGAACTGTTTTCGCTTTGTTATTAGATGTATCTTTTTATAATCTCGAATTTTGTACTTCGATTATTTTCTTAAGTCTTGATTCACTCACCTTCTTCGGCTTAGACTTAGTGTAATTTGCAACTTTGCAATGGAATGATTGGAATGTAGTTTGTATGTTAGAAATTAGCTTAGCCTTTTTTTTGTATTTCATGTTTCAGTTTACGATAAGGACTTGGATCCTATGATCACCTTGAATAAACGATTCAAGACTCCTGTCCGTAAAATATTTCCTCGCTTTATAGTGTGTCGTCGCTTGCGAACTCAAGGTCGTTGTCGTAAATTGCTTCGCTTGTGTCGGCCGCTACACCTCCATTCAAGACACACAAAAAAAAAACCTCGGAAGAATTAGCGAGTGAACGTCCTTTTTCAGGCGCTTACGGGGTTGAACTCCAGCGTCTTCAGAAATTCTTGAATTTGTGGGTCCGTTTTCTTATCATTCTCAAACTCGCACTCCCACTTCCCTACAATGGTATAGCCGGCCCATCGAAGCATTTTTGATTTGCGTAAGGTGGCTTCATACACTTCTTGGATGGTACGGTCCAGATGACAATTTCTTCGAACAGAACGGTTCGTCTTGAAACAATTCTTGCACCCGTGATAATAGCACCCAAAAAATTCATACACTGTGTTTGTCCTTTCATCGAATCTGTCCACAAAATATTCTTTCGCCAGCGTCAACACCTTAACCTCACCCCCGTTGCGAACGTGTCTCACTCGACTAACACCTCCTAATTTCCAATCTTCAAAATAAAGCCATTCTAGCACCACCTTACTCTGGTTTACTCTGTTTCCACGCCATCCATTCTGCGGCTTAATTGCAGTCAAATCTTCTTCGAGTTTTTCACGCCTACAAAATAAATTACAGGCGCTGGCGATTGTGACCGATTCGATCAGGAGATTAAACCCGGCTATCTCCTCAAATTCTTCAATAAACTTCAGGCAGCCTTCTTTCAGCAATTGAACGTCACTCTCACAGTACCGCACCACCTCTTCATGGAAGTCACACACGGCATTTTCTCTGATTTTTTCTGTGTGCCAGGCGAGGAATTTTTCTCTCTTCTTTTCCGGCATATCATCAGGGCTGTTCTGGTCTGCTGATGAGTACACTCCCCGGTAACTGAAATTTTCCACTCGACTAAACACGAGCGGGAAAAAACCTTGCAGATTAAATGTCTCTGGAAATTTATCCAGGCCCATATTGAAAAAGTTCATAGACTTTAAACACCAAGTTTCCGGTTTCAAAAGACATAATCTTGGCCTCCTGCGTCAGCGGTTTTTCCACAGCACGCCCCTGATTGTACAACTTTTCAAGAATAAAATTTCCGTCAAACCCCCTCATGTGGTGAAAGAATGATACCACTTTCCTTTCTCTCTCATCGCCCTCAACCCCCGTCAGTTCTTCCAAAGCTGCCAAAAAATCTTCAATCTCGTCGGAGTGATGAATTTCGTCCTCTTCGGCGCTAGACCAGCAGACCAGATTTGCAAGAAACACCCGGTCTTCATCTTGATAACATTCAATATCGGCAAAGACTGGAATCGGTGGAGGCAGGGGGGCCTTCTTGTCTTCCTCGTCTGAGTCATCATCAAGAGGCGCTTCAAAATCTGGGTGTGCATTTCCGGTTTTGTTCTGTTTGGCCACGGGCTGAATAAAGCATCGATGGTCCACATGTTTCAATTCTCCACAACTGGGACAAGTGGTGTGGAAACAGACATGCGGTTTCTTTGACCACTACAAACCAGACACTTTCTAAATCTTTTACACAGACTTATATACCCCTTTGTTGCCTTTTTGCCGGTGTGCCGCAAAACAGTCCGACCCATAAAATTTAATGTGACAGCGATCACATTCCAACTCAGGCGTCAACCATGCGGGATAGTTCGGGCAACCGGGTTCAGTACCTTTTCGCGTTCTGCAGCAGGCAGGACAGTTCTGCCCCATGCAATTACGATGAGCTGCGTATTCTGAGTTGTATGCACTGTCGCAGAGCCGACAAAAGTAGGAACGGTAAATCAATGCAGGGACACTGGTCAACCCATCATAATGCTTCTGATGTTTTACCAACTGTATTACTTGCGGTGCCTAGGATCTTTAAACAAGATAATGCATCTGGATGCCTCAACAACGATCAGCTGGTAGTCCTGTGGTCCCAGGAACGCTTGAAACTTTTGCAACTCTTCACACCCACATGCACCCTCAACCACCCCTGCCTGTCGATGCAACTACACTGCTAAAATTCCTTACTGTGGACGACCCTGTCTTAAATTGCTCCACTGATTTTTTGGCTCCTGACAGTGAGACCATTCTCTCATCGTGATGATCGCGCGGGCGCAGCAGAGGTCATCCTCTTGATTTTTTATGGGAATCACACATCGTTTCTTCTTGGCTATTTTTTCCCACACGATTCGACCTGGATTACCTTTCTTGCCACCGCCTTTACCACTGCGACCAACCCTTCTAACAAATGTCAGTTCTACAAAAAACCCATCCTGCTCTACATTCATCGCCTACCCTGAATTCAATTTTTTCGCCAAATGATCCGTCCATGCTCTAGCCATTCAGCTAGGGAAATATTTTTGCGGGATTGATGCCATAGCTCCCGAAACGAATTTGAATGGACCGCTATGAGCAGGTTATAATCAGCAACCTCAATGGCTTCATTCACCACCACCTGCCTTAAACCCTGCATGACTGCCTCCGTCAGCACCTCACCGAGTACTTCGCCCTCCGCATCTTGCAGTTGCTCAAACGTTAAATGATAATTTTGCTGCATGACAAACACAGACGTAAATGAAATCTCCACACAGAGTACTGAGACTAATGCAGGTCATAAACACGCGAAAATGGAAAGTAAATTGGTCACACAGACCCCGACAGGACAAATTTGGCACACGACGAAAGACATCCGTCACAAAGACCCGTAGCAAAGGCACTAGTGTTAAACTAGAACTACAAAATAGAAAAACGGTGGGTATGTCACACAGGCGAAGAACTTAATCCGCCATTATAAAATTATGACATGCGCAGCCAGTCACACAGATGTAAGCAAAACCGAAATTGAACAAACTACAGACCTGAGAGCGAAAACTGTCACAGAGACGCGTAGAACAAACTAACGTTCGGACTCGAAATAAATAAAAAATACCAACGCGACCCAGAAACGAGCTGGGAAACTAACGAACACAAAATGTAGAAAACTACCCTAGGACCACCTCTATTCATAAGTGGCTCAATTTTGTGAAAAGGAAATAGACTCTGACGCTTTATTGGAGTGTGCTAATACTAAACAAGAATTGTTCCCACTTTTGCTTAGATGACCAAGCTTTTGCTTCACCTTGCATGGGACAACAAGAACAGACACTCACAGATAGTGTCAAGGAGCATTTATAAAAATGGAATGGCATACTACTAATAAGCTTTGGTCCATCCAAAACACAGCAAGCCATTTGTTTTAAATACTGATCAAGTTAGAGGTGTTAACTTGATACTGGTATGACTCAACACTGAGAGAATGTCAGACTGATAATGAAAGTCATAGCCAACTTAAAGGGAAAGAAAACACTTCACATACGTTCTCCTGAAAGTTGTACTAATAACAGTTTCAAATAAAGCATCCATTGCTACTAATTCTATTCATGTCGTCCACGATGACACGTATTGAAACTGCAATGGGTGATCATTACGCATTTATATGATTCCAGCTGATGCTTTTTTACCACAAAAATACCTTCACAAATATAATTACGGCTATTTAATGAACAGTGTCACACAGGCTAGTGTGTGATTACGAGAGTATGATTTGTTGTTCCTGGTATTCTTTAACTATATATGGGACAAATCACTTGTCCTTGTTTTTCAACCTTGTACTGCTTATGGGTATAGAATGGAAGCAACTTTTAATACAATGCCAGAACAAATTATATGTATTTTGTTTAGTCATTTGCACAGTCAAGTGTGGTTGGTTTAGTACAAAGTGAGCGAGCATTCCTACCTTGAGAACATTGAAATGCAGGCATCTTTTTCAGGTTGCCCAAGATTGAAAAACGTATTTCTCCATGTGGAACACGTGAAGGGAAAATTAACTGCCCAACCTAAAAAGGAAATCAAATTAACACGTCTCAAACCTGCTGAATATTATCTTCTTCTTTTTTCTTTATTTAGTTATAAGAATGTTATCAATGTAAAGAAAGTCTAGCTTGCCAATGAATTTCGTTTCTTTATCAAGTTGTTATATCTAGGAGAAACCATTTTGCTAAGGAATAACAAACACTTAACCAAACCCGGCTAGGATTTATACATGTAATAATTTGTTGTAAGCTTGATAGATAGGGTCTTCTATGTACATTATTATAGGGTTTGCCTTTCTATTAAGCTAATTGTTGTATAATGTTGTGTAGTTTTCAGTAATTGTAACTAATTAAAGTGAATAATAATTATATAACTTACTGTGGCCACAAAGTTCTCCGCAGAACACAGTATGTTAAGAACAACAAGGATCGCCATTCCTGCTGTGCTTCGACAATCCATAAAAAACAATTCTTCAAGAAAAAAGGGTAATAAAAATAATAATTATTGTTAATAATATTTATATCTAATGTCATGTCTATATATCAACTTCAAACTTGATAAGTCAACGTGCTCCTGCTTATTCAGTAAAAATTGATTTAACCATGACGTTTTTTGAGCAATTGCAGACTGAATTAAGATTCACTTGTTACTAATACTAGTGGTGGAAATCCTAAAAAACGAGATCAATAATTTTTTTTTCTCTTTTTAAAATTGCAACTGATCATGATAATACCATTACATACCGTCACACATCAACGAAGAAAGATCAAGCAACAAGTCCATCAAGAGATCTGTCAAGGGCTTCACAGCTTTAGAACCAGCTACATTATTGCAGGCTTTTTTATCAGCAATAGTCTGGTTTTTGAAAGATGAAAAAGTCAGCTGGTCAAACACATGAGGCAGACTATCTTCAGCCCTTAGTTTCTGCAGATAAGAGATTGTTGTCTTGATTGTAGCCAAACAGTCCAACATACAAGTTGTCTGGAGCGTGGGAGTTAACTCAGCCCTGAAATAAAGATATTGAGAATGTCAACGATACTTAGTCAGTTTCAGCCGTTGAATGTCCACTGTTGGACGAAGGCCTTCCCCACTGGACCACGTTTTGGTCAAGAAGAAGTAATTGTATATGACATAATCACCTTACAGTTACCCTACAGCACACCGTTGACCCAAAATAGATTTCCTCTTGACCTTAGGTACACAAACCCTTTAAGACGACATCAGTTACTAATGAAGCTGGCTGGCTGGCTTTGCAATTGCAAGATAAAGGTCAGTGGTACAAGAGAATGCAGGAATCTTAATAACTTCCAAGGACCTGTGAGCAGACTGATCCTTAATGCACATGTAACAAGTCATTCATGGTACCTAATCTGCCAGGAAAAACTAACACAAGGATGACAAGATGAGCTTACTAACCTTGCAGCTTTCCACTGCTTGTTCAAACACATACCAAGAAATGCAACCACTAAAATAAAGATTGAAAAATGGAACAATTGCAGGATAAGTCTAGAACAACTGATTGAACATTAATAGATTGCAAAGCTTTCTTTTTAGGTGAAAAGCCTCTGGCTGATTGGTTATTAACAATGTGCTAGAATTGACAGACCTGCAGAAAGTGGAAGATTAAATTGACACTGGAAGAATGAGTTGGTTCACAAGAGACCTAAATTTTTAAATGTCAATAGCACCAGAGGAAATGAAGAAAGAAAGCTCAAGCGTTGTTGTAATAGTTCTTTCTTTGGCCACAGCAATCTTTTCTTCAGTTTCGGACTGAAGTTATTGTTTTCATTTAACAGGGCAACCAGTAGCTGCAAATCGTCAAAGCATTTCAGCCACTACAGCTGTAGTTAATGATCATCAAGTTGCGTCAATAGCCTGCACATGATTATTATTTGCAGTCTGACTTTTCTATTCATTGGTGCATTTTGATCGTCGTTACAAATGAATGGTGGGACTTATTCCTCATTATTCATGCTCAAAATTGGTCCCTCACTAGTCCTATGTAGTCTCTGAGGAATAGAAGCATTTATCTAATGTTGTTAATGACTGTTTTTTCTTGTTTGGCTTGGCTTCTTGCTAATAAAAACTTTTTCCCAAATTCAAGGCAGCCTTTAGACAATTTTACTCAAAAACCATTGTTCCTTGTAGACTTAAAATGATCCAGTCTTCCAAAAGACAAGTTAAAAGGGGAGCAAACATTATCTTGAAGGTAGTGAAGGTAGTCAAAGACGAGTTGACTGCTTTTGCATTTAATTGTGTTTTCTACTGATGGAAGTTTCAGACTATTGTTCCCAATGATTCTTAAACTTCGTTGTTCAGTATTCTTTAATTGAACAACGTATATTGACTGGTACTCACCATGGTGCTCTAGTTAAAAGAGGCCCTGCCAGGGGGGGGGATCCCACGAAAATTCTCTGTCTCTGTCGGAATTTAAGAAAGGGGGATAGCTGCGCGTTACAAAGAAACCATTACAGTTCAGCACTAATATTTTGTGTATCTAACACCTATAAATTGCCATTAATTTACAATAAAAAACACAATTTACAGGAGGGTCCACTGAAGCTCACTGACAAGAGATGTTCTCTCAAGTGCAAGGAAAATTTACAAAAATTACTTCTTCTTGGCATTCAGACCAGTGATAAATTAGCCAAACCACCGTTCTTTGTAGCTTATTCTCGGCTTTGCCATCACAGTCACGATTTGGCTGAGGGAGATGGTCTCTTGGCGTGATTTCATTTGTCGCTACTTTTTGGGTCATGGCAGTTGTCAGAATTAACCCTGGCAGGGCCTCTTAAAAGAGGCCACCAAAATAAGACTTATTTGCCCTAACAACACCAACAGGGAAACTGGAATTGAGATAAAAACCAACCACATCAGACCACAGAGGAAACAATTTACAGCATGATTAAATAATGAGGATCAGAGTCCACCAACCAATAGCAAGGACTGAAATATACCAATCACCAACAGCCATGGAGTGCTAGTTAAAATCAACAACAATAACTGATGATGACCACTTGAAGTCAGTTGGTCAAAATGGTGTGATCGATACCAGAAAGAAAATCATGAGACATATATAAACTTAAAGATGGTAGCTATCACTGTCCAACCATGATGAATAACTGTACATCTTATAAAGTTGCTTTTCATTACCAAAGTGTCCATTGCAACGAAGCACATCAGTCCCTAGGAAATTATCAAAAAAAAGCAAGCAACCAATTAGGTATGTTAAAAAGTCATTTAAAGATTAAGCACTAAAACAATGACAATGACAAAATAGTATTCATTAACATTCACACTAGTAATGGTAATTATAACTAGATCTAACTAGAACAAAATCCCATTTATAACAGCTTTTCCAGTAAAGGTTTCCAAATGAAGTACAATTTTTATAACAACATACACATAACATACTTAGAATGTACTTAGATCATTGACCATGCTATTAACACCTGGTTGAGACAAGTTTTGCAGACCAGCAATTGCACCTAGTGTGGTGTGGCACATGGTGGTTTTTTCCTTGGTCCTGCTGTACTGCCAGCCCTAAAGGTGATCATCCATAACAAAACTGACATTCAACCATCTGGCCCTGACATCTGACATCTGCTCCATACCATCCTGCCAGCAATGGTCTAGCTGTGTGCAGAGTTTCAAATCAGGCATGAAAAGTGAAACGTAAGTAAAACCTCCGAACATTAACCTGGCAACGTTCTTGCTAGCTTACAGAAATACCCCCCATTCAACCACTGCAGAAGCGTCATCTCAGCTATTTTTGGGAAGACGATTACGCACTCAACTGGACTTGCTGAAACCAGAGATCTCCGCTTGAAGATAAACAACTGTCAAATAGACCAAACTGTCACACAGGGTGGTGCTGTAACCAGAGAATACTCCATCGGTCAGACAGCAATAGCATGAAATTACACTCGTAGTACAAAGTGGGTACCTGGCATCATCTGAACACAACCTGGCCCCCTTTCTTATGAAGTAGAGGTCAAACCTGGCTTAGTGTGGCACCACCATACAGACCAGCTGAGGGATACCAGAATTCCAGTGACACCAAGCAGCAACCTTGTTACCCTGACCTCAGAATTTCCAATCCAGGTTGAGAGTCGTGAGGACCCAGTGTCTGAAGCCAGTGAGCAGCCAGCAGCCAGCAACTTGGAGACTGATGTTCTGCCACCAAGTGCAGTGGCTGACCTTGCAGCCAGCAGTCCACCAAATTTGAGTGAGCCTGTTCCTGAACCTGTTCCTGGTGGACGATATCTGGTCCGAGTTCGGAAGCCCCCAGCTAGACTGGATTTGTGAACTTTGAAGTGACATTAAGACTGTGCTTATTTCAATAGGCGTGTTGTGTTTGACTTAACGTTTCAGATCCTTATTAGTTACCATATTGCATGCACTAGCTAGTGGGGAGGAGTTGTGGTGTTTTTGACCAGCGGCAAATACACTTTGAGCATGAGTACTTATGCACCATTCTGAAACGTGTCTGTTCGAATAAAAAAAAAAAGACATTTCCAATTATCGACAACCTGCTTGCTACCAGCCCTGGAAATCCTGCAGCATATGCAATGACCGAAAGACAGAGTTAAGACATTGTACTGAGCATGGAGGTTTTCTTCATTTTGTGACGATCCTGACATTCAATCTATTTCCTCCACAACTGGAAAAAACATCTCCCAGTGTGTTCCATCATGACAAGTTTTGCAGACCAGCAATTGCACCTAGTGTAGTGTGGCACATAGTGGTTTTTTCATTGGTCCCACTGTACTGCCTGCCCTAAAGGTGATCATCCATGACAAAACTGACATTCAACCAGCTGGCCTTGCGAGTTGAAGCTTGTTTGCAATTATCGACAACCCGCTTGCTACCAGCCCTGGAAATCCTCCACCAAAAGCAATGATCGAAAGACAGACTTAAGACACTGCACTGTGCATGGAGGTTTTCCTTATTTTGTGACGATCCTGACATTCAATCTATTTCCTCCACCACTGGAAAAACATCTCCCAGTATGTTACATCATGAATGCACTCCTGGGGAGAATGCAGCAGCCATTTATGACTCACTGGCTACATGGTGGCAAATGTCCAGCTGTACAATTTTTGTGCAGTAGAAGTAGCTGCTTGAAGTCATCTTCAGGATTTGGCAGGTCTCCCAAAAGCTACCTGCAACACTTGATCCAACATTGCTGACCTTGGAATAGGAGGAGATGCATTGCCCCATCAGGATCATACTACTTTGCACACTGCTGTGCCATGGACACTTACAAGCAGATATCAGGACACTATAACCACAGCACTTACTCCCTGTGAAGAGAGAGTGATTCCTGAGGCAAACCATGCTGTATCTCAACAAAACGATTTTGTCTACTCTTCCTTTTCAGGTTTTGGGTGTTGAGTTGTTATTATAACTGTTTCCTTGGTCAAGGGGTTTTGATGACCAAGTTTGACATAGAGGTGCACGCATATCAGAATCTCCCTGTCCAGCTGGTGATCATTCTATGTCGGCACAAGGTGCAAGGCTTAGCCAGGTACAGATGCTCAACAGTAGGAATGGCTGTGGTACCCTTGATATGCTCCTGTCTAGTTTACTCTTGTTGTTACTAACAGCTTTTCACTTCATGGTTCAGACAGATCTTGGCTACTGCTGGTGTTCAGGGTTACCTTGTTAGCTACAGTTTCTGCATCAGAACAGCCACAGTGCCAAAATGGCAGTGGATAAGCCTTGATTTGTTGGACAAGCAACACCTATCAACCTTATATATACATCCACATACCAGATGTGGAATTAGCTAACTTATATCTTCCCAGCTTTCAAATGGGCCTTTGAAAATTGATAGCCATACCCAGCAAATCCAAATAACATCAGTGAGTTTGCAGTGACTGGCCTGATAGGATGGCAGAACTGCTTTGCAAGTATGGACATTTCTTTGATTTTCAGTAAGAGTGTGACCCATTGGGGCTTGGAGTGTAAGCTGTATACCAGCTTCCAGAGGAAGGAGTTTCTTAGGGTTGTGGTTTTCATGGTTAGTTTCAATTCAGTGCAATGCTGCTTCTGCACTCTGAGATCCACCATTTAAAAGGCACCTGCCACCAAGTTCATTTATTTATTTACTTACACTGTAGTCATTCACATTATGTAACATTAAAGGATACTGAACTAGTGCTAAATATTCTTTCTACTTATACAAAAATGAGGTCTTAGAGAGGCTAGTCAATTTCATAATGGTGGACCTGAATACTACTTAAAAAAGAGGTTATGAAAGCTTAACTAAATGTACAAATACACAAAATTAAAGTAGCAACAGAAAAAGAAAAAGAATTAATGCTGCATATGCACTATATCAAGGACTTTAAGTTGGCTAAATAAAAGCGCGGTATTTGCTAGATAGTGAGCTTTTGCCATGCATGAGCCTCACTATGCGCTTTCACAGGAAAAAATAATGGATTCCCATTTTTGGATATTTTAGGGTATTTAATTCAAAGAATACCCACAAAAATCCCAAATTTGGAAGAGTGAGACAAGTCCCAATCTGGGAACTTAGTTGGGAATTCCCTGGTTGGGACTTGTCTCACTTTGCCAAATTTGGGATTTTTGTGGGTATTCACGGACAGCAGACTGGGTATAAAACAAGGACTAGGTATAAAATGTGGACTCCGGAATGAGTATAAAACATGGACTAGGTACAAAACGCGTACTACGGACTTTGTATACAAAAACATCTTTAGAAAGGTAACACTGAGTGAATGGAAAGCGGACAAGCATAAAACAGTCAGCTCCTTGGCTTAGACACAGTCCTTTAGCTAATCATGTAGTCTATTTTCCCCAGCGTCAGTGTCAGGTAGAGAAGGAGAGCATACTACACAGGCAAGGAAGATTTTACCGCCACTAATTATAAAAAGGAAGAGTTCGAAGAGAACTCAGTTTATAGCTTTAAAAAAATAAGAAACACCGAATATAAAAATAGTATTGGTGTTAGTGAGAGTAAATTTCTTACAGATGCAACTATTCCATTTCAAATAAAGCCTTGGGGATATGATGAAATGAAGAACTCAGACGAGAAGGTCAGTGTAGGAGCATTCTGCATTTTAAAAAAGCTGCATTTAGGGGGGGGGAAATTGCTCACCTATATGCAATTAATAACTGAATTAGATCATCTAAAATTACAATGTATATTCTAAGCTAGGGACATAGCCAGCTTTTGGACTAGTTGTAGGCCTGCCTGGCTCAGTGATCTTGGTGAAAATTTCACACATGACTAGTCAGCGCTGACCTCACCAAAACTTACAACTCTTAATCTTTTTAGTTCACCCCAACTACGCATAGAGTGATGAAACCAAAAATTTAAAGGCCCGGGCCGGCTACGCCCCTACAAGCGATGATATAATGACATGGTTTACACTCCTTTCATTGAATATTAGACACCCAAAAATGGGTGTCGATAATACCATTTTGGTCAGGCGTCAGGCTCAGAAGGACACCTGATCACAGGTTAAGGATTTGGAGAACCAGGTGGTACACCTCCACCAAGAATTTCTAGGAGTTTTTATAACTTAAACTCACGAGTCTTGCTAATTAGCGATCTTTTGATCTTATTTTTCCTCACCATAGTGTAGAACCAATTAGCACAGTGTTTACCAACATAGTCCATAGTCCGCATTTTATACCTAGTCCGTGTTTTATACCCGGTCCCTATTTTATACCCAGTACACAGTCCGTAGTCTGCAGTCTGCAGTCCTTGTTTTATACTGATGACCGATTGATTATTACATTATTTTGTTTTTGAGATTTGTAAATGCTAGTTCTATCAAGAAGACCTTAAGCCAAGTCATTATTTGCAAACCTCATAGGGTGTTACAGTACTTCACTGAGGATCCAGAAAATGGGGTTGTGTGCTACTTTGCAAACAATATATATACAGCTGTTTATGTCTGTAATGAAGGCTATAACATTTGTTAGAGCTGTCAGAGAAAAACGTATCATTCTAAAATTAATCATTTAGTGAGCAATACATGAGTATTGGTAAAAGGTATTAGTAAAAGGCCTCACACAGTCATAGTAAAAGTGGATCAGCCCTGAAACACTGAAAAGACATTAATTTTAATAATGGGCTTTTTAAAAATATGTAAATTATTGAAGAGGTGGTGAGACAATTAGGCAAGCAAAATAACTTCCTTTATAAACTAACTACATGTACTTACCAAGTGTAAATAACTCCAAGATATCAACTATCATGTCTATGTCACTCCTGGCAAATACTTCCTTTCCCTATAGTTTGTGAATTAATGCAAAGTACACTTTTCATTTTATGCAATATTTCAGACAGCCTCGGCAGGCAAAACATCTTAGTATATACACACTCAGTGATCTTGGTGATTTACGCAATCTGATTGGTTTGCTATCTCGGACTATTCAACAATATTCACCTCCCAGCGAGTGGATAATGTGTGAGCTCGGTTTTTTTCCCATTTTCTTAGAGAAAGATCTTTTAAAAGTCGACAAAATCCTAGGGCTGACTTTTTTTCTGACAAAAAAAGGCTTCGAAGGATTCAAAATGTCGTTTTTCCATTTACTGTTGTTGAGTTTTGTGGTCCATGGATTGTTTTCAACTCCCGTTTATTCGCCTAGAAGAGGCCATTTGGTGAACTCAGCATTTCCTAACATGAAAAATCTGGCCCAAAAACGAAGTTTATTTATGACAAACAAATTTGAAAGCAAATGTTTGCAGAAATTCTACATTTCAAGTAAACACGAGAAAGAATGCTACATGAAGACGACGTCTTACCTCAAGGAACCGAATCGCCATTTTTGTCAGCACTTCATGAGAAGAACGACACAACAAACCTTTTCGGCTATAAACTTGGCGAGTCAAAAGAAAACAACAAAACTCTTCTTTTCTTCTCAGGTAAGGAAACAATTCAAACTTTTAGCGGTTCCGTTTAAGTCATTACGCTGTTGTTTGCGAAGTGATAAGCTTGTGAATTGCTATGTTTGAAAATTATACAAAGATCTATTTTTAAACTGTCGCGTGTCTAGCTGACCTGATCTGTCAATCAAATCGTACTTTTTAATGGTTTCCTCTCTGATTTTGTTGAGATCACTTCGTGTGTATATACTAAAACAATTATTCTTTTCAATCTCGGTGAATAGTGGCTTTAGCAATATTTACCTCGCCACTTCGTGGCTCGGTAAATATTTTGCCACTATTCCCCTCGATTTCAAAGAATAATTGTCAATATTGTAACTACATCATTACAGTACAGCCCAAAAATAATGCATGTAAGAATTAAGTGATGCAAGCAGTTCTTCTTCCGCAAGAATGCGCAAGTCACCACAGGAGGTAGAAATGCTTTTTTTTGCAGTTTACATGCAAGAACATTATTTGAAATGCAAGAAGTTAAAAATCTAAATGCAAGACAGTGAAGCTGCTGTGAATAAGCTACGAAAATTACTACAGGCCTCAAGAAGGCACAAGAAGTTGTTAAGTGTCCACCTGCAAGAATTACTTGTGGTGTTTGTATACATGTGTTGGTTTATAGTTTTGCTGGTTGGTCTGGTTTTTTTAAGGGTTGAATTTATCCAGCTGTGTGATAAAGCTTTGCAAACAGCAAAAGGTACATGTAATCAAGTAATTGCTTTCCCAAGCAAATGGCTTCGATTCCCTGCTTTATAATTATCTGCAGTACACTGTAAGCAAATGTATTTCTATTATTTAGCATGTCAACAAGGATATACAGCTTTCACGAACTCAAACCTCAGCCAAAAAGTAATGCCAATAGGACCAGGTGTTAATTATCTGCTTTGGCAGGAGTTTAAGTTTAATGACCAGTAGCTTGATCCTCGCTGGTTACTCTTTGGGTAAAAGTGTTGAGTACAAGTGATTTTACTAGCCTTTAGGCTAATCCATCAAAGTTAACACTTATCATTTCTTATTATCATCCATTTAAAAGTGTTATACCCACCACTTCCATCATTTCCATTGTGCTGCTCAACTTTTTGAAAACAACAGAACATAAGACATCAAATGAATACTTGACCCTTGGAGAGCTGTTAAAGATGCTATAAGGAAAAAAAATAGATACACTGTACTGCTTAGGCTAGCGCAAATGTGGTTTGGGTAGGTTCTGATTGACTGACTAAAAAATCCTAATGTAATTGCAGGTACCTCCCTAACAGCATTGTCCTGTTGTTTCCAGTGAGTTGGTCATGCTTCATGTTGTGTGATACATGTATCCAATAACATGGATAAAAATATTTCTCTTTTATGATGGGCTAAGAGAAATACAATTTTTACCTAAGATACATGCATGTACCTTTGTACATGACGTAACATTACATTGTTTGAGTGCATTGCTTTTTCAGGAATCATGATAAGCTTAATTTCACAATCTTTTCGTCAGTATTATTAATACATGTAGTAATCATTTTATTTTGTGCCTGCTCTCTAGTGTTTGGGGTAAAGAAGCACTTGTAAATTGTTTTAAAGGCCACAAAATATTGAGTCATAAACTTTACATGTGCATATTTATTCCAAACGCCCTTGAAACCATGTGATAACATACATTTGGTATGCTGCCAATGTCATTTGGTCATTGCTAATCATTACAAGAAAGAATTGAAAATAACTCGATCATCTGGTATAGCATTTCTCACTGTAACCTTTGCGGTACAAAAATACCTTGCCACAATTCTCCTTGAGGGATTTTTCACATTGCAGGCCACAAAAACTTCAGCTAGAAAAGCTAGAAATTTGCGGTAGTCTTCATGAGGTATTCCTTGCTTGTTGTGGTCTGTAAACTGAAGAAGGATCCCTGCAGCCTAGCAACAAAACAACAAAGAAATGATGATCTTTAACTGTCACTAATGTGGCACATTACCAGCTGGGCATTTTAGCAGGCCCAGCTGGTAATTAAAACAACAAAAAAAAAAAAAATAAATAGATGGTACATTCTATTACATACAGTATTGCACATGTTAATTGTGGTTCGAATTGAACCTTGGTTTAAACTTTTATCCTTCGACCTTGTATTGTTCTACATAAGCATGGTAATGTACTGTATGAGCTTAAAACAATGGATAATTGAATTTAAACCTAGGATACAATTGAGCCACTAAATAAAGCAAACATTATACAAAGCACTCTCTCTTATCCAGTCCCTGACACAACTTAATTCAATGTCCATTGGCTGTTGGTAACTGTAAAATTAATGGATAGGCTGGTGGCTGTTACATGTACATAATGGTAGGTGTTTTGTGGAAATGAATGAACAGATATAAGGTAGGTGCACAGTAGGAGTTAGCTTCTAAGCAATGGGAATTAACATGAAACAAAAACAAAATGAAAGGAAAGTGAAACAGGGAACAGGGACAGGAAGAGAAAAAGCCATTCACGGACTGACTGACGTTAAAATCTTATTCTGCCCAGTTTTTTCACCCTGAAAGCTGACCTTTATCTGACTGTTTATGGAATTTACTTTCAATCAAGGTGAGAGGTGACAGACGAGTGGAATAAGACAACCCCTCGACTGCAGGTACACCAAAAATAAATCTGGAATAACTAAAACAACCTTTTGTTAAAAAAAAATACCCCAGGCATTCTCTCATCCTTTCTCCCAATCCCCAGTTGTTTTCCTGCAATGCTTTCTTAGCCCCATTCCAAACTAGCTGAATGCCTTGAACAAGCTATGTTGGAAAAGGTTTGGCTGTACGTATATACATTAAAGAAACACCTTTTTCAGAAGGGCACATTGTTTGACACTGTCATCCTCTTCTAAAACTTGGCAAAACAATTCTGGAACCTCAGCCCACCTTTCTCCAGACTCACACATCCCTGAGGACACAGACAAAAGAAGGAAAAAATAATGCACCCAAACTACATTATTATACATAGGCACTGTCAGAGCCTGCTAGACATCACTTTTTCTTGCGTGGGAAAATAGAGTCAGGCTTAGTTTTGAAAAAGGCCCCCGGATGTTTCAAGCTCTGCTGGATAAAAAAGTGGGTAGTTTGGACAGTCAAACCAGTAAATTTCAATTACAACAGATGCTCCCTCTATTCCACCTAGTTGGGGACTTACCTTTCCTTCTTACCCCTGAATAATTGAAAAAGAGCGTAAAGAGTTCTTTAAGAATAAAGGATATATTACAATTATTCACCGAAGTAACCACAATCAAATCACAGTTCAAATAACATAAATATTTAATGGCCCTGGTATTTTCAAAGTTTTCCAAATTGCATGTGTCACTTTGCAATTTATGTGGCCAATTTTGAGAACAATGATTGAAAGCACTTGTGACATTAATCCTTACTTGCCCTCAAGTTCAAGTGATTACATGTGCTAATTCAAATTTTTTTTTTGGAGCATCACATTCACTTTCACCTGGAAATCACCGCTGGCACAAAGATACCCTCAGATCACATTATTAAGATTTAGGGTCATTCCTTTTGGATGATCTGATCAGGATTTAGATCTAAGATCACTCGGATCCTGGTGCGTCAAAGGTACCAGTGGATCCCAGTCCGGATGAGATTTTGCGGTTCCTCTGATGTACCATGATCCGAGTGATACGATCGGGGCCCGGGGATCGGGGATCCTGAATCCTGGTCCGGATTGATCACGCCATGGCATCAGATGCAATCAATCCACCTATCAAAAAACAGTGACACTTACCTTTTAGTTCCAGTTTGCAAGTTTCACTGACAAGTAACTTCTGCTTTATTGCTCGCTTTTGCTTCTTCATGATGAAAACTGACACAAGACGCACGTGCGTTACGTGTCCATGAAAATTACAGCGGATTTCACCTTCCGGGACAGGCGCAAATGGCGCGCAAATGTTCTTTTTGCTTTTTAGACGTGAAGCCGCTGAAAATTGAGCCTGTCGGTAATATTCCCTGTAAACAAACCTCCGGCGGGCCGGTTTCGGTTCCTCTTTAACTTCCCTCCGGAAAATCATCCTGTTTTGTCAGCCAAACCATGACCGAGGTGATAAATGGTGATATTCCTTGTACCGAATGCGGAGCTAGACTAGAAGCGAGAAATAACAAGAAAGCCGTTTTTGGGAAGGAATGCCTACCGTTAGCTTCGCGGCTCATTCTTTACGGCTTGTGTGGCCTCTTTGCTGAAGTCATGTTCACGGCAACTTGGTATTTTGTCGACTCTGCTAAGTATCGTCATTGCTGGAAACTCCATGGATGCACCTCTGTTTGGTCCTTCCCCATTTACTCTTTGTCTTCGTTCGCTGTTGAGCGAATGTTTTTATTTCTCGATGGCCGAGTTCCTTTGCTGGTACGTGGGTTGATATACGTCGTTTGGACATATATGTGGGAGTTTGTTACAGGGTTAGTACTGCGGCAGTTTAACGCGTGTCCTTGGGATTACAGAGGCTACACTCATTTCAACATCATGGGTTTGATCACGTTTGACTACGCACCTTTGTGGTTCATTGGTTCATTGTTACTAGAAACTGTTGTTATACAAAGTGCTTTGCAACTTCAATATACAACAGAAGGCATCAATAAAAAGGAAGATTAATTATTTAAACTCTACTGACTCTGGTGTAGGAAGGCAGGTAATACAGCTGAACCTGCATTAACTGGCCACACCCGAGGTACCAGCAAGTGGCCACCTAATGGAGGCTGGCCAGTCAATAGCGGTTTATCATAAGTTAGCATAATCCTTAGCAGAAAAATCACTTTATTTTACAGACACATGTGGGAGCAGCATTACTGATCCACAGACAGTCATCACCTTCTATCTCCTATGGACTGTATTTCCTTTATCATATTTTAGAATAAAACCAAACAAGTGTATCAAGTGCTTGATGGTGACTTTATAGAGGTGGTAACAGTAGGAGAACTCTGATCACTGGAATAGCTAAAAGGTGGCTATAGCCGCTTGATAGAGGTGGATGTATTAAAACTAGTCTCAGCGGCCCCTTGGGCCGAAGTCATGCAATGCTGTCTGCCCCCACTCCCCTCCCACCCCAGAGGGGCAGGGAGCATTTTGTGATTCCGGCTGGAGTGGCTGCAAAGGAGACGAGGTTAATAGATGTGAAATCTACGATTATTCTTTTCTGCAATTATTTTGGGACTTTGTTTACCGGATGCTTAATAGATAGAGGTCAACTGTGTTTCTCTCAGCAAAAAAATTTCTGGTGTTGATGAAAAGATGTATACTATTCTATTTTATTTGGGGGGGCTCAGGATTCATGAATTTTGTGCTAAGTTGGGTTTGTTGTTGCCAGTTAATAGCATTGTTTTGGAATGTCATTGCGAAAAGTACTTGACATGCACAGGGTAAACAGAGTGTTGCTATACAGTTAAAAGCAGAATACCCTACCATTAAGACTAGCTCCTTTGTATCTGGACACATGGTTTTCTTTTTGGCCACCTGGCACAAAGAACAATGATGATGAGCTCATGGTACCCAGAAACTAATAATAATCTACGTAGTTATGACAACAACATTCTACTGGAAAAGGAAAAAACCTGGGTGTATATGTATGTTGTCATTAAATTCAAGCATTCAAGTTGGCTATTACAGATGGTTACATGGTACAGGCAAATTAATAAAGTTCAATTCATACTACCTGCATAGCATAATTTTATAGCATGGGCATGGCTTAAAGAATGTTCTACCACCATAGAATGCAGTCTCTATTTTCAATTATGCATCACTGTCTGACAGGGCCACACGTACTGGTCCTACGGGGACTGTCTGGCCCTTGGCAGGCCCTGAGCTCCGTTTCCCGTTGTATTAGTCGGACAATCACGTGCAAAATGACCCTGTTTACGACAATTGTAACACACTACTTCGTTTCGGCGCCGTGGGGCTGTCATGGTTTTTGCTTCCGTTTTCATTTCCAGCTCACGAATTTTCTCATTCATGCCAAGAACTAATTCCTTGAGCTCGCGTATTTCAGATGAAATCTTCTCACCATCAGCCGAGGCACCAATCACATTAACAGATTTCTTCTTCTCAACCGCAGGTGCTGCGCGACAAGCCTTACGAGCACTTTCCAACTGGCGAACCACACGCACAGCTTCCACGAGCGAACTCGGCTGGCTCATAAAAACTCTCTCACGAATGTCATCACTAATTGCTACACCTTGAAGAAACTGGTCCCTTGCCAGTTCCACTTTAAACGAATAGGCCGCCTCTGGGTACGCATTTTCGACCAATTCCATCAAGCTATCCGCAAATCCATCGAAATCTTCATTTGGCTTTTGGTGCAACTGCAATTTGTAATCTTCTTTCGTCTTCCCCGAATCAAATCTTCGAGTCAACTGATCAGTAAATTCTTCGAACGGTAGCGATTCCGAGAGCTTGAGCAGCTCAACAGCTTTGTAGGCCGGTTGGTCCAATAATGTAAGCAAATACGCTCGACGATCCACCGGTTTGATGTGCACGAGACTTGCGTATTGCATGAACTGCGAGAGCCACGTTTTGAAATTTTGGCCCACCGAATAAACGCGTGGAGCTCTTACGTTCCTCCTAACTTCGCTTTGTTCGCTTGACGCCACCGTACTCTGCTTTAGAGCTTGAGACAGGGTATTTACGAGCTGCTGCAGGTCACTGCCCCCTTCGTGTGGCTCTACTTTCGGTGGTTTCTTCTTTTGTTGTTGTTTCAGCACGGGTTCTGTCGATTCAAGTTTCGGTAACCCTCCTTCGGCGCCTGCGGACATTTCATCTAGTTTCGGTAACCCGCCTTCGGCTCCTGCTGGAGTTCCATCTTCTTCCATCTTTATATCCCAGTTCGCTGCCACCAATGTAATAAATCAAGGCAAGAGTCGTCGTAATAGTCTCGACCGTGTTTACTCAACTTTACTCTTTTTCTGACCACGAGGTCCTAGCCCTAGTTTTACATCATGTAATACGACACGAAGTGTCCTCTACTCTACACATTGTTTTGGAATGTCATTGCGAAAAGTACTTGACATGCACAGGGTAAACAGAGTGTTGCTATACAGTTAAAAGCAGAATACCCTACCATTAAGACTAGCTCCTTTGTATCTGGACACATGGTTTTCTTTTTGGCCACCTGGCACAAAGAACAATGATGATGAGCTCATGGTACCCAGAAACTAATAATAATCAACGTAGTTATGACAACAACATTCTACTGGAAAAGGAAAAAACCTGGGTGTATATGTATGTTGTCATTAAATTCAAGCATTCAAGTTGGCTATTACAGATGGTTACATGGTACAGGCAAATTAATAAAGTTCAATTCATACTACCTGCATAGCATAATTTTATAGCATGGCCATGGCTTAAAGAATGTTCTACCACCATAGAATGCAGTCTCTATTTTCAATTATGAAGTTGAAATGACAGGATATTCTGCAGCCACTCCTTTTAACCCACTGATCAGGACTCTAGCTTCTTGAGTGCGTTTTCCTTTTCGTCGTTCGTTTTCCATCAGATCGTCTGTTTTTGCAACTAAATCTTCGCCTCAAGAATCGTTTTACGTAGTAGCTCTACCAGGAACTTGAGCGATCACGATGACGATGGAATCGAGAAAATCAAAAAAACAAAACGTTTAATAACCAAAACAAAAACTCTGAACGTGCAGCAAACTTTTTGGTAGATTTCTTTGCCCCCATAGCACGACTGACCGTAAGTTGTCAAACGTGATCGGAATAACAATGCTATCGTCCAACGTTTTATAAAACTCTGAGATCGTCGTTTCATCACTTTTCGAAAAACTTTAGTGACCAAATGGCACTGCAAATATGCAATAAATTATCTTCTATAAAGTAGACGTGTCCGGACATCTTCTCGGAACAGACCCTCCTTGTGGTTCTCTTCTCGTAAGCGACAACTAAGTCTTCACATTTTGGGTGGTCGCTTATGGAAGGTTCGAATGTTCTCTGGCATTTTTGTATATCTTATTTTAGAGGATTCTTCATGTTATTTATTGTTATACTATGTTCAGTTTAGAGACCTCCTGAATACCACCTTTAGTGATGGTGGCCTCTTAACAGATGTAACGCCAGGAATGTAAGACTTTTAATTTGTTCGCCTCGTTTCTTTTTTTTTATATAATTATTGTTCGCGTCTTTAGCGCAGTTTTGGATTTATTAGTCGTTTATTGTAAGTTTATCTTTGTTCTTTGCGCTCGTTTTTTTTTAATATCCCATTTGTACCTTCGCTTGTACTTGGTTAAGTTACCTATTGTAGTTTAAGATTTCTCTTGGCCTTTGCTCGTCCTCGCGTTCATCTTGGAAATCGCTCAGGGGCACCCAACGTCAATTTTCGGAAAATATCTGTTCGGACGACGATTTGAGATCTAGAATTTTCGGAACATTTTTTGTAAAATTTCTTGCTTGCCTGCCTCTCCTAGGATTTTCGAACATCTTACAAATGGTATAATTGCCCATGTTTAACGGATTTTTACCCTGAAAAGGTCAAATAGAATTTTCGGGAGCCTTTTTTCAGGCTGAAATTTTCGAAAAGGTAAGTTTGGATTCCTAGAATTTTCGGATCACCAGACTTTCAGCTAGGAAATCCGAACAGATAAAAAATTTTGGGGGAATACAAATATGCCTATGTCTACGTTTAACAATGCTATGTTTAAGTGGTTTTGAACTATATTCTCGTTGGGTGCCCCTGATCGCTATCATCTGTAAGTTTCTCCTTTTTATTCCATTCGCCTATTCATTTTTGCCTTCATGTTGTCGTTCAGTTTTGTAAGTTGTTTTGTCTTGACTTTGTTATGTTTATTGATTAGTATTTTTCAGTAGCGCTTCGCATTTTTTCGCCGCGTTATGCATCACACCCGCTTGTTTCGTCAGTAGTTAAACAAAAAATGAAAGCGACGAAAATGTTCGTAGCGCGCACGTTTTGAGTAAAAATTGTGAAAGGAATTTTATTTGGTGTTTGAGATTTATTACAGGATTCTCCTCAGTCTGAGAAATATCTCTTATGTGAAGGCAAATCAGTAATAAACTCAGTTTGACTCATTTTACCCTGTGTCTAATTCCTACATCATCAATTCTGATCAAATGACATCCTCTCCTGAAATGAAAAAATGATTTTCAACTAATTTAATTTTTTCAACAAGGCTTTGAAACCAATCTACTTCAGAAATCATTTAATAAATTCTTCAATCGCCATGGTCTTATCGTCGAGAAGTGTGGTGCAGTCCTGCGGGAGATGAGATTATCAATATCCAGGCCTGAATTGCACCATGGTATCCTTACATCACATATTTCTTACTTAGATTTGTATTGCAGTTGTATCTTGGTACGTGTGCGCGCACATGTTTATTTTGTGAGCGTGCATTATTTATATATTTATTTAATTGACTTGTAGTTCGTCAAATAACGTCTTAATTTTACTTTGCGTTATTTTCCTCACTGATATGTGTTGTCCGTGAGTGACTGAGCTCACATTGTGGGTTGTTACTCCTAAAGTGTTCTGCTATTGGTATAGGATTTAATTGGAGCCGAGTAGCATCCTACTAATAAACAGTTACAACACGTAGATATGTTTTTAGCAACTACTATAATTTGCAGTCTGTCCAATTTGAATTATTTTCTTCGTTCTTGTGTTTTAAAAAAATAATGTTTAAAGAGTTACGTTAACCACTTGTGGTATTTGCTATGTTACATGTATGTAGTAAAGCTGTTTTAAGCGTCCTTGTCGATTATCTTAGGTTATTTGATTTTCGCTACTCATAGTTTTGGCTTATAAGTTTAACTGATAGTCGATAGAAATTTTCTTCTGAATTCGGTGCAAATTCGGACTTACCCAAAAACTCAAAGAACAAATTAAAAAGTGGAGGACACAGTTCAAAGCAGAATTTAGAACAAAAATTGTTTACTTCCAAAATAAACCTTTAAAGGTCTTTAAAATCACTTCAGTCTGTTTAAGAGCCATTCACTGAAATGAATTCAGTTTAAAACTATAAAAAAAACCGCAGAAACTCTTAAAAATGAGTAAGGTGGTGATTTCATGGAAAATATCGATGAAGGGTCAAATTGAGGTAAAACATGTTAAACTAGGCAACATTCTTCAATAGCACAATCAAGGCTTTCTGCTAATCTGTGCTTTTTGCTTATACAGCTCCATGATTTAAACTCGACGTTGGTCAATGCAAGAACGAAATACACACTCGAACACTATTTGCTTAAAACTCGAAACAAACCATTTAGTCCTTAACAAAGGAAAAAACTAAAATAGTCATTACCATTGATAGTGGAAATGACAGGAAGTTCGAAAATTTGCTAGTTCGACACAATCTTGTTAACGAAATCACTGCTGACACCTCTGTTGAAACGGGTCTAACCACTGTCTAACTTACCCAACTGAAAACCAACCGAAACTCCGTACATGTATTGCTTCTTCACCACTAGGTTAAATTCAGTACTTAAACAAGTCATAATTTCGAAAACAAGACGGGACATGTAAAGTTCATTTTGCTATTAACGAAACAGATATGTTGATATTCTGAACTCCATGCAAGCATTTCGAGCGTGCGAATTCAAATTTCAAATGACCGTCCCGCTAAAATTTCTCATTATTACACAGAATCAACCCAAATTACTACCCGGTTTACGGGTAGTGACGTCACTGGACTACATTAGCTACTACAGTAGTTGTTTCAGACGTCTCTCCTTGGCTTGTGTGTGACTCAACGGCTGACGACATGAACTATTTCCATCGGGTCAAAACTGCAACCGCTTTCTTCAGCGATTGCCTGCAAGCCAGGACCATTTTGCTCGTGGGTGGCTTCTCTAGCGTGGGTCGAAATCTCTAGATTCATAGAACGCCAACTTATCGGATTGGTACGTCATGTTTATTACTTGCTTTGTGATCGGCTGTGAAATAAATAATCCGTCAAGTTTAAAATTTGTAATTTTAGCCGACCAGCTCGACGATTTTTTCTACCTCCCAAGTTTGAGCATTAATTACGTCGCCATGTGTAAAGATACTCATGAAAACGGACAACGACGCCATTTGGTTTTTTATTTATCTTTGACGAAATGAACTATTTCAAAGTTTGAACAAATTCGGGTTTCAAAATTTTGAAACGAAGTTTTGCATCATATAAACAGTGAAAACACGCTTTAATTTTTAAGAAAACGATAAGCTTTGGAAACGCAGCTTCGAGTGGTTTGATTCCAGTACAAACGCAGAATTGCTCTGGGCGACCATTTTGCATTCGCTGCTTTTGGGTAATTTGGTCCTTCTCAAATTTCGCATTTTGCAAAAAAAACCGCTTGATAAATTTTTTATAAATGGGTCGAGAAATTGTCAATAAATATACCCTAGAGTTTTAAGAACATTAGAACTTTTAAATAGGGCCAACTTATCGGAGTTTCATATGGTACGTCATGTTTATTAGACAGTTTTCAATGGAATCAAACCACTATGAGATGAAGCCGCGTTTTGCTTATCATTTTCTTTGTGGATAGCATGTTATTCCGGCTTGTTTCAAAAATTTCGAAAATAATTCGTCAAGTTTACAAAAAATAAAAAAAAACTCCTGGTGCAGAGAAACACAAAGATAAATAAAAACGTAATTTTACGTTGCCAACCTATCAGTCGTCGTCCTTAAACTTGGGAGGCATCCCCAAAAAAATAACTAAAATAAACGCAGCATGCATGATACAGGGTACAAGTTTGTAAAGAAGTATAATGGGTGACTTGTTCCCCTCCCTAATTCTGTCTTGTCTGGCGGCTCTTGGATTGATCTTCTTTTCAGGATTACTAATTAGGCCTGCCACATACTATGTTCAAATGAATGCTGAAGGGTTTCCAAGACAACGAGTTCATAAAAACTACAAGGTTTTCTTTCTTGTTTGTTCTTTCTTTTCTTTATTCAGGGAACTTAATTTTGCGATCAGGTCATTAATAAGTGGGCGCAATTTAGAACCCCTGTTGTTATGCAGTCATAATGGCAGTCTTGCTGGCTTAATTAAGTTATAGAATGATTTACTTTGTGACGTATCTCCGGTCTGCCATGCTCTGTCAAGACCACCGCTCTATTTTTGTGCAAACGCTCCATTGCTCTTTTTGTAAGCAATGTCTTACCACTTACGACAGTTCAGAACACATTTAATCTCCAAAAAAATACAAAAAATGTGAATGAAAGCTGTTAGAACGAACTCCTACAAATAAAAAAGTAGTTTACTTTAAATAATAAAAAAAAATAATTGTTCTTTAACAAAAAACTAAACACTCTAGTTAATGAACAAATAAATAGAAGTCTAGGGTAGTTTTCTCTTTATATGCAATTAACTGCTCAATTAAATAGCCGAATAGTCTTTTTAATTTGAAGAAATAAACTAATTTAATAATCCACAGCACTAAGAACATGCCATCTTTTTCTCGGCTGTCCTTTGGCTTCAATCATTTCTTTCCAATGGGCTTCTTCATCCTCTCCAGTGTTATCTCGTCCCATCGAGAACCATCCTATTATTTCCTTCCGTCTCATTTTCTTTATGTTGACGACAGAAAACATGAGGCTTACGCTCGGTAGTTCAAATTCAATAATCTGGAACACAAAGTTCTCGTTATACTCTGGGTCACACATGCTACGTCGTATGGACGTTTTGCTCTTAGATAGTTGCTGCCCAATGGAATTAAACATGGCCACTTTAACATAGGTATCTGAAAAAAAAAGCAGCAGAGAGTAAGTTTGTGCCAATTGCAAAAGACCATGACCATCATATGATAATTGTATTTGTATTTTCTTTTTACTCCATCCTATAGATAATAAAATAATTCACGTCACAACAGGTCAACTCAGTTCTCATCGGAAATAAAGATTTAAAAGGTCTATGTGATGCTAGTCACTACCTTTTTAAATAGTTAAAACTAGTTCTCGCATTAATTGTATTCCAAAAATAATGGTGCACTTTTGATCTTTAAGACTACCGTAAAATTCCGAAAATAAGCCTCTCCAAATATAAGCCCCCCAATCTGGTAAACGCGAAAAACCCTCCGTTAAATCGCCCCTCCAAATATAACACCCCCGGGGGCTTGTACTTGGAAAATTGCCCTCAAATACAAAGTAAAACAAAGCAAAAACGGTAATTTTACTTCCAACTATAAGGCTACCCCAACCGATTTTAAAACGCAAATTTCTCTCCGTAGATAACCCCCTCCGAAAATAAGCCCCTCCATAAATAAACCCCTCAAAAAGGGCCTTTGAAAAATATAAGCCCTGGGGCTTATTTTCGCAATTTTACGGTAAATTTATACATTGAATCTGTTTGCTGTCGTCTGTTGCAGCGGATGAGAAGGATGGAGATGGATTGAAACGTGTAAAAGTTGAGTCAAGTTTTTCAAGTGTTAATGCTATACCCGTACAATTCACAAAAATATTATTATGGTTAGTTCTCCATGGTGAAATCTCTTTAATATATCTTCTTTATATCTCTAACGGAGAATTTTCAATAAGGCTAATAAAAGCAAAAAAGACTGACTTCAGCACAGAATAGACCGCCTAAAATGGCATTATCTATGTGTCGACACCATGCACTTTAAAGGGCATTAATTCAGGTGAGTTCAGTTTCTATGTTTAGTTCAATCCCTTTTCTGCTGAAGTGAAATTTTGTTTATAACAGATTGTTTGAGGACTTTGAGGGTAGGGCTTCAGTTATCTAGACTATTTTGACTAGATGTTTTGTTCGTGTGTGTTCATTAGTATTTCTTATTTGTCAACTCTAGCTGAAATTCTAAATTGAGGACTGGAAAGGTTTCTTCTTCCAAGCATCAGGTCGGTCTTCAATTCCAACCAAACGATTGACTCCTCTTCGCTTTTTATTAACTCTAGGTTTCACTGGGCAGGTTTTGTTCCATGACCGTGTACTTGTTTGACTAACAACGGATCAGTTCACATGGTTCGCTGATAAGTAAGTATCTGATAGAATTCAGGAGTGGGGATTGTGCTGGAACAGACCAGTCCCGGCATTCATTTGGGTGCAAAAGTGCATGGGAATTGTGCATTGTCGGCATGGAAAACATACAACAAGTATATATTAGTCTAAAAGCTGAATTGTCTGATCTTTATTGACAAAAAAACCAGCTCATTATTTGATCGAAACGATCTTCTACACTTACTACGAACACAAAGTAAACCTTGGCATAACTCTGCTGTTATTACTGAGTGTCTTTATTTTTAATTAATCATTTTTAATAACGCCAATTTATTTGCAAGAGAAACGCCCGCGTTCCAGGATGATTTTTCATTATTTTTCAGTGTACCTGACCAGCAGAATTTAGCTTATAATAACAACAACAAAAAATGATGACGAGGATGTTGCGGATGGCCTGGTGATTGTGAGGAGGTGGCGGTGATGACGATGATGATGATGATGATGATGGTGGAGATAATAACGATATCCACTCTTAAGCTACTCATTTATCAGTAGACTCTTGTTACAAGAGTTTGTTTTTAGTACCTGTTTGTTACATCTGAACGATTACTGTACGATTTTTGCTGCGATTGGAGTCACTGTACTTAGTCTAATTGCATTTGGAGAACTCATTGTGCAAAGCACCAGGCGGTTCCAAAACGTTGATTATTTAAAAAAAATAAAATATTTAAGAAGCAAAAAGATATGAATGCTAAAGCGTAGAACGTTTGAGCTGAAAGTGTGAAGTGATTGGATGGTTCAAACTAGTTAGAGACAACAGAGAATACGTTTCTTTCAATCGCAACAAAAATCCTTTAAGATGGCAATTCCAATTCGTTTATTTTTATCTTAGTATCATTTAATGATAATAAAAAATAACCATAAAATATCTTATCCAATCATTTTAGTCAGGAATGTCAACATTTTACCCTCAGATTATTCATGTCTTATGGAATGATAGCAATTTATACTTTCGTAAATTCTGTTTTTCTACTTCATGAGAATACTGCCATTCAAATCTTAACTTATTCTATTTTTTTTCAGTGCTTTTTAAATGTTTACTGAGTTTAAAGTTACATTTTACACGCGGTTATGCATCAGCTAAAACGTGCCATCGACTAATATTTTGTTCTTTTTCTTGAATCATGTCATTCCAGTGCCTGATCTCCTCTTGGCCACTATAATTTTTTCCAAGTGAAAACCATCCTATCATGTCTTTTTTCTTCCTTGTCTTTGATATCGCAATAACAGCGATTGTTAAAGTGACCATGTGAAGATCTTTCTCGGATATTTCATACATGAAACTCTCATTGTACTCTGGGTCGACCATACTCTTCCTAATGGTGGTTTTACTTTTTGCAACTTGCTTGCCAGATGGAGACAATAAAGACACTTTCACGTATGAATCTGTCAGTAGTGAATGAGAAATTGCGCCAGTTACGTTTCTGAGATGAATGTGCTTATGATTTACTGCTTAATGCGGAGGAGTTTGTGTTTCTGATGTAGTACTCGGAAAATGTTTAAGATTAGACTGAGAGCGGGATTTCCGTTTACGTCTAAGCTTATATATGAACACTGCCTGAGCACATAGTTACTGTGTTTACTAATGCTTTAAAAAAAAAAACAGTCTCATGTTCTTTCTAACTAGTCTTCCTACTAGTTACAGATTCTTCCGTGCAATAAGCTAAGAGTAAATGAAGAGGATGCTTTTAAATTCTCACATATGTTATTATTATTATAAACACTGAAGTGGCTTTAGGTTTTCTATGGAGCGGTTGAAAAAAATAATAGATTTGATCATGCGCAATTGGTCACTGACGACTGAAGTATTTTATATTGATGATCCATTTTTAGCGGGTATGGCAGATGAAAAGCCTCCCATTTCTTCTCAATGTTTTTTCCTGTTGTTGTGGGTTTAGGTCCTACGTCATTGCCAAGTGTTGTTTCCTTTTTCCTCCCACGCGAGCTATCCGCCATTTTTAATACTATGATTTTAGTTTATACTTATAAAACCTTTTCAAGCAAGTTAAATCTGAGAAAACTTAAGTTATACAAGCGTGGAAAGTATCCAGAGTATCCCCTTGTTGATTAGGATGCAATGAGCAGGGCATAAAAAGCGGACCTCTTCAGCTTAAGAATTCTCAGCTTATTTAACCACGTGGGAAGTTTGTGTGGGGGTGTATTAAGAGCAGACGCCGTGTTGTTCTTCCCGATTTCTTTAAAACCAAACAGTGCTTAGTTACGTGTTTTTGAAAGACTAAAGCGTTGTGTTCTTCAGTGGCGTCCCTCGCAGACTACACGTTTAGAGCGATAACTGTATTCTAAGTTAACACTTTTCTCGGGATCTCCATTCAAGCTAAAATACCCTCCATGCCAAAAAAAATTAAGGTCAAAAGGAGAAGAGAAGCTGATATTAATACACTGTTTATATTGTTGCTTTTTGAGAAATAAAAGACAAATCAAGTTAGAACGTAACGGTAAGGCCCAATAATTATTCATTCCGCATACCTGGTGCACGCTGCATGGACACATTTCTCAGGTTGCTTGCTTTCAGCACTTCTACTGTTAACCTTCCTGTAAGAGATTGATAACACAGGGAAACAAGCAATTCTGGAGCACCGCTTTGAGCCATAGCAAGAGACGAAACAGAACCATACGACCCATAACTTTTGACGCTTCCAGTGTCAGAAAGATCATACATTGAGTCAGAAGCCTACAATAAAGAAACATATTTTTTAAAATATGATCATGAAAATAATAAAAACACCTTTAGTTCATAATCAATGTATCGGTTGTTTATTGATAAAAGCACTTTTTTACTCTAACAGACTAGGCATTCTTTGGTATTAAATAGTACCTATATATCTCAGACATAACAACATAAAATAAATATATATATTCGTATATTTTAGTTCTGATTTGCATACTAACTTCGTATTCTGTAAAACAGGATTATGATCAGACCTTGAGGAGGGACATGGTTACGTCAAAGGAAACGAGAATCTTTAACTTTTTTACGCAGTTTTCCCTTCAGGAAAACAGGCATAATGACAATGATACAAATTTCCATTGATCCGTGAAAGAGGATTGAAAACCATTTCATGCATTCAGAAGATTGCTATAGAAAATGTTTAATCGCATCAGTGAGTTTCTTGCGTTCCAAACTAAGTTAATGGTGGGCCAATAATTATAGCGCGAGGTTTTTGGTACAACGTCTACAATAAACATGATGAAGTGATCGGTTTGCAAAAAATCCTCATTTGTAAGAGATTATGAGTTTTGTTGTGTCCCTTTCTGCCAAAAGAATCTCCGCTCTCGAAGCACTGAGCGTTGTTCATATTGTTAGCTTTTGTAGAAGACGCGTGTCACCAACAAAGGACAATGGATATTTAAAATACGCCACCTTTTCATTGGTTCCACTTGATTAAATCGCTAGCTAGATTTGCATACAGCTTATTCGCTATCCAGTATTAGTGTGATTTAACAGTAATGTTCTGAGTGTTCCTTCAAATAATACTGACCACAATTTAAGTGTCTCTACTGACAGGAAAAACAAGAAATATCGGCTACGCGGTGCAACCAAACCACGTAGTTCAGAAAGAGAAAAAACCCGTAATTTCCACTAAAGGAAGAAGCGAATAAAAATTGTGAACTGATCATCGAGTTTATCAAATGAAATTACGAATTATTAGTGAACGAGAAAAATACTTCGTCTTAAACCACCATGTATGTATTATTTTTATTTTTCCCTTGGGCAAGTAACCAGTCACGAAAAATAAAGACACCCTTTCATCAGCTGAAATAACAAACGTTATTGGGAAAATTCTCTTAACAAGAAGAGCAAAAGATACGCCGGGTAAAACATTGCAAATATACGTTTTAATATTGTACTTACGCTAAGGGCATTTCTTGGGGTAAGAGTTCGCCAAAGCGCTTCTCCGTCGCCTTCCAAGTCAAACTCCGTTAGACTAACTGTCATTTCTCCTAGCAGTTTATCTCGTGTAAGTTTTTCGTGACCATACAATCTAAACCTCAGGCCACTTTCATGTAAATCGCTTTGAGGAACTCGACTGAATGTAAACGTCTCGTGAAAGTTCGGATTCGTAGCTGGTTTTGCTTTTGTTTTGAAGCGTTGTTTTTTTGACGGGAGAAGTACGACACGAACTTGAACAGTAGCGGCACCTCCTCGGTGTTTTGTAGGAACATCCTCTGCCCGGAGCACAGTCACCGCCAACTTTTCTGCTGTTGGCGCATAACTTGCCGATACTTGCAGCCTTCCAGCAATTGACAGAAATTCCTCCTGGCCGATGTCAATCGCTTCCCCATAAGCTGAGACAGCACGTCTTGCGTTAGCAGGACTGTACTCCCCATCGGAGTATTTCCCATAACCGTACACAGAAGCGCTGTCACCAAGCGCCAGCTCGCCATCCGACTTACTCCCACTTGTATTAAAGCTACTTCTTCGGCTTGTTGCTTTCGAAGATGGCCCGATGTAATCATCATCCGTTTCGGTGCCATACGCTTCGCCGAGTTCCGCGTATCCACCTTTCTCTCCATCTGGCGAGTCAGCCGGTGGCTCGGTTTTAAAAAACATACCGGCCTTTAAACACTGATATAAAACCAGTAGAAGAAGGCAACAGCCGCCAATGACTGCCATAAACACGATAGCCGGGGTTGGCACTGAAACAACAACAAGAGATGACAATTAATGAAACAATCTTGAACCAAAAGCGACAATAGCTTCAAGAAAAAGTTAAGCTACGTTTGGCAAATTTACTGGGAAGACTTACACGCCATATTGGCCTCCGGAAAACGGCGAAACAGCAAACAAATTCGGTTAAGGTTTCGACATGTTGCCAAAATGTTACGCCCCGCGACAGAAGATTGGGAATCGTTGTCATAAGGTCCTTTGATCAATGATCATGAATTATTTATTTTCAAGAGCGCGATCACAAGAATCAAAACAAGGCCAGGTGGTTACAGCGAATTCAAATAAAACGAAGAATTTTTTCCGGTCAATATCTGCTACGCTATAACGCCACAAATGGATCCACCATACGTACTATTCAGAATCCGGCGAAAGCTTTAAGAATTAAATTTGACGATTAAACTTGTCAAACTCAAATTTTCTTACGCTTTGATAGACCTTTTTGTCATTCTGCGGTGATAACAGAGCTTCTTTCAAGCTTTTTTTTATCAACTAAGACGTTATTCAGCCACGTTAAGAAGTTCGGTTTTAGTTAACTGTTACTAATTGATTTCAATTTCGTTGCTGAATTTCCAATAATTGCACAGTCTAAGAAAAGGTTTTCCCCCTGACACCTATAATGAATTCAAATTTCATTATGATGCGCTCATGAGACCGCAGTTTCCTAAGTTTTATATCAGCGCATCTGCGAAACTTAAGCAAAACCCGTGAAAACCGTCTTATTTACTCTAGATGTAACTCTACACACAGCAGCCAGCAGGCTGTAGTCAACAACTTAAACTAACATATTGAGCCTTTAATTTGCGTTAGGTATAGAAAAATACAGAGAATCATTTAAAAGCGAGCACTCTTTATCATACCCTTCCACGTTTTTTAAGACCAGTGGGCGAATTTCCATCAACACTGCCGGAAAAAGCGCCTTTAAAGTAGTAAGCTTCCCAAATTTAAAGGAGATTCGTCCAAAGCAAGCGAAGACTTATTGCTCCAAAATGGCCACATTTACAGTCGTTTGTTTGTTGGGAAGCACTAACTGGACCCCCACCACACAAACGTCTTTCAAATTTTGCGACTTTGCGTAGCCTAAGTAGAAGGCGCCGGTTATAATTATTTTAAAAAACCGCCGCCGTGCAACGCAGGCTAGACCTTGTGTGGCCTTCATATCGGGTCTTCCAAAAGAGAGGAGATTTTGCTTTTTCCCTCAGAAACGTCTACTCAGGCCCCGTTCATGCTAATGCGTTTTTGTTTGAAAATTCAAAAATTCAGATTCATTTTCATCGAAAACGCATCGATTTGAATACGCTCTTTCAAGTGGATCAAAATGAAAACTCATACATATCCTATTAGTGTGAACGATCAAAAGCGGTCTAAAACACATCAAAATGGAAATGATGACGGAAAACATCATAGACGCGTGTGTTTATACGTGCAATTCTAGCGTTTTCGAAGGTTTTAGTGCCGACAGTCGAAAACGCATCACAGCGGTAGTGTGGACGCGAATCGATCGATGCGTTTTTGATGACAACAAAACGCATACCTTTGGAAACGCATTAGGCCCTCTCCACAATAATGCGTTTTCAAAAGGATGCGTTTTCGTTGACAACGAAAACGCATCGATCGATTCGCATCCACACTATCTTTTTGATGCGTCTTCGAATGTCCGCACTAAAACATTCGAAAACGATAGAATGCATATTTTGACGTAAGTTGAACTCTACGCACATTCTAAAACACACGTGCCTGCGATATTTTCGACCGTCTACACTAATGCGACATGTATGCGTTATCATTTTGATCCACTTTCTAAAGCGTTTTCAAATTGATGCGTTTTCGATAAAAACGCTCCGTTTTAGTGTGGACAGGGCCTCAGGTCCGGAGGTTAATGTGAATTAGTTTTCCACATATCACTCTTTTAAGGTGTTTTTTCCAACGTTGTTGACGGAAAGGTTGAAAAACACGTCGAAGAATCCGATTGGAAACGACTGTTAAAATTTAGTTCCATATTGTCCCCAAAACAAACGTTGGAACCAGTGGGAGTCTACTTCAGTCGTTGAATATAATTAGGCTGCACTGTATACAGCGCTTACCAAGCGAAAGACACAATTGACCACTCCAGAAATACCATAACAAACCATAGTGCTCTTTGTTTGTCACTCCAAAATTTTGCATAAGCGTTGTCTTCAGTTTCTCTTGGGAGTTAAAATGGCCCCAAGAGAAACTGAAAACAATGCTTATGCAAAATTTGGGGTGACAAACAGATTCGTCGCAGTGTTTTGACAGTGTTACTCTCGTTACTAGATACAGTAATGGTGCAACAGTGGCGACGCCAGATAAAAAGAAAACTGATAAATGATTATTTCACGTCGCGCAAATAATTTACAGGCGCAAATTATTACTATTGCTCGGCTCACGGCTCAGTAACCTATCATTTATTTATCTATTTCTTTATTTGTTTGTTAGTTATTTATTCATTTCCAGTGTTTATTGACCTTCCTGCTTTAAGAAAAGTGTTAAAGCTATACTGACCTAAAGTGTCCGGGGCTATGTGCGTGCATATTTTGACTGGTGAACAAATCAGGATTAATTATCCTTTTTGTCGCTGTTTGATGTTGTTAACCGACTTTTTCTACCCAAAATTTGATCCAATGAATTTCCTGAGAACTATCGACATGATTATAATACTGTTAACGCCTTTAATCAGGGTCTGTTTGTTGACAGGCTGGCCAGACAGTGCATCAAACCAAGACTGGAGGAACTTTCAATAGCCAATTCGAGATTGGGTTTAAACTATGCATTTAAGTCCCCAAGGGAAAAATGGACTGATCTTCCTCTTTGTGGTAAGCGATTTTTTTTTTCTCTCTCTACTGCCGTGCATGTAACAATAGGACGTATAGTCTCAAAGGCAAGGTTTCATCGGATCGTTCTGCAAACTGTTTTTCGTACTGCCTACTCAGACGATAAAGGAAATTCTTACCTCCAGGGAGAACCATTGCAAATTGTTTTCATAAAGCTGGTTCCTGATGGTCTTTAGATTTGGTAGCTGTCAGCTAGCTGTCTGAAGACCTAAGGGAAAATCCAAATAAAATGTTGTTATGCAAAAGAGTCGTGCCTACAGCACATGTGCAATATAAATGCAACTTGCAGTTTGCGCGCATACCAGTGACTCAAGCCCAGGTGAAGTTACTCATATTCTCTGTGGCGACAGTCAGGGACAGTCACGAATAAGCTTGCGTGTCTTATCTTTGCGCGAACAGTAATACATCGTCCAAATTACATTGTCACGCAGTGATTTTGTCAAATAGATTTCGAACGCCCACAAGAATATTTTAGTGTCTCGGCGTATCCAGATTCCAGGTCTTTCTCGCCAAGCAGACTGAGTTCGAGTCTATGAATAACATATGTAAACCATTGCTGCAATGTAACTTCTCTTCATTTACAGTGATAACTCAGTTGCTTTGGTATTCCTTTTAGATTGCTTATTGACATCAATTTTTCCTTTGTACCCCACTAAAGCTTAATGACAAGTTCGTGATAAAGAAAAAGAAAGAGAACTGCCGAAAGTAATCGTCTTAAAAACAAATGGACATGAAAAAAAACAAAAAAAAACCGCACATCAGTCTTTTGTAAATGCAGGAACGATAAGAGCTGCAGCTAGATAACTAGAGAAGGTGAGAATATCGAGATTTCAAGGACAAAGGAGTCAAAATAACTCAATGTTAAACGAGATCACTTCCAAACTAAGCCGTAACGATATAGATATATAATTTTGCATGTGTATGCCACTCAAGTACAACCCTGTAAATATTATGTAGCCTGCATGAACAGTTTGTTTCGTTTTAACATGTTATCCTTTCTTCTCCGGTGCCTTTTCCCCTCGAGTATTTCGAGGCTTTCTGGACGCAGCACACATGGGTGTTCAGTCAACATCTCGTTTTCTTTTAAACACTACTTTTATTTTTATAATATCATGTATCGTTTCCCATTGTACAGAGCAATGTAACGGAGGTTAAACGTAAACGAAATAGACTAAAATTTGCTCCTCATTTCAGTGTGTGACATTTAGTTTGTTTAAAAATAGGTAACAGGCTTGAGCTGCTAATGAGTTGACGAGATACCAATCCATTCTCGAAATGATTTAATTTAATTGTAAGACATAAAAATTTCTTCAACAATATATTTTATTAATCATGGCATGAACGAATTGGTTCCGAAGAAAACGTTTCCTTTCTTAATTTCCTTACTTTTTGTCCCCTCACTGAAGATTTTGAAAATTTTTGCTTTCATAGCCTAATTTCAATAGTCTGGTTAACAACTATTGAACCAATAGATATGTTTCTATTCATGAGTTACCGTGGACCTGAGATCCTGTAGATGTTTCAGGTCGTTATGAATATATTCACTGGGTATGTCGTTTCACTTGGAGCCATATGTGTCAGTGGACAACTACCGAGACCGGCTTGATAAACTGGTGATATTAATTAAAGAGACAAAGAAGAATTTTCTGAACTACTAAATGTTCTAATATAATTTTGAAGATACAAGATGATGAAAGTCCGCAAAATAGGGAAAAGACAAAAAAGATTTTCATTGTTTTTGCATCATATAAATTCTTAATAAGTTGAGTTGTTCGCGATATTTTCTTAGAGCTTAAAATATTTTTAAAATTTTGTCAAAGCATTAAGAAATAAGAATCCCAAAGCTTTCATGAAAGGTTTGATAAGGTGTTTTGTCTTGGTAAATGAAAGAGCTATCTAAACGAACTAAGAAGATTGACTGCTTCGTTTCCTCGGAAAATAAAAAAAATCAAAGTTGAGAGGGAAACAGAAAAAAAAAGCAAACTAATTTTTTTACATGAAATAAATTCTTAATTAGCTACGTCGTTCGACAAATTTTTGAAGCTTAAGATAAGTACAAGTAAATTTTATCTTTTTATAACATATAAAAAATTCCAG